AGAAATATTAAAGGAACCCCTCGAGTCTCGATTCTCTGGTCACCATAATCAATATCGATGGAGAATCATTGTTAGCAATAAAGACACAGACACCACAAATGTGCTTTAACAAGATTCTCAAATGAGTGTATTTTCAGGGCTAGCCTTTATGCACAGTTTGTCATGCAAGCAGCGAGATTTATCGCTTCCTTATAGTTAGTAGTACATACTTGTCTGACATTAAATGATAAGCATTTGAATAAAGACGGGACAGGAACATCCTGAGGTCGAGCAAGTTCGCACATCCTCTAGAAGGAAGACCTTGGTACAAAATACATCTGCCAAAGTCAGCATAATTATTTCAAACATTATTTTAAAGCATATAAAGCAAAAATAGTTTAACTATTTCATATCCTTACAGTCAGCACTAATGATTATAAACCTTATCGAAGTATAAAATACATATGAACAAGAAAAGTTAACTACTTCATATTCTTACAAACACTAAAGCATTAGGAATACAAACCTGTTTTAGTCCCCCCACCTCATGTGCGTTAAAAGATTAGGAAAATAACAGATTTACTAAACCTTTTCCAGCGCCAAAGCTCCCAACTTGATTATTTTAGAGTAATGTTTGCGAAGGGGTTGTCAGCCGCCAACAACACCCAGTTTAGCGAATAACAAAGTCTGTGAACCGTCAATCATTTATTCTATGAAATTTTATTTTTGCATTGTGCAAACACCAAAGAACTTAACAGATTCTAACTAGTTTTAATGTCATGCAGTTTGACACGTGATGGCATGTTTGCCAATATTGGGAGTGGGCCATGTTCTGGAAAAGCTGCCAAGACTTCTATAGTATTGGCTCAGTTTAGTTGCAGGGTGTATTAAATATCACAAACAGCCAATTACAAACAGTGTTCTCATACAGATTGACACTATGAATTGCTACTGCTTGAACAACAGATTTAGTCCACCCCACAGGCGTTAACCAAAGATATAACCAAAAACCAAAGATCATAGAACGTCAGTAAGTCTGGTTACATTTTATCTCCTGTAGGACCTGATGAGTGTTTCATACTCCCGGCTTAGTGATTACAATGGGATTCCAGAAGCCAACGGTCGTTTTGTGCTGTGTGTTGCTGAGTGTCCTCGTAACAGGTGAGGTGAAACACAGAATATCTACAGAGTGTCACAAAAAGAATTCACATTAGGGAAGAACTTGTTGTTTCTTATAGTATGCCCATAACAAGACGTCAGAGAAATATTTCTAAGACTTTTCTTTTAAGTAAAATGCTTGATCTGCCATTGAATGTCATTTTTTCTTGTGTTGGCTTTTACCACTTCCTCCGGCAGACTTTTCCAGGTATCTACTACCCTCTCTGTAAAGTACTATTTTGTTCTATTTCTCCAATCATCCCTTACTCTTCTAGTGCTCGTCCCTTTATTGAAGATATGTAGGACTGCGTGGCTTGCTCTGCTTATTGCTGTATAAATCCATAGAGAGCTCACTGTAATGAATGCTAATAACTGAAAGGGTTATGTTCAATGTAGAGAGCACAACGTGTATTCTGACTCATTTTTTTCTGTTTTTTTTTTTAGAATATTTTGTTACGGATAGGAAGTGTAACTAGTGTTACTAATGGTACACTGAGAGAGTTATTCACTAAAGTATGAATTGTCAGGAATTCAAATTTCAGTTTTTAGAGCAAAAAAGCCAAACTTAAAGTATAACGGGCTTTTCATAATTCCCAACAATTCTCACTTTAACAAATAACTCTCTCGGAGTATCTCGAAGAGCCATCAAAGTATGTATTAGCAGTTTGCTTTGAGATAAATGGTTGTAAAATCCATTATATAAAGGGAAGATACCGGGACAGCACTCAATTGAAGGGAAATATGCAACTTAGAATGCATTCATTGTGCAAGGAATAGTGTGACAGGCCAGGCAAGCAATTAATCCAGCTCTGGACAATGATGATCTATTATTATTATTTTATTATTTATATAGCGCCATCAGATTCCGTAGGCTGTACAATGGGTGTACTAACAGACATGTAATTGTAACTAGACAACTAGATGTACAGGAACAGAGAGGAGAAGGGCCCTGCTCAATGAGCTTACATGTTAGAGGGAGTGGGGTATAGTGACACAAAGGGTAAAATTAGGGGTACGAAGTAGGTTGCTAGAAAAGTATCCATTGAGGGCTTAGTAGGTAATTTTTGACAGTTGCAGGAGAGGAGTCACGGGGGTGGGGGATAAAAACCTGCTAACAGTTTAAATGATATGCTTTCTTGAAGAGAGTTTTCAATGATTTTTTTGAATGAGTGGAGACTGGGTGAAATTCTTACGGAGAAGGGAAAGGAGTTCCACAGAAGAGGTGCAGCCCTTGAGAAATCTTGGAGGCGAGCATTAGAGGTGGGAGTAAGGACAGAGGATAGACGTAGGTATTTGGCAGAGCGTAGGGGCCTCGACGGGACATACTTGTGTATTAGGGAGGATAGGTACATTGGAGCAGCATTATATAGTGACTTGTAAGCAAACACCAGAATTTTAACTTGAGCCCTATATCTAACTGGAAGCCAATGTAGGGACTGACAGAGGGGGAAGGCGTGGGAGGTGCGGACGGACAGGAAAATTAGCCTCGCCACCGCATTTATTATAGATTGCAACGGTGCAAGCTGGGAACACGTAAGACCACTTGCAGTAGTCAAGGCGAGAAAGAACGGCATGGACCAGCACCTTAGCCGCATCCGGCATTAAATAGGGGCGGATGGGCGGTATGTTTTTGAGATGGAAGCGGCAGGATTTGGTGATCGACTGGACATGAGGGGTGAAGGAGAGGTTGGAGTCAAAGAGAACACCTAGGCAGCGAGCCTGCGAGGTAGTGGTGAAGTGAGCAGCCATCCAGTTTGAACTCGAAGAGAGGTAGTCAGAGACACGAGTCAAGATGGGCGGAGATAGATCAGGAGAGGACAGGTAGATTTGTGTGTCATCTGCATAGAAAGGATAACTGAAGCCAAAAAAGCTGATGAGTTTACCAAGGGAGGCAGTATAGAAGGAGAACAGTAGGACACCAAGAACAGAACCTTGGGGGACGCCGACAGAGAGTGGTTGGGGGCAAGAGGCAGAGTCAGAGAAAGAAACACTGAAAGAGCGCTGGCAGAGGTAGGAGGAGCACCAGGAGAGAGCAGTATCCCGTAGACCAAAATTATGGAGAATGCGAAGAAGCTGTTGATGATCAACAGTGTCAAAGGTAGCAGAAAGATCAAGAAGAATTAGGATAGATTAATGGCCAGAGAGATTTAGCTACCATTGGTAAACCAGTTAAGAAACATTTACATAGGTGGGATATAAATGTCTGACATATTAAAACAATCTTTCTTAATATATTTTATTCATGGTTTTCTGACTGTGAAGCAATCTCTGAAGCAGTTTTAGCTGAGGGTGGGAGCATTCTGCACAAATAGATATTGTTACTAGGAAACCTAAAATTAAAAAATGAATCATTGTGACCGTTAGTCAAGGAGCTACTAAGGACATTATGTTAATCTTTCTGCACTATTGGTACAAAAGATAATTAGGGATTTCTAAAAAGGGATTACATTAGTTCCTTGGGCAGTAGAAGACAAATAAGGATGGTGAGCAGCTCAGGGGAGGACATATAATCCAACCAATAAAACCATAGCTCCCAGTTTGCCGGCCCCTGCAGCCGCACCACATGAGTTTCAGCATGCAGAGGAAGGGAGTTGAGTCATGCCTTGCCTCCAGCCTGGAGATTTAATTAATCAAATGGACATAAAGTCCCACCCACATAGAGGGCGTTGATGCCTTTCTGCACTGGAAGGGCCTCCTGATTACATAGGCCCAGAGGGCCCTCCTTGTGGGTAGGTCTCCACACCTTCTCTCCTATTTGCTCTCAGTTGTTTTGTAGCCTACCTGTAGGTCACAAGCTTTTCAAGCCTGCTGCTTTTCCAGCTTTGGTAAATCCCTCGACTGACTAGTCCAGTGCCGACCATTTGGTAAAACTTTACTTTATGTTAAAGACTTTTTATTTCTTGAATTGGCAATCGAGATTCTGCCTTGTTTGTTGTTCCTATTTTTTATGCTGGGACTTTGCAGTTGTATCTATTGCCGTTCGGTTCGCCACGGACGGCGAACATATGCGCTGTTCGGTCCGCCCCCTAAGTCATCATTGAGTAAACTTTGACCCTGTACCTCACAGTCAGCAGACACATTCCAGCCAATCAGCAGCAGACCCTCCCTCCCAGACCCTCCCACCTCCTGGACAGCTCACTAAGAATGCAGCTTCAAAATGAATGTAAAATGGATGCTGTCCAGGAGGTGGTAGAGTCTGGGAGGGAGGGTCTGCTGCTGATTGGCTGGAATGTGTCTGCTGACTGTGAGGTACAGGGTCAAAGTTTACCCAGTGATGACAAAGGAGGCGGACCGAACAGCGCATATGTTCACCGTCCGTGGCGAACCGTTCGGCGAACCGTTCGGGACATCACTACTTATAAATAAAGACTTTAAGTTTAGTGACTGTTTCCTTCCAAATCTCTGCATATTAAGCCCATTCACCACAAACCTGTGACAGGCACGGAGTGATATGGAGTGGAAAAAGTCTGTGTAAATATGTTGATGCAAGGTACAATAATACTGAGGATATCAGATTTGGTGAAATTTATCTTCAGGTTAGATAATGCTCCATAGCCTACATATATTTTGTAGCTATTGTGGGCCACTCTAGGGGAGCATAGTGAGGAGTTTGAAGTATGCAACCAGAAGAAGGATTTGTAGTGCAAACACTTGATGGAAGCACAGTTTTAAACCCAGTGAACCATAGTTTATCAGAGTACTTTGTATGTTTGTAGCCACAGAGATCATATCTTTGCCTGAGCAATGTTTCCAATTGTGTAAATAGTTATTATGCCTGTAGGAGTCCAGGTTTGGGTGATACCGAGCTGGATGAATGAGCAACGGTAAAAAGAATGAACAATATATATTACTTAATGAAAACTATGCCGTTTTCAGGACAAACAGACAAGCAACCCTTGGTGACCACGAAATATGGGAAACTACTTGGGAGAAAGGTGAAGGTATTGGAGACAGACAGACCAGTAGACACTTTTATGGGAATCCCTTTTGCAAAGCCGCCAGTTGGTGAATTAAGATTTGCTAATCCTCAGCCACCAGCACCCTGGAACTCTATCAGGGATGCAACTAAAGACCCACCCATGTAAGTATCTAACAATTCTCAACACAAACAATACTGATTCAATTAATACAGCAAGTTGTGCTATTATTGTTTGTTTGTGTTTATTGGCAGGGGGTTTCAAATTGTTAATTTGCTGTATCTTTGAAACCACTGATATTTTATTGCTGTCCAGCCTTATTTTTTGTAAGTGTGGTTATAGAAAATTAACTTGGGTTTTAAAAGGTTGAGCTTGGTTCATTTCCCTGTTTTAAAAAAACAAACAAAAAAACAGTGCAATGTTTTACTATAATGCCACGTGATTAAATGTGAATACAAACCTGGTTGCACCAGCTGTTGTGGCAGTGGAAACCCACATGTTTAAACTCTGCACGACAAAATAAAGAATAAAAAAAAAAAGAAAAAAAAAGTTGAGCTTGATGGATTATAGTTTTAAGTTCAACCTAGATTACTATGTAACTATGTAATGGTCACCCTACTCTTGTGCCCTTTGCTAATATCAAACCATGTTAGGACTGCCTTTGTTTGATATTTGCTTGATTTTTTTTGTAACGAGTACAATATTGTCCAGGTGTTTACAAAACCAGAAATTAATGGAAGAGCTAAAGAAGCATTTCAAGATTGAGACTCCGTCGCCCCCATTTTCTGAAGATTGCCTCTATATTAACATTTTCACTCCAGGAGACCGAGAGAAGAATTCTAAACTACCAGTAAGTATTGATACATCAATTTTGTTGTCATAGAAGATATTGATTAAATCCCATTTAAGTTATGTGAAATAGAAGTAAATGAAGCAAACACATAATATACAATGTTTAGCAGACTTAAAACACTTTAATAATTATTATAGAAGAACTTAAACTAACCAACACAAACATTATTTAGGTCAATGGAGGAAGAAGATTGTGATCCAATGTTTTAAAACTAAATCTGAAGGATGTTTTTCTCCAAAAACACCCTTTTTTGGATAGGAGAAGATTACGTCATCTTTCAAACAAACAAATAAACAAACAAGCAAACAAAAAATGTGTGTCTATGGGGCAAAGTAACTTGTAGACATGGCAAGTTCCTGAGGTTTTCAAATATGAAGGCCTAAGTACCTATTCCGATTTTAATCTCTGCTGTACTTTTTATGACTTAGGGCTCTCCACGACACTTATCGAATCCTGCCTTTCTTGATTGCAAGACTTTTTCAAGCCTGTCTCTATTTCAGTCACTTTTCCAAAAAGCTTACAACACTAAAATATACTTCGGAGTCTCATAATTCCATAATATCTACAAAGTATGAGAGTCCTAGTCTACTACTGTAGTGGTCAGTTTGTTGCTATCAAACTCCGTACGCAATGTATCTTACAGGGCAGAATGTGTTGCCATCAATTGGGTCTCCATAGAAGTTGCACAGCCAGCTTTATTGAATAGATGCGGGCCCACACTTGGGTTCCATTTTGCATGAAGTATACCAGATAAGGTTCCATCTCTTTTTTGGCCAGGTTATGATGTTTATACATGGTGGAGGATTACAAGTTGGAGGAGCCATATTTTTTGACGGCGCTGCATTGAGTGCTTACGGAAATGTTGTGACTGTGACAATCCAGTACAGACTGGCATTCTTGGGATTCACAAGGTAAGTCCTGATTCAGACAATGTATATGTATCCATCTTTACAATTACAGTTGTATAATTACAAAGTAAAGAAGAACTGAAAAAAGTTCAGTGTTTCACATATCCCACTCTCTGTTCTTGATTCAAAATAATGTTAAAAATCCAATTTCATCTAATTTCAATATGTGTCCTAAAAAGGGACAATTCCCTCCATCAGATAAAATTCTTAAACCGATAAATCATTAGGGAACCGATCTTCTTTCACAGGGTGAGGAGGGTTTAGCTGGGTAGCTGCTGAGAGTATTAGCTGACGTATAATTTTCACAGGGTGTTTGGTGAAACCTTACACAGTTACATAGCTGAAAAGAGAGATGCATCCATCAAGTTCAGCCTTTCTCACATTTGATTTTTGCCGTTGATCCAAAAAAAGGCAAAACGCCCAGCGCTTCCAACTGTCCAACATACTATGAAAAAAAGTCCTTCTTGACCCCAAAATAGCAGTCAGATATCACAATGGATCAAGCAGATATTACCCCACTAGTAAAACAATTATATCCTTGTATGTTATGTTTTTGGAAGTATTTACCCAATTGCTGTTTAAACATCTGCATGGACTCTGATAAAACCACATCTTCAGGCAGACAAAACCACATCCTTATTGTTCTTACTGTAAAAAAAACCCTTTCCTTTCTTCCAGCCTAAATGTGTGACCTCGTGTCCTATGTATAGCCCTGTTTATGCATAGATTTCCAGATAAAGGTTTGTACTGGCCCTGAATATATTTGTATAATGTTATCATATCCCATCTGAGGCTCTGTTTCTCCAAAGAGATTTCAATTTGTTAACTTCTCTTTATAACTAAAATGCTCCATTCCTTTTATCAATATTTTAGCCCGCCTCTGCAGTACCATAATAGCCTTTAGTACAGGTGCCCACGATTACATATCCAAGATATGGTCTTACCAGTGATTTATCAAGAGGCAAAATTATATTTTCATCCTGAGAATTAATGCCCCTATGTATACATGACAATACATTACTGGCCTTAGCAACTGTCGCTTGACATTGCATATTATTGCCTAGTTTATTGTCTATAATAATTCCTTAATGCTTCTCATTTGTTGTTATCCCTAGTTCACTATCATTTAGGGTGTAAATTGCTTGTGCATTTTTCTACATTAAATTTCACCTGCCATTTTAGTGCCCAGTCCCCCAGTCTATCTAAATCCCTCTGCAGCAAAGCAATATCCTGCTCACATTGTATTCTTTTACAGAGGTTTGTGTCAACTGCAAACACTGAAACATGGCTTTCAATGCCTATTTCAAGATAATTTATAAATATGTTAAATAAAAGAGGTTCCAGAACAGAACCCTGAGGGACACCTCTTACCACTTTTGTCCAGCTTAAAAATTTACCATTTATGTAAACTCTCTGTGCTCTATTTTTAAGCCATTCATCTACTCAAGTACAAGAATTTTCATCTAGATCCATTTCTTTTAATTTGAAAACTAACTTATTGTGTCGAACCATATAAAACAAAACTTGGTAAAATCCAAGCAGATCACATCCACTGCAACACCCTGATCTATACTTCTACTTACTTCTTCGTAGAATGCAATAAGGTTAGTTTCACATGACCTATGTTTCATAAAACCTTGCTCATACTGCGGCAGCATAGAGTAAGGGGGACATCTGCGTCAGGTGCCAAATGCTCCAACATCAAGGTGAAACTGCTGTAAAACAATTTAAGATGGTGCCCGGACACTCTTTCCCCACAATAGACTTTGTTTAGAAGGTGTGAGTGTCCTTTAAAGTGACTTGGATTAAATTTTTTTTACCAAACAGTCCATGACTCTCATCCAACGTGCAACTCAAAATTTTTATTTGGCCACTCCGCATGCTTTTAATTCAGTGTTAATATTATCCCCACCCTGGTGATAAACCCTGAGCTTGGTTTTACGAACACTAGTGATTTAATCATATTTTCTTATACGTTTCAACAAAAAATGATAAAATGTATCAGTCGTTGGTGCTGTACTTCATTGTATGAATCCACAGATGTCAACATTCTTTTTGTATGTGTTCTATCTCAGTACTAAGGACAAAGAGTTACCGGGCAACTATGGGTTTATGGATCAAGTTGCAGCTCTTCAGTGGATCCAAGAAAACATTAAAGATTTTGGAGGAGATCCAGAGTCTGTCACTGTTTTTGGAGAATCTGCAGGTGGTTTGAGTACCTCTGCTTTGGTATGTTTTTTTGTCGCTCTCCATGAATCTATCTCTTTACATAATTTATTTTATGCCCATCTCCACATCCAAAGTACAATCAATACACTAAAACAAACAATCATCGTGTTATTATTTCTAGGTGTTATCTCCCTTAGCCAAAGGCTTATTCCACAGGGCTATCGCGGAGAGTGGGACTGCCTTATTTCATATCCTCATGATCACTGACCACAAAGAAATGATTTCTAGAATAAATGTGAGTATTCCTTCTCTTCTTCCTGTGAGCAATTTCTGGAAAAGCCAACTCTCCGTATAAAATATCCTTTTATGGTACCTGCGATCACAAAATACAAAGTCCCATATTAGTAACCACATCTTTTCCGAAATAGAACACTGGAGAGTATCATCAAGGTACAATTGTACAATGACAGACATTAAAGAGACACTATATGCACCAAAACAACTTTAACTTAATGAAGTGGTTTTGGTGTATAGCTCCAGCCCCTGTAGTGTCACTGCTCAATTCTCTGACATTTAGGAACTAAATCACTTTTGTTTATGCAGCACTAGTCACACCTCCCTTCATGTGACTCACACAGCCTTACTAAACACTTCCTGTAAAGAAAGATGTAATGTTTAAACTTTATTGCACAGTCGGTTTAATTTAGAATTTCTTATCTCATGCTCTGTTAATAAATTAACAGAGCAGGAGATTAAAATAAAAAATAAAAAACGTCTAAAGTAATCACATCATGCCGTAACATCTGATTGACAATAAACCATTTTTTCATGCAGGTTGTGTCAGTCTTAGCCAGTGGAGGTGTGGCTAGGGCTGCATAAACAGAAACAAAACTGAATTTAAAAAATGAGCAATGAGACTGCTGGGGCACTAAAGCACTAAAAAAAAAAACAGCTTCATTAAATGATCACTATAGGATCCAGGACACAAACATGTATTCCTGACCCTATAGTGTTAAAACCACCATCTAGCCTCCCTGGGCCCCTAATGCCTCCATAAATATAGCAAACTCTTACTGTATTCAAGCCTGAAGCTGTAACTCTGTATGCTGTTAGATTCAGAAAAACAAGCTGCCTGCTGACATCATCAGAAGTGGTAGTCTGATCCAATCACAATGCTTCCCCATAGGATTGGCTGAGACTGACAAGGAGGCAGATCAGGGGCAGAGCCAGCATGATTCAAACACAGCGCTGGCCAACCAGCATCTCCTCATAGAGATGAATTGAATCAATTAATCTCTATGAGGAAAGTTCAGTAGAAGGAGGAGATACTGAATGTTTGGATGCATTTTAGGCAGCCATGACCCAGGAAGGATCTCTACCAGCCATCTAAGGAGTGGCCAGTGAAGTTATCACTAGGCTGTAATTTAAACACTGCATTTTCCCTGAAAAGACAGTGTTTACAGCAAAACGCCTGAAGGTAATGATTCTACTCACCAGAACAAATTCAATAAACTGTAGTAGTTCTGGTGACTATAGTGTCCCTTTAAGTTGTTTTGTTGCTTAGTGTATCCCTTTAAGGGGGTTAAAGAATAATCTAATCTAGAAACCCTTTGTACGCCTAAGCAATTCACGATTCAGGCATATCCATTACACGTTCGTTAAAGGGACACTCCAACTTTATTGAAAGTCATCTGAGTGTTTGTTTACCTCAAAGGGGTAACCCCAAAGTGCTCTATCCAGTGCCCATTAGCTCCTCCCACAAACTTCTGTTGCAGGACGAGACTTGAATCAGGGAGCCGTAAACTGGGAGCTGCTAATAGTCTCAGAGCACAGGCCACTGATAAGCAGTTTCACCCTTTTAGGTAAAGAGTCGCCCAGGGAACTCCTCGCACCATAACAACCTAATTACAAAGAAATTGTTATGGTGCCTGGAATGTTCCTTTAATACATATTGTTTTTTCACACTGAAGGGTATAGCATAAAACTGAATGTAGTCCATTAATTAACTTTCCTTGGCCACAAGTGGATGCTACTTACTCAAATGTAGCACGTATCATTTCATTTGACTGTATTTTTAGTGGATTAGTGAATAAGTTTCTAAGAGTGGTGTAACAAAGCCCATATTAACCTATGGCACATTGCAGAACTCTAAGGCCATAGTATCCAAATAGTTTAGGTTTCTTATTTCTTTCTCCAGTCTATGTATTGTCAGTGAGTGTGAGTGAAGGTCAGTGTCCACCTCTAAGCAGAGCATATCAGGCTGCTATCACTGATCCAAACAGTTAGACAGACCAACTGCTGTCTGTAGAATAATCAGGGAACACGGCAGCTCAACTGGAGGGAACACGGCAGCTCACATTGGAGGGAGCACAGCAGCTCATAATAGGAGGGAACACAGCAGCTCACACTGGAGGGAACATGGCAGCCTACGCTGGAGGGAACATGGCAGCCCACGCTGGAGGGAACATGGCAGCCCACGCTGGAGGGAACATGACAACTCACACAGGGGGTGAACACAGCAGTTCACACTGGGGGGACACGGCAGCTCACACTGGCGGGAGCACGGCAGCTCACGCTGGAGGGAATATGGCAGTGGACACTGTAGGAAGGTATATTAACAACAACTCCCTATATGTTTTTCACAAAGGAGCTATGGCTATTATAACTATTAGAAGTATGAATTAATATATGCAGTACTATAACACAAGTTTATTTTAGGCAATCTGAAAATGTCAGGCTGTTAAATTCCAAATCTGGAGAGGGGGGGGGAAATGCAGTTAAATAATGCAATACTCCAGCATGTTTTTTTTGGAGGATCAAAATCACTAGAGAAGGTCTCCTGACTGCAGAAATCTGAACCATAAATAGGACAACTCATTTGCACGACTAGACTTTTTGTTGAGTGCCATTTTTGTGTTTTTCAGTACGTTGCCAATAAATCCGGCTGTGATCCTGATACATTGGCGGATTGCTTGAAAAAGAAAACTGAAAAAGAAATCCTTTTGATTTCAGATTCCACGGTATGTTATGTAATTACCCTGTGTTTTTCTACTAGGATACTTGAAAACAATTCTTGTTTAAGGTGAAACGGCATAATAACAGGCAGTTAGAATTACAAATCTTAAAGGGTTAGTCTGATTTTAGAAAACTTTTTTTTTTTTTTTGATGAAGTAAGGCTTGCTGGTTTGCCACCCCTTCCCCCCAAAAAAATCAACAAAAAAATATGACCTGCAAACTGACACGAACTTGATTCTCCTTTGGTGACACCACTCCCCCACTTCAGGTGGATGAACATCTTGGAGGATGGGCTAAATTGAGGACTTGGGAGGCACGGAGGGGAACCCTGCCCAAGCCGTTGGGCATTTGTCACTAAATGTTACAGCACAAAATCTGCATGTACTTTAGCCTGGGGAGAGGTGAATGCAGGTTATGTTACTGCTTAGAAAATTAAGTTAGGCGGAACTGCTGGATTTCTTCCACCAGAAAAGGAGAGAAGAAACACCTCAATCCACAAACAAAGAGGGAAAAGTAACTTTTATTCAAATTATGTTACTATCACAGTAGTGGCATAAAGAGGGAAGTGCTGGATTATTCTGGCATGACCAGTGCCTACTCCAGCATTTCTTCAGTGTAGTTTACAAAAAATGCCTACAGGATGTTACAAAAAAATCAGTATTTGGGAAGAAATCCACTATACAGTGCATACAGTTACCTGACTTAAACAAAATCCCTGTACAATGCTGAGCATTGCAGGTTGCTTTTGCAGCCTGCATAGAAGCTCTGTAGTGGGCGCACACCTCTCCTTTCTACCCTCTCTGCTTACTGTATTGCAGTCAATATAACGAAAACAGCAGTAAAGACAAATTTTTGTTCTGAGGATAGAGAATACAATGTTGCTGTGTTCATATAAATTGAAGATTAAAAACTGTTATACATTATCTGTACAGGGACTTTTAGATGTACCTGGATGTGTAGATGGGGTGTTTCTACCCAAACCTCCAGAAGAGATTATGGCGAATAAACAGAGCAACAATGTTCCCTTTATGATTGGCATTAATAACCAAGAGTTTGGCTGGCTATTATTTCAGGTAAGAACCATTTTTGTTGTCTCCTTACAAAATAGAAGATTGTTTTCTATTAAAAGTCATAAAGAATCAGATGATGTTTTGTAACAAACGTCTCAAAGTAAGAAAATCATCCCAAGCAAATTAATTTAATGTAAAACTAAACCTTCTTAAGATATAGGGTTTTAAAGCAAGGTTCGATCAGAAATGCGTGCAAGGTCCAGATGAAGTAACAGAATGGGCCAACACTTATACACAATAAATAACATGCTTCATGAGAGATAGACAGGCTGTTCACATTATGATCAGCATTTTATGGATGACTGTAAATGGATGTTCTGCTAAAAATTGCAATGATCAGGGCTAGGGAAAATAAACTTTGACTAGAGTTCAGGAACGTAAGTATACGATAAATGAGATAAACATAAAATTGCCTGATGTGTTCTGAGTCAAGTGGAACCTAATCATGAACTATTATTGCTCTTCTGTGACCAGGTAATGAATGTTGATGATTTTCAAAATGGAATGGATAAACAAACAGTACAGTCACTACTGAAAATCTTTAACTTTTTGGTAAGTCTCATATGCAATCTGTATGCACACTGAATGTGTCTTTCGTTATGTATAACAAATACCTGATTGATTTAAAAAAAGCAGAATTATTATATTAACAAAAACACACACAAAAAAAAACCCCACAGGGAAACCTTTGGGACCAGAAGGGTAATGTTCCCAAAGGCCTCCTTGGATAATTTTAATTATATTACGACTAACTTAAAGTATATTTAAAGAAACACTCTGGGTACCATAATAACTTCCTTGAAATTAGGTCCCTGATGCTTCCTTGCCATTAGGGATCAAAAGGTATGTACCTTTTTGAAGCCGTGTTTATGAATGGGGAGCTCCTGATTGGTTAAGAGCCTTAGATGACCATCAGTGGTGCCCCAGCTCGATGCTGCCCAAGCCTTCTGATGAATTTCAGAGAACTAGAGGACATAGGGAAAGTTCAGGATTCAGGGATTGCCCAGTTTTGTCCAAGGTGTTTTTTCCCTTTCTAAAAACGCCTTAGCCACAACTGGGTAATCTCTAAATCCTGGACTGGTAGAGATGGGCGTAAGGATTGGTTTGGGAACCACCGATTTAGCTTGTTTTCGACTAGCCTGAATGGTAACTGCACCTCCGTTACAATTAGTCATTATGAGTTCATTGTTTAAAATTGCTTTTATTTGAAATGTATTTGAAGTGAATTTGCCCCATTTCTGTGATGTTGGGCTTTGCTATTCTTCTGCCATTAATTAATAAAAAATAAAAAAAATCCCATCTCTGGGGAAGTGCACAGTCCCTGTGATAGACCTCTGTGTTTAATTTTAATTCAACAGTTTGATTTGTTTCTAATCCATTTCAACCTATTGTGTTTGGACATCACACTTTGTTGGTGTTCCTACCTCCACTGAATGGGATCAAGGTTTGTATTGGTTTCCTCTGCAACTATCCACCCCTCACTTTGAAGTTTACACACCTGACGTCTCCACCCTCCTTGTTAAGTTGACTTTGAACATGCATTTAAACATTGCAATGTAGGTGTAGCACTGTCTTGATAAAAAATCCCCGTGCAGACTGAAACGTTGATATGCGGGCTGCTTAAATAAAACGGCATAATTGTAATGACATCTATGCTTGGCCCCTTTTTGACAGTGTCATGAAAGGGAAGGAGCATAGTCATTTTCACATAAAGCCAGGGTGAATAGCTTTATTACAACTATGGTGTCAAGAATATATGTTTGTATTCCTGACACTATAGTGTTCCTTTAATCAAATTAATGGAACATTCTGGTCACCATAACAACTTCAACTAAATGAAAATGCTATGATGCAAGGAGGCCCCTCTCTTTCTTTAAAGGGGTGAAACCACTCTCAAATGGTTTACCCCCAAAGGCTTCCTCCAGCTCCAGAGCGCTCAGTGGTATTCAGCTTCTTAAACGGAGTGTCAGGAAGTGCAGACTGACGTCAGGCATGGGTGCCGCTGATTGGCTAGAGTGGTCAGCTGACGCTCTAAGCCAATCGTTAGTTCCCGATTCATAAAAATGTTTTACGTTTTCATGAATGGGGAGCTACTGATTGACTTAGAGTGCCAGCTGACCCTCTAGCCAATCAGTGGCACCCCTACCCAGCGGCCCTCTGTGCTTCCTGACACTCAGTAAATTAAAGTGAACACATTAACACTGATACTTTTTTCTACCTGGGGAGATGAGAAGGTCCAAAGTTTTCCTGCCAGGCCCAGGTACCAAAGCCTTATGATGTGGTGTCCAGAATGAAGTGCTCCAATCTAATTTTCTTCTCCTTCATTTGACACAGTCTTCTTTTTCTTCTGAGGCTCCTTCTGCAGAGGCGGCTCTAGACTTTATGAGGCCTTAGGCGAAACTCAAACATGAGGCCCCACTAACAAAAAAGTGAAAAAAATAGAGCTGCATCACATGCACACTGTCACATATACACATTGATGCACAGTTTACCTGTGTATGTGTCTGAGAGTGTGTCTGACAGAGTATCCTTGTGTGTGTGTGTGTGTGTGTGTGTGTGAATGTATGTCTCTGAGCTTTTTGGCGTTTTTGTCTGGTACCCTATGTATATGGGGTAGCTGCTTGAAGTGTGTTGTGTGTATGGGGGGGGGTGATTATCTGCTTGAAGTGTGTAGCTGCTTGAAGTGTGTTGTGTGTATGGGGGGGTGATTATGAGAGAGAGAGGTGGGTGATGGTGAGTGCCCCCTCTTGCCCCCCCCCCTGCGGACGCCCATGCTATCAGGGGATGTGATTTTTGTGGGGATATGTTGTATTTTGGGGTACTTTTTGGGGTTTGTAAAAATGTATGTTTTTTCTGTTTTGGGGTTTGTAAAAATGTATGTTTTTTCTGTTTGGAGTTAATTGAGTTAGCCCATTGTCTTTGTTAATTGTATCACAGGCAGAGGGGAGGGATTGTGTACACTGTAGGGGAGTGTCTGCATGTAAGACTCTGTTTGTATTGGTTTGTTAATTCTGTGTCCTGGGCGTCAACCTTGTGGGGGAAAACTGTATAAAAACTCAAGCTCTTCAATAAACCTTCAGACCTGCTTGACCCCTTCTTGAAGCCTTGGCTCATGTTTGGGGGATGGGATCACTACACTCTTGGGGATTGCTATAATCACAATACTCCCCTGCGTATAAGCTCTTGTAAGAGCTTATTCCTGCTACACTCTTTGGATTAGGAGAGGTCTACCCACTGGAAGCTGGATCCTGGTCTTAGGTCCAGGGTGTATGGAGGACGGCGTAGCTGCATCGCTGGAGGTGGGGTCTGCAGTGCTTGTGGTGTCTGGTGGAGTGCTGGGAGTCCTCGGCAAGCACTAGGAGCATCGATTGGCGGAGGTACTCGGTCGGAGTGCCAGCGGTCCGTCACACAAGCTTTCCAAGGGCTCTCTTTAGCACACTAAGCTATAACTTTTTGGTTGTAGAATTTGCATCAGGAGCTAGTAAGTAGAAAAACATTGAGTGCGGAACCCCACGCACAATGTTTTTTTGTGTGTATGAGATTTCCCACAGAAATTTCAAATTTGCAGTGATGTTACTACTGCAAAGGATTTTGGGGGTGGGGTATATGCAAATTAGTTCAACAAAGAATCACATTTCATATGAGAGAGAGAGAGATAATACACTATGAGATTTATTTTAAATAAAAACTTTTTAGTATTTGACAGAAAAATCCATCCCTTTGGTAATGGAGGAATATTTTGGGGACACAAGCGATCCTTTTGAAATCCGAGACCGATTCCTGGATTTGTGCGGTGATATCATATTTGTTATACCAGCTCTGAAGACAGCGAAATATCACAGAGGTAGGTAACAAAAACCTTTATCCTGGAACATAGTAAAATTAGATAATATGCTGCATTCATTTTTTTTTTACAATAATAGTTAAAGGGACACTATAGTCACCTGAACATTTTTAGCTTAATGAAGCAGTTTTGGTGTATAGAACATGCCCCTGCAGCCTCACTGCTCAATCCTCTGCCATTTAGAAGTTAAATTCCTTTGTTTATGAACCCTAGTCACACCTCCCTGCATGTGACTTGCACAGCCTTCCATAAACACTTCCTGTAAAGAGAGCCCTATTTAGGCTTTCTTTATTGCAAGTTCTGTTTAATTAAGATTGTCTATCCCCTATGTTAATAGCTTGCTAGACCCTGCAAGAGCCTCCTCTATGTGATTAAAGTTCAATTTAGAGATTGAGATACAATTATTTAAGGTAAATTACATCTGTTTGAAAGTGAAACCAGTTTTTTTTCATGCATGCTCTGTCAATCATGGCCAGGGGAGGTGTGGCTAGGGCTGCATAAACAGAAACAAAGTGATTTAATTCCTAAATGACAGTGAATTGAGCAGTGAAATTGCAGGGGAATGATCTATACACTAAAACTGCTTTATTTAACTAAAGTAATTTAGGTGACTATAGTGTTCCTTTAACTCACACTTGGTTTTACTTTATTACAATCTAATAGTTTGGGTAGTTTTAAATCAATAATTGCAGTATAACAGAGAAATTATTAACGGGACATGCATCACTTGGCAATTCTTTTTTTAAACCAGCAAGTAAACACTTTTAAACAAATATAAAAACCAAAATAAAGCAAGAAAACCATTTATAAATGTACTGCAAACTTGGTCAGATTGCATTTCTGGGCACACCTTTTTTAGCTAGGGGAATTTATTTAGTTTAAAATTGAATATAAATGTTAATGATTATTGTAAGAATTAAATGTTTCTTTAAGATTTCTGGATAGGACGAACTTTCACTTTATATATTTTAAATAGATATAATTTCACTCTGAATAGTTTGAGAAGTTCAGTATAAATCTGAACAACTTTAAAAAGATGAACAGTCACTTTAAAGAGCTTTGGATGTTGAGCAGGAATTTGGAACACTTTGAATAGATGAAACGTCACTTTAAACAGCCTAAGCAGTTGAACATTAATTTGGATTATTTTGAATAAATAAACAGTCACTTTGAGCACCCAAATAGAATACACAATCACTTTAGAAGGTTTGGTAAGGTAGAGAGTCACTCTAGTGAATTTAAAGAAGTGAAATGTAACTTTAAATGTGTTAACAGTGGTGTATCCTGGTTTTGTGCTGCCCTGCCTGACGTCATATTCCGGCTCCCAGCCTCACTCTGCGGCGCGTGAGGGAGCTGAGCGGACAGCTCAGAGGAAGAGCTCCCTCGCCGCCCGCACAGCAGCCCGCACGGTCAGTTAGCCGCAAGGCTAACAAGGCATTTGCCCTGGGCATTTGGGGGCGGCTTTTTTGCCGCCCCCTGAAAAATGCCGCCCAAGGCAAATGCCTTGTTTGCCTCGCGGCTATAACGCCCCTGTGTGTTAACAAGGTTTAGACAAAATGCAGACCCTTTAAGCAAAGTTGCAGACACTTTAAACAAGAACTGATTGTATCCTGGAAGCTTAATGACTGTAAATTACAAGACGGAGTACTCCAAATGCAAGTATTTATAATCAATGAATAACTGTATCCAAAAGGAATCTCCAGAAGCTGATTTAGAGGTATATTCACTTTATTCCGAATTAGAAGGAGGTAATCTGCTTTATTGTACCTTGAAGCAAATTTTAGTGGGATTGAGCAAGAGAATATTGCTTGGAGTCCAAATTCAGGATTGGAGAAGTTTGGGTAAACGATATCACAGGCAAAGGTTCGGTACACAAGAAAATGTATTTAAGATTGAGCTCAAACGGCAGTCTTGAATCGCTAGGAAACAGTTGAGTAAATGATTTTCAACACTGCTGCAGCTTTGTCTAAATAGGAGGGCATCTAACGTCAGAAGTAGTGATGTCCCGAACGGTTCGCCAACGGTTCGCCATGAACAGTTTCCGCGGACTCCAATCAGCAGACACTTTCCAGCCAATCAGCAGCAGATACTTCCTTCCAGACCCTCCCACCTCCTGGACAGCATCCATTTAGAAGCTGCTTTCTTAGTGAGCTGTCCAGGAGGTGGGAGGATCTGGGAGGGAGGGTCTGCTGCTGATTGGCTGGAATGTGTCTGCTGACTGGAGTCCGTGGCGAACCGTTCGGCGAACCGTTCGGGACATCACTAGTCAGAAGCAAAAGCGGGCTGATCAGGAAACCCGGGAGAGAATTAAGGGGAATCACTGATGTGGTAATGTATTCTGATTATGTCAGCCAAGGAGGCGGATCAGGGGCAGGGCCAGCGCCGGTGGACCTGTGCGGTGGCTTTAACACGATCTTTGCATATAATTAATGGGGAAGATTTATCAAAGTATTGAGAGTGTAGTGCCCTCACTGCCTGATGAGGGAATAAAGTTCTTTAATAACAAGGGACGAACAACTGCTGCTGCTCTGTCACAAAAGTATAGACTATGTCTTTAATAAATTACTTACTTAACATGCATAAAGTAAAATCATAAATGATTAAACATTTTAAACACAATCTACATTAGAATCCACACTTTTGTGGGCTCACATTACATCCACCATTTTGTAAAAACAAAACAACAAAAAAACAACATATCTTTCATCTCTTACAAACAAAATACTCCTTATAATAATTCCAGCAATGTTTTTCCCTTTTCCCGTTGGAATGTTCTCGTTACCTGATGAGGGAAAAAAGGTGTTTAATAATAAGGGACAAACAGCAGTTGCTGCACTGCCACAAAGTATTGGCTATATTGTGCAGCGTTCCTTTGATTTGTACCGTATAAAATATATACCTCATGTTACAGATTTGTAACGTTTACTAATCGCTACAGATTTATATTTATATCTCACGTGCTCCTTGCTTTTTAAAAAAAATGTATTCTAGATTCTGGATTTCCGGTTTATTTCTATGAATTCCAGCATCCATTAGCCGTTGCGAAGAATACAAGGCCAGACTATGTTAAATCAGATCATGGGGATGAACTTTACTATGTCATGGGAGCCCCATTCCTTCATCCTGATGCCTCCGCCAAAGGTAAATCACGATTATTTTGTGACATTCATTATTATTTTTTATATAGAGTAACATATTCCACAGTACTTTAATACGGGGATGTAAAATAACAAAGCAGGTTAAAATGATTATTAAAGAAGAAAAAGCCTTGGTCCGGCTCCAAATTATACCTTTTTGTTTTTTTAAAGGGATACTATAGGCATCAAAACAGCTTTAGCTTACCGAAGCAATTTTATGTGTATAGATTATTCCTATGCAGTCTCACTGCTCAATTATCTGCCATTTAGGAGTTAAATTAGTTTGTTTATACAGCCTTCATCACACCTCCCTTCATGTAACTTGCACAGCCTTCTTAAACTCTTCCCGAATAGGAACCTAGATAATCTAGATTCCTGTATTGTACACTCTGTTTAATTTAGAATTTCTTATCACCTACTCTGTTGAAAGCCTCCAAAACCCTGCGGTAACCTCCTCTTTGTGATTAAATGTCAATTTACAGAGTAGGATATAAAAATCTCTAAAGCAATGTAACATCTGATTGAAAAATAAACCCTTTTTTTTTTCATTCAGGCTGTGTCCGTCACAGCTAGGGGAGGTGACTAGGACTGCATAAAGAGAAACAAGATTGATTTAACTCATAAATGGCAGAGAATTCAGCAGTGAGACTGTAGGGGCATGAGCTATACACCAAAACTTCTTAATTAAGCCAAAGTTGTTTTGATGCCTAAAGTTTCCCTCTAAGCTGTGTTTGCATGGTTAACATTTTTCTTTTTTGTCACAAGATGGTAGAACAGAGAAGGAAAGACATTTCAGCAAAACAATGATGAAATATTGGGCCAACTTTGCTCGAAATGGGTAAGACATGAAGTTTACTTATATTTGTTTCAAAAAACACGTTTATTTTGTAGATTACCAATTTGTGGTGGTAGGCAAATGGTGATGAAAATTATGGCTGTGATGGTGTGGTATGAATTGCCGCTCAGAGTATGGGAAGTAAGAATGATGATACTAACATGGAAACAAAATGGCTAAAAATATGTTCTGATACTTAAAGCAGAACTGTCCCATTTCTGGATGTCACCACTGACTAAACCATCGAAAATCACCTGTAAACGGAGTTTCTTTTATTCATGCAACGCTCCATATTGTTTTAAATGTATTTTGAAGATTTAGTAACTGACATCACAATCCAGTTGAGTTTTGGCACAGCCAGGGCATAAGTTGGATTGGAGAAGGAGAACCCAGACCATTGGTGGAGATTTATCAAAGTGTCGTGTTCTGAAAAGTTATAAAATCAGAATCATCTTCAATGCAAGCTTAATGACAATTTGTTTGGTTTTCATGGTGATTGCCTGACTTTTAGAATTTGAACTACTTTTCAGAACAGGGCTCCTCTCTTTGTGCTATCTGCCAGGTGCAGAACTTGTAATACTAACTGACAGGGAGCCAAGATGGAGGCGTTCGGTACCAACATAGAAGTAAATATGGCTGTGTGGATTTCTACATTTAATTGCTTTCAAACACATATTTTTTTAGCTATAGTGGATAATTAAATTAAATATTGAGAATCATTTGAAGGGTGGGCTCCCCTTAAAGAGTTGGTTGAATTTTTGAAACTTTCAGGTAGATAGAACGAAATCTGAGCCATTTTCTTATGGATTGAACGATTACTCCACGTTTATAGGTTGATGACATTTTTTCTGCCTTTTCTGAAATGGAACTTTCTGATACATTTTAAGTTGTCTTTCACATTCTTTGCTCCTTTTTCCTGGATGATTTCACCATTGATTACATTCACAAAATAAAACAAACGAGCAATATTATGGGGGGGAGAGGTGGGTGGGGAGAATTTGTCAGAAAAAAATATGTCCTTTTAGACATTAGCTGGGATACACTGATGAACTGAGGAAAAAAAATGATTCCAAAATGGAATCATAAAATTAAATGAAGAAAGAAGCACCGTAAGGAATATTTTAGGGCAAATAGTGAAATAGTGAAATGAACAAGAAGCGCATCAGATTGCTAAAATTAAGCAGAACAGTTTTTATACATAACCTATGTCATGGGTTGGCTAGAGGATCTTCAGCAAGTTGAGAGGCAGCGACCTAACAAAGACAGAAGGATAGGAAGAGGCACATTAACGGGCCTTAGAGTAGCCAGCTAACTAAAGGTAGAACTATAAAACAACAAGACCAGACTAAGAGAAGGCTACAAACCAGGAAAGGAACAAAATACAAATAAATACAAAACACATGGTACCAGACACAAGTATGTAACAGTAACACTAGGCAATGGTTCGGAACAAGGAGACGAGAAATGTCGATAAACCACCCAGGGACTTGGTGGCCATGGTAGTCAGACTAGCCAGAAGCCTGGAACATGAAGCAGGCAGGAATGTACACAAGGGCAGCAGAGCAAAAGCATAGTCACAGCAAGCCAGGTCTAAAAAAATAACAGAGATTCAAAAAACAGGACAAAATAGCACTAAGGGCTCTGGAACCACAAAAGTGCCTAGATTAGACAGAGATAGCTCTCTTTATTTAGGGTGGTCCTGACCAATTTATTCTGCTTCCTGGAAATGAATAACACTGAAACCCAACCCACATATGTTCTGCAAAACAAGCACTCTATGTGATTAAGCAACCATTTGAAATCATAGCAGCAGAACAGGCTCCACAGTGGTATGGTGAGAGGAGTGTAGAAGCAGGAAGTAGAAAACAGAGGTTCAAGTCCTGCCAGAAACAGTAAGCAGTAGGTTTCCTGACTGTTACAAATATGAAGAAGGTGGATGGAGAATCCAATCCAGGAAAAGATAAGGAACTATGGGGGAATTTGAAGGGGGAAGGGAGGGGCAGAGTGGCAGGTAGGTAATTGTCTCATCTTATTTCCTTCTATAGAAGTAGTGTATATGTAACCTTCGTTATTCCATCCATGTGTACTTTGATGAATACCCTCAGTTTACACACAGTCTTTGATCAACCAGTTTTTGTCTTCCGATCCACAGAGATCCCAACGGACCAGGTCTAGTAAAATGGCCAAGATATCAAGAAAATGAAGCTTACATGCAACTTGACTTGGAGCAGAAACCCTCAGAAAAGTATAAAGCAGACAAGTTTGTTTTCTGGACCAAAACTCTTCCAGAGGCCATTCAAAAGATGTCAGAGGAACATAGAGAAGATCACGGAGAACTGTAGATTTGTATATATCATCATAGTTATCACGTTTCTTCATAAGAAGTAACAAAAATGGTTAAAACAATCACTGCTAAGTAGCTCAAGATGTCTAAAGTTTGTGTTCATCTCCACCTTGGGTTAGTCCTCAAGGATCTGTGATTTAGCAATCTGCCAGCCAGGAACACTGACACAATCTGGGCCAATTCTATCTCATTTCTGCAAAATACATTTTCTTTCAAGCCGTTGTAAGATGACTATTCACCAGAAACCAAGCAAGCTCTCAACTAATGGTCTGATGTTACCTTGTATCAATACAACTGGTTTCAAGTTTATTTTTTTTATTGTTTTATTTTAAGGGTTTATCCTTGCCCAAATACAATAAATAAATATCACAGTTTAGTACACATACCCCAAATGAACACATGCTATTTAGTTTTTCTAGTTATTGTGTGGAACATTTGTTTGTTCGGCTCAACAAGGATAAATGCTTGTTAAAATAGGCCTTTGATGTACTCCTCTCGCTTAGCATTTTTAACCTCGTAATACTGTCCCTTCCAACCCCTCTACCTTATAACAACACCCCACCCTACTCGAAGAAAGAAAGAAAGAAAGAAAGAGATTAAATTTTTTTTAAATAAAACCTCCCTTAGCGGACTCCAGTGAGTGTATGGGACATAAGGACTCATTGGATAGACACTACATTACTGTCCAATTGGCAATAAATTATGTATAGGCCAGTGGACATTACCGGACATTGACATAAGATCCCTCTAGTGACTATATGAGCATTTCAGATTAAGGTCTTAACATTTTTTAGTTTAATTATTATTTTGTCGAAGACTTACTGAATTAACATTTTTCTATTATCCCATTGGTAATTAATGAAGAGTCTTCTACAAAAGCACTAGCGGGACCTCAGCTCAATATGTAGCTAACTTGCTAGATTGTCAAACCCGATACTATGTACATAATAAGTTGCCTACACTCACCCTCAAACACAAATCCAACTTGTACTCAATGGACAGATCGCGTGCATTATACTTATGTTTTTGTTATATATCTATCTTATTGATATGCTGCGCACTTGGAGTCTGTACTGTATTTTTGTTACATATGCTTTGATAAAAATATAAATAAAGAATTTTGTTTTAAAAAAAGAGAAGAAATTTTTTTAAAACGTAATTGTTTTCTCACACCCCCTCGCATCACCACCACATGTCCAGGGCAGCTCACACATATCACCACCACATGTCCAGGACTAATGTTCTGGTCAACTGCTGCCTATTAAATTTAGCTCCACTGAGATAACTAAAACAAGTAATGGGACCGGTTGTCTGATTGACAGCCAGGGGGTGTAACAAAGTTAATTCATAAAAGTGCACATTTCTATTGATATCAGCTATTTTTGTAAAATGAAAAAACAAGGACACCCTTAACACATAAAGCACTTTAGCAAGTTCTTTAGAGGTCCAGAGTGCTCTTTTAAAGTTTGCATTTATTGTGCATTAAAGATAAAGTTGTTCTTTTCTGTAAGCTATTGTAAAGTTGGGCGATTGACTAAAACTAGGGGAAAGGCTGGCATGTGTTATATGTAAGAATATGGTAATGTGACCACTAGGCAAAATAGGCAGCCCCCTAGGGCACACAGGCACAGGGACCCAGTCTCCGGGTGACCGGCAAGAGGGGAGTGCACAGCACAGTGTTCCCCCTCCTGCTAATCACTGCATTTAGCTTGGCCAAGCAGGCCATCGGTAGAGTATCTTCTGTATCTGTCTCTGAGAGGAAGCTGCTCGTTGAGAACAATGAACAGACCCTCCGCCGTGGTCCACCCAACCAAGCTACAAGGTGATAAGCACTGCAGAAGGAGGAAGACACCACTAAACAATAGACAACAAGGCACACAGAAGGGATGAAGGAACATAGATACTCAAAGGGGGCTGATGGGGGACAGAGGCACACAGGGACAAAAAGACACTCAGAGGGGCGGGAGCAAAGACAAACAGAGGTGATGGGGTAGGACAAAGAGACACAAAGTTTACTTTTTTTTTGTGGGGGGGGTGGGCAGGGTAGCTGATCTTGCCTAGGATGCTGAATAGTCTAGCACTGGCCCTGTTCACAGCTGACCTAGCACTTCGTCAGACTGAAAAAATATTTTTATACTTGGATTTTTTTTCTTTTCTACCACAAGACACCTTAAAAATATATATTAATGAAAAATGACAGCTCAGTTGACTCTCCTTAATAAGTAAACCCCACAATGTAATTGAATTCAATGAAATTGATGTGTGAATTATTTGCAGTTTGGTTTCACGTATCAGTATTTACTGGTAATGTAGTATTCTCTTCTCTGTCTGCTGGAGTGAAAATGTTCAGATATAGACAGTCTTCGGAAACAGGGAGCAACTTGATGTTATCTGTAGAAAGCTCTGTGACGAGAGCAATCTCACCACTTTGCATTGGAGAAGCCTGGTTGCTCGCCTGTTACCTTTAGACTATGGCTCCATGTTAAAAGCCTTCTTTCCCCTGGCAGAAAAGGCTTATTCGTGCCTTTCTGCCCGGCGGTCGGTAGATTCAATCTACCGAACTCACGCACGAATGACTGGACCACCTGGGAGCTGGAGTGTGTCGGCAATTTACCTCCCAGAAGCTGTGGTTAACCGCAGCTTAATTGACGAATGCTGGGTGGCCTTTGTTCGGTTGCCGAACGGCCAGCGGTGTTCAGCGCCCAAACTATGGAACTATAAATGGACACTTATTTGCGCGAACACCGCTGAGCCGTCAGCCTCCTTGCTTCTGCATTCGGTCATTTAACCGGATGCCTGTTCATTCGGTAGTTTAAACCGTATGAACAGCATTACACCAGATAGCCATCCCGTGGAGTCTATTCGTATGGAGAACAGACTTTATGAACACTTTAACTCCATGGCGATTGGACTGTGTGCATAGGATCTGAGGGCGATTCGGTACTTTTGTGCGCTCAGATCCCAGCTATCTGGGGATGGGTTACATGTATATATTTTGTGTGATAAATGTAGTATTGTACATTTTATTGTATTTTAGTGTTTTATTGTAACCATGTGGGTAATGGCGTTTTGCCTCTGTCCATGGAGATAATTGGATTACTTCCCAATTATCTCCAGGATAGAGGGGAGGGATTGTAATGTATTGGGGGAGTGTTTTAACCCTGTCTGCCTGTGATTGGTCATTGTACCATTTGTGTCCCAGTCTTCCATCTGGTCCCCTAGGGGAGTGTCCACCAGGTGGGAGACCTGCATAAATACTGGGCAGGTAGCCCTCATTAAATCAGACCACTGCTTGACCCTCAACAGGGAGCTCTGTCTAGTTTTTGGGGGGATTTACTGTATGCTGATAGAGACTGATTGCTAGGAGTGTAAGCCGCTTGGGTGCTTTTCCTGTTCGTCTGCTAGCAGCTATTCATGAGGTTCCAGTTCGGGAGTTTGGAGTGCTATTTTGTATGCAGTTAGGGAGTTTGGAGCATTCCCTTATATGTTTGGTGTTCTGCAGTAGCTGTGCCTGTATCTCTGGAAGTGGAAGATCACCCAAACGGCAGTTTAACCCTTTTATGCTGAGGGTGCCGTTACAAGCTCCATAAAATATTCTAGTATCGAAATGTTTTATAAACACATGGACAGCTTGGGACACATATAAATTAAACATATCTCAGAAATGTAGTTCCAAAAACAGCAAGAATAACCATTTATGATAAACATGTGGACACAAACATAAATAAGTGCTTGTTGGAGAGAGGGAGTAGTGCATTTAAGGAATTCTAAGATGTCTCAGATATATATGTAAAAAAAAAAAAGAGTAGAGTACAACAAAATATAGTGCAGTATTTCTGGTGCAAATGGGTAGACGAGAAAAGGAAATGCACTTACAGTGTATAGAGCTTACGTTCAGGGACGTTTGGCACCCGGGGTGGGTCCTGTGTTTGACAACACCCCTCACCCCCTTTAAAATGTAAAATACACCCACACATTTTTAAAATGTTTTCAAGAATATATATTGCGCACATTTGTAAATAGTATATCAACTTGAAAACACTAGAACTATAAAAAAATAATTATTAACTTAGAAATAAAACATTGTCCTCCCCCCCATTATACAAAACTCCTGTCCTGCCTCCATTATACAAAACCCCTGCCCTAACCCATTATAAAACCCTGTCCTTCCACCTTATACAAAACCCCTCACCCCGTCCAAAAATCCTCTGTCCCCCTTCCACAAAAAACCCTGCCCCCTCATACAAAACCCCTGCTCTTCCCCATTCTACAAAATCCTGTCCGGCCCCCCTATACAAAACCCCTTCACCACCCCTTCACTCTGTATGTGTGTGTGTCTGTGTCTCTGTATGTGTGTGTCTCTGTATGTATGTGTGTGTGTCTCTGTCTGTGTGTGTGTCTCTGTATGTATGTGTGCGTCTCTGTATGCGTGTGTGTCTGTGTCTCTGTATGTGTCTGTGTGTGTGTCTGTGTCTCTGTATGTATGTGTGTGTGTGTGTCTCTGTATGTGTCTGTGTGTGTGTCTGTGTCTCTGTATGTATGTGTGTGTGTGTGTCTCTGTATGTGTGTGCAGGGCTGCCATCAGACATTTTGGGGCCCTAACACAGCTCAAAGTCTAGGCCCCCGGGGGCTTACCTACAAGCCTGCCCTCAGGGCCCACCTCTAAATCCCACGCACAGGCCTGCCTTCAAGTCCGGACACAGTATGTCTGTTTTGTGGATGCAGTTTGTATTTTGGATGCAGTTTGTGTAAAGTGGACATGGTGTGTGTTAGTACATGTGTAGTGGATGCAGTGTGTGTGTGTGTGTGTAGTTAATGCAGTGTATAAACTTCCACACACATGATACACATGCACATAGACACACATGCCAATCCACAGACATACAGATACACACACTAACACAGATACACACACGTACACACATTGACACATAGTTACACACACGCATATACCCACACTGGCACACACATAGATACAAAGAGACTCATAAACATTGACACAGAATACACACCCAGACACAAAAAAGACACACAGATTCACACATACAAAGATACACACACTGACACACAGATACACACACATATACTGACACACATACATACAGACACACACATACACACATACATACTGATGGTCTTTGACCAAAGACCCGACACAGGAGGGTGCCTGGCAGCTTGCCCTTTATGCCGCCGGGTGTGAGGCCCCTCCAGTTAGTCTGCTCTATTCGAAAACCGCCCAGCACTTCAATCGGTCTGCAGCTCCGCCAGGCGCATAGCTGCAGACTGAACTGTCTCACTGTCACATCCTGTTCCATGCTGCGGATCATTCTGGTGATGGCTTCTGGTATCCAGTACTCTTTTTACAATTCTTGTTTAGTTTTTCTTGGTTTTTTGGTTTTCTATTCTATGTCTGGTTTTCTTTATGCTGGGATTTCTGGGTTAATTCCTATATTCCGTCCCTGGATTTCCCAGTCTCTTGGATTCATTTAAATGTTTGTTTTATTTGCCACACCCGTTTGTTTCATATCATCAGGCATACTGGGTCCCGGTCCACGCACTGCCGTCCAGACAGTGTCTGGGTCCCGGGCACCGGACCGCCACCCGTGACAGTATGGCCGTAGGCCCTTGGAGTTCGTGGAGTGGACTTTGCAGCTTTCCTGTTCTGTCTGTGTCGTGTTATGCCTGGTTCTTCTGCATGCAAGAGATCCTGTATCTGGACCAGTCTGCTGGAGATGGCTTCCTAATTTTTGTCGTGGAGGAGGTTGATCTGCTAAGCTGTACGGTGGTCGCTTCAGGTGTTCTCTTGTGATGCTTGTTTCCAGTTTTGTGGCAGTGCTCCTGTTCTGGCGGTGATCTTCATTCGTTGCTGGTGGTTCCTATGCAGGAGGCCTTTCCGGTGGGGGATCCTTGCCTCCGTGGAAGTCAAGAGGACTTCGTTGCAGGATCCGCTCGCCATTCCTGGTCTCTGCCTGGGAGCTGTTGGGTGCGTCCGGAGGTCGCTCCTTAGGAGGGGAGTTATGTTACATCCTGTTCCTCGCTGCGGATCATTCTGGTGATGGCTTCTGGTATCCAGTACTCTTTTTACAATTCTTGTTTAGTTTTTCTTGTTTTTTTTTTTTTATTCTATGTCTGGTTTTCTTTATGCTGGGATTTCTGGGTTCATTCCTATATTCCGTCCCTGGATTTCCCAGTGTCTTGGATTCATTTAAATGTTTGTTTTATTTGTCACACCCGTTTGTTTTCCAACATTTCTTTTGTTTCAGTGTTCCTGTAGGCAGCTGCTCAAGTCTTCTGCCCTTTCTTGCAGGTAAGTACTGTGTGTTTTCTTTGGCTTGGTTTAGCTTACATTAGGCAGAGTAATGATTTAGATCAAAGCAAACTTTGATTATTTGTCTTTCTACTCCTTCCAAATTGATTAATGCGTGCATGCTCTTCCTAGAAGTAATTCACACCGGAAACAAAGTTTCTGATTAGTGAAAAACCTGAGGAAAAAAACCTTTATTCCCCGGAGTGGGAGCCCCTTTTAAAGCAGAAATACGTCACGTACAGAGTCACAGTTAACATACAGTATTCATTCAACAATTGGTTAACAGTCTAAGGGGTCTTGTCTAAACCTCCCCCCTGCCCCACTACAGGATGTAATGTCATCATTACAGAGTTCTCCCACCCACATTCCAGCTCCATCTTGGTTACACGATGGGAGGGGGAGTGAGTAGTAGTTACTGAACAGAGAAGGGGAAACAGTTACTTTAACAGCGATTCTCCATTTTGTTACATGTGGCACATAGCTGTTAACTTGCACAACGGAAGTGTGGGAGGAGTTTAGTAAAGGAAGCTGTTCTTTTAACACAGGAATTTGTTACACGAGGCTTGCTCGATGGGAAGGGGGGAGGGAAGCAGGATGGGAGGAATTTGCAGAGGAAATAGTTACTGAGCACACATTGGGGGGGAAGGGAAGCTTTTACTCTAGCAGCCAGTTTAACACAGTGAACACAGAATAAATAGACATTAGTAAATAGCCATTTTATTTTAATTGTTTTGTCCATAACAGTAGGACCTGCCAGATATGGGGTACATTGGTGTTGTTGGCAGACTTATGCAATGTAGGATCATATAATGGAACTAAATCCCCATACTTTTCATATATATTGCTTAGTTATGTCTCCTCTTGTTTTGCCTATTATATCTTGTCTTGTTTTATTTTGTCTTGTATTCCCAGTTCATGTACAGTCCTGCCCTGCCCTGCCCTGTTCTTGTTTTCCTCATGTCTTGTGTACATGTTCTGGGTTCTGCTTTCTGTCCTGCTCTGGTTCTGGGTTCTTCTAGTTTTGTCTTGTTTTCATGTTTGGTGCCTATCTCTAGTCTTGCCTTGCTTCTGTGCTGGATACAAACCTGCTGCAGAGCCTCCCTATTCAGCTCTGGGAGGTCTGCTTATTTCCTAGCCCCTAGTTCCTGGGATCCGCATAAGCTGAATCAGGGTTCTGGTTTGTGGCTGCATAAACGCTGGTGCTCTACATCAGGGGGCGTGCGGTTACCCTGCACCAGACCCTGCTAATCCTCCTCCACACTGTGACTCCTACTCTGAACATCAGGCATACTGGGTCCCGGTCCTCGCACCACCGCCCGGACAGTGTCTGGGTCCCGGGCACCAGACCGCGACCCTGACACTCGCGATCTCCAGTGTATCAGAGCATTGCCGTGGGTTACCACGTCAATGCTCTCATACTTTTGGAGATCGCAAGACTTACTATGTGGTCTGCAGCTCTCCGCCCGATGCACCCCACACATGTGCAGCACTGGACTAGGAAGCACCTCTAGTGGCAATCTGAGTGACTACCACTAAAAGGTGTTACTAGGCAGCAATGTAAACACTGCCTTTTCTCAATAGGCAGTAGGACAGGCAGTAGACACCAGAACCACATGACGCTGTAGTGGTTCTGGTGACTCTAGTGTCCCTTTAAACAAGAAGAAAACAACATATATTTATTTGCATGACTGCTGAAGACTTAGCTTTGGGAGGGAGGGGGAGATTTTATAAGGTGAGATGGCTGTAGGTGTGACTTGTGGGCCATGTTCCAGCTAAAATGGATTGCAGCTGATTTGACTTATTCTAGCAATTAAGTGATTTGTTGGACAGATGTAATTTGAGATAGGAGTGGCTAACACACATGTTTGTTCATGGTCTGATATAAACCTGATCCAGCACAGACATGGTAAACTGCTGGTTGAAGCTACTGTTGACAACTCCCATAACTCTCTGCCAGCCAGAGGGCAGAACTGCTTGAGGGTGACACGATATGACAGATCTGATCAAAGACTTATTGTAACTCCTAATACATCTGTATGTATACCTCAGAGAGCTAATGGTGGGCAACATATGGGGTCATCATGCCCATAACAGGACCCCATATGCAGGGCCGCCATCAGGGCATGACAACCATAACGGTTGTCATGGGCCCGGCGGTCCTGGGGGGCCCGGACTGCTCTGGCAGTCCGAGCCCCACATTCCTTATGTGCACATATATATAGCGGTTTTCTTTCCAGCTCCTCTCTGTAACTTTCCTGCGGCACGCAGGCCGGTCTCTCAGAGAGGAGCTGGAAAGGAAGACAGTGTGCTGCTGGGCCCCCTCTTCAATGTACCACGGCTGGCTTCCTCCACAATGCGATCTCCCCCCTCCCTGGCACGGTAAGAAGCAGGGAGGGGGGAATAAAATGTAAAAAAAATACACAAATAAAACTTTTTTTTTTAAAAATACTCCCCTTCCCCCTATTTTACACACACACTGCATCCTTACAAGTACACACTCTGCATTACACACACACTACATTCACTAAACACACTCTGCATTACACACACACACTACATTCACTAAACACACTCTGCATTACACACACTACATTCACTAAACACGCTCTGCATTACACACACACTCTGCATTACATACACACACTACATTCATTACACACTTTGCATTACACACACTACATTCACTAAACACACTCTGCATTACATTACACACACTAGTCACTAAACACACTCTGCATTACACACACTACAGTCACTAAACACACTTTGCATTACACACACTACATTCACTAAACACACTCTGCATTACACACACACTGTATTCACAACACACTTTGCATTACACACACACTACATTCACTAAACACACTTTGCATTACGCACTCTGCACTACACACACACTACACTCTGCACTACACACACTACATTTACTAAACACACTTTGCGCTCACTATAAACACTGCATTCACCACAATCACACTACATTCACTATACACATTTTGCATTCACTACAATCACACTACATGAACTATACACACTTTGCACTAACGACAATCACTATGCATACTTTGCACTCGCTACAAACACACTACATTCACTATACACATTTTGCATTCACCACAATCACACTATATGCACTATAAACACTTTGCACTCACTACAAACACACTACATTCACTACAAACACACTACATGCACTATACACACTACTTTCACTACAAAAAAACACTCTGCATTCACTGTACACACACTAGATCCAATACAAAAACACACACTTTGCATTCACTATACACCCCTACATTCACTACACAAACACTCTGCATCTAATGCATGCATACAAACATTACATACATTACACAAAATGTACAATCTGCATCCACTACACATACTGCATCCATGACACACATACCACATCCACTACACACATTCTACATCCACTATACACACTGCATCCATGACACACATTCTACATCCAATATACACACACACTTCATCCTTGTGGGCGGACTCGGGCTGGCCCCGGGGGCCCAGATCTTGAGCTGTGTCAAGGGCCCTAAAATTTCTGATGGCAGCCCTGCCCATATTTAATTCAACTGCACCAGTTACATTATGGCTTTTACCCTACATATTATATATAATAAAATGTTATAAATCAGCAACATAACTACAAATGTGACTAGCATAGTACATATTATTATTATTATTTACATACCTTAGAATATCATTTTAATGCTCATTTCCTTCGTAAGCACAGCCCTAATGTCAGCTACTTTGTATCAGCATGTGTAGCCAGGTGTTATTAGGCCATTTCCCACTCAGTCAGTTAGACTGTTGCATGTGCCAGACTTCCCTGCTTGTACAGAAAGAGGGGAGGATTGTAAAGGCTGCCGATAGCAGTTCTGCAACATTTGCAAGTTGTTTTTACATAAACGCCCCAAAAAAACATGCAGGAAAAAAAATACAAATTTGGGAGTATATATATTAAATATAAAATAAAATCAATTGAGGGGTGAAGCGCGCAATTTCGAGACCCGATCGGTGTGCTTGAAGCTGAGCTGACTTATGAACCGATGGGTAGAGAACTGCCATGAGGCAGAAGCAAGCAAGACGTGCTGGAAGAGGTGAAGAAGAAGCAAAGCACTGATGGCTAAACCAAGTGTCACAACCGCCATACAACAGGAGAGAGCTGCTCGAGCAAAAAAATTAAGCAGTGAGGTGGAGGGAATTGGAAGCTGTGGGCGCCCACTGGCAGCCCTTTATGCCAAGAGCCCCTGTAAATTAAAATATACTGAAATAGAATTATTCAGGGGCAAGACTGTGAGATAATTAACTTGACACTGACACCCCTGTGAATAGGGGAGATACGTCTAACAAGACAAGGTGTAATACGCACCAAAAATCACAGAAAACTCCCAGGATTAAAATAATATATGGTGTAATTCTGAACCTAATTTAATAGGATGGAAGGATAGAAACGAAAGAAGGAAAGAAAAGAGGAGAAAGAAAAGGAGAAATATTCACTAAACTGTGAACTCCATAGTTACACCGCATAGAATAAAAACATATCCCACCTAAAAACTTGACACATGTGAAGCTCTCCACTAATAAGTTCAGTGCTTCTGCATGATTGAAACTAAATCTAGAAAACCCGTCAAAATTTAAAGAGACAATTTTTTATTTTTTTTATTTCTGCTTTCGTCAAATTGTTACACGTTATATGTTATTTAGCAATACGATATGGCAAACAGAAAGACCCAAGATCAAAGAAAAAGCTGATAACAAAGGAGACTCTTTGGATAAATGCTTCTTCTTCTTTACTCCACTTACTCTACATACGATTTCAGAAATGATTCCATGAAAAGTATTGAGAGTGATTTAATAGAAAAAAAAACAAGAATCCACAAATCAACAACAAAATGTCACAGTTTAACTACTAAACAGTGCCCTGGAAATCCAATTGGAAGAAATAAAAAATGAAATCCTTACAGATGAATAGAAAAAAGATATTCTAGCAACAAACACAAAGATCTCTGAAAATTCTGAAAAATTCAAGATGTAGAACATACTTTGTCTCAAACTCAATTGGAATTTCAACAAATACAAGCTAAAGTTATCTCATTAGAACAAAAAGCTGCTGATTTAGAAGATAGGACGAGACACAATAACCTAAGATTGAGAAACATCCCAGAGGAAATAACTAAAGTAAAATTAGAAGAATACTTGGGAAAATGTTTTGCGTCCATCCACATTACAAGAGAAAAATATGTCGGTCTTATGGAGGCTGGCAAGTAGGGTCCTTCAGGAACTTGAAAAGGGGAGTTTGTCACAGGAGGAATTGCAAAGAATAAGATAACACAGGGTTCATAATAAGAGATAATTAATGAAAATAGTCACAAATGAGAGAGGGGGATTTAAGAAGAAAAAGAAAGCATAAGGGGAAAAGATAGAAAATGGAAGATAGCCACTTTTTTTGGAAAAGTGTTTTCACGTTTAGTTTTCAATAAATCCACACAAAATAGTTTTAACGCGTAACGTATGGGTATTTTAAAAGTACAAGAGTAAGAAATATTGGGGACAGCTTAACGCTTAAACATGTTTGTTTGTTTTTTATGTGTGCGCTTGTTTGTCTCCTCTAACAGGTTCATAATTCCAGTCACCATTTGGCCCTCGTTTTTTCCTTTTTTTTGTTAGATATGTCTTAGGAAACGATACATCTCCCTGTCTAAACTGGGGGTGGGTTTGACAGGGAGGGTACTCTTTAAGTACCTTAATCTAGAGATTTTATCTAGGAAAGGTTGTACAATCTACATTTGTCGAATTGATGGGTTTTTTTTGTATTTACTTTTCTCAATGTTTTTATTTCTCTAATGCTGTTCAGTTAAATGTCTGCTCTGGGGAAGAGAGAGGGTGGCCCCAAATATTTGATAATGCTTAAGTTTGTTACACTAAATGCGCAGGGATTCAACTTCCATTTAAAGAGATCAATTTTGCTCCAAAGCCTTCTTTAAATTTAATCATTAAACATGTCGAATACGATGAAGGAGGGAGATATTTAATAATAATATGTATAATAAATCACATTTCTTATACCCTAGCCAGCATATATGCCCCAAATTGTATGGCAATACATTTTATATTGGATTTTTGTGATAGACTAGACAAGATAAAACAAGGTTCAGTATTTTTGGCAGGCGATTTCAGTTATATCATGAACGTAAAGATGGACAGACAGTCACACTCAGAGCAAACGATAGAAACTCCTTATCACAAGCAACTCGGTTTCGCTCCTTGACTCACAGTAATGCCCTTCTAGATACATGGCGAACCCACTATCTGGATGTAAGGGATTATATGTGTTTCTCTAAGACTCATTTGTCTTATTTGAGAATTGACTATATTATGGCCGACTTTGACACAGCTGGAAGAGTAAAGAAATTCCAAATTATAGAAATTCCCTGATCTGACCACAATTTGACTTATATGGATTTAAAAGATCAATTTAAAAAGATAAGACCTGAATGGAAACTAAAGGGATTCCTATAAGAATCTCTCCAGAAAAGGGGACCATATTAAAAAAACAAATTTTTCTTTATTTTAAAGAGAACATCACTCCTGATTCTTCACCCTCAAATATATGGGCAGCTTTTAAATGTGTTATAAGGGGCCATTTTATCAAACTGGCAACACCCGATAAAACTCGAAAATAGATTAGATTAACAATCCAGAATTAATTAATCCAATCCTTCTATAAAACATTTCTAAATTAATCGAAAACATAAAAAGTCTAATTAATGATCTACTAATTAAAAAACAAATAGAATCCTGCACAAAAGGGAAACCTGTTGGTATTATAAACGCAATAGGGCTGATACACTACTAACATCTAACTTAAGAAATTTAGATAAATCTAAAATTGTTCATGATGGAAAAATCTGCTTATCTCCAGATAAAATTGCTGGAGCGTTTGTGAAATACTATAAAGAACTATATAATTCCACAAATCATTTATCAACAGTTCAAATGGAATAGTATTTAAAAAAAAAAATGAGAAAATTATCTTATTCCCAAATTAAAAAAACTTAATATGCTCTTTTCAAAACAAGAAATTTATAAATCAATCGATAAGTTGGCACCTAAAAAAGCTCCGGGTCCAGATGGCCTTTTGGGACTTTTTAATAAAACTTTCAAGGATGAGATAGTTCCACATTTAACTACTGCCTTTAATGAATTTGCCGATAAAGGCTTACTACCCAAGGGCCTCCTGAGAGGTACCATCATAACAATTCTAAAACCTGATAAAATCTGAAAGATGTCAGGAGTTATAGACCCATAACACTCCTTAATGAAGATATAAAGATGTGCACTGGGGTGCTAGCTCATAGGAAGAAAACGGTCATATCCGATTTAATACATATAGATCAGACTGGATGCCTGATAGATCATCTTCCATCTTCGAGTCGTACTCGAACATTATTAAACATATATGAGATTGCTCGTAAACGAGGCTCTCCTTTGCTGACCCTGTTATTGGACGCGGAGAAAGCCTTTGACAGAGTCAGCTGGGATTTTTTGACAAATACTCTTAAATTCTTTGGTATTACAGGTAGATTTTTTTTAAAGCTATAATGGCTTTATAATCAAACCCAACAGGAAAAATAATAAGTTATGGATTTTCCACAAACTGGTTTACCCTCACAAATGGTACCAGGCAAGGATGCCCACTGTCACCGCTTCTCTACGTACTGACAATTCAATTATTAGCTATAGATATTAGATACAACAACAAAATAAAAGGGTTTAAAGACAATGTAGAAAGTAAACTTAAACTATATCCGGACGACATACTCATAACTATAGAGGACCCTGTAAATTCTATCAAGGAAATAATGAAGTTCATTGAAAATTATAGTCAATTCTCGAACTACAAGTTGAATACATCAAAATAAATTGCTCTTCCCTTACTCATGAATACTAGGATGATAGCAGAAATTGATTTGATTTTGCAATGATTTTCTTTGGGCTAAAGAATATTTCTCCTATCTAGGCATAAAGATATTCCGAGACCCATGAAAATGGCTTGAGATAAATTTGCTACCTTTAATAAAAGAGATTAATACCAACTTTAAAAGCTGGGGGAAAAAAGAGATCTCATGGTGGGGCAGGATCAACACCGTTAAATCAATCCCCAAGAGCTGGATTATGTTAATTCAGTCTTTATTTTCTAAATTTATCTGGCTCAAGAAAAGACCCAAGAATAAGCTTAAAATATTTTTTGAAAAAACATCGACAAGGGAGGACTAGGACTTACCTGCCTGAACAGACTTAATCAGGCATATTTACTAGCCCATGCTATCCATACTTTTCATCAATCATCTACCAATGAAAGCTGGTACAATCTTGAATTGAAGAGAATTTGTTCATACAAAAAACTAGCTTTAGTTTTTTGGCTCCCTTCAGAGTCTATTAAAAAGTTTGATTTTTTTTTTCAGAATATATCTTCATTAAACCAGATCTTAAAAAAACTGGTATAAGATTAAGGAAAATTTAGGTCTCAGGTGACAAATCTTGCTGTCCTTGAGGATAGACACTTTTAGTGAACTTTTGATGGATGCTGATCTGTCCCAGTGGCAGTGGCGTAACACAATCCATGGGGCCCTGGTGTAAAACTGATCCATGCTCCCTCCCCCTTTCCCTCGCCCCAACAGACACACACACATACATACATACATAGGCATACACACATATACACATACAGACAAACAGATATGTACAGACACATACATACAAACAGACAGGCACACATGCAGACAGACAGACACACACACAGACATACATACAGATCGACACAGACAGGCACACACACATACAAATACATACATACAAACAGACAGGCACACATACATACAGACACATACAGACACATACATACAGACACACACACATGCAGACACACAGACAGACACATACATACAGACACACACACATGCAGACAGATACATACATACTAAGACACATACATACAAACAGACAGGCACACACAGACAGGCACACATGCATACAGACACACACACATACACATGCAGACAGACACACACACATACAAAGACACAGACAAACAGACACACACACACAGACAGGCACACACAAAGACACATACATACAAACAGACCAACTTAACTTTTAATATAATTGTAAATAAAATAAAATAAGTAAATCAAAGCTTTACTTCAAAGATGTTTTAATTTAAGGTACAACTAAGACTCTATTTCGATACCTATTACCTATCTCTTTGGCGACACCTACTGGTAGTGCCTATTTTTGTTTTTGCATTTTTTTTATTTTACATTACTTTACAATTTTTTTGTTCCACATTTACTGTTTGGAATTAAATGAACTTCATTACAAGCTTCTTAATAGATGGCATTACACCCCATTAACATTAAAAAAAATTGCCCACAGTTATCATCAAATTCACTAATATTACTGCTTCATTCTTTAACAGCTGTGAAAATTGTCATAGCTAGACAGTGGGAAATTCCTACTAAGCCTGATTGGCATTTCATTAAGGCACAACTATCCCACCTATTAAAAATGGAAAAGGGTATTTTAACTAGTTCAAACACAAAAATTCGATACTCTGGCTTATGGGATAAATGGATAAATAAATTGGAATCTCTGTAAACTACTATCTCTTATAGGGAATTGTTCCAGGCGCACTTGAGGGCCCACTGAATTGTCGTTCTCTCCCCCCAGAGAGTGTGATTATTTTCTTTTTTTATGTGTTCAGTTTGTTGTCCTTTTAGATTTGTCGCTGTCTTTGTAGATTTAATGTGTGTCGTGTGTGTTTTATATTGCTAAAATTCAAATAAAAAACAAAATCAATGGAGTGTTTCTTTAATTAAGATGCTGGGTGTGATGAATGATATAAAATTAATTAACTATACATCTTCACTTAATAAAAACTATATTGTCTGCAGGAGAAAAGCATGATCAACCATTGGTGACCACAAAATATGGGAAACTACTTGGGGAAAGAGTGACGGTAAAGGGGACAGACAGACGAGTAGACAATTTCTTTGAAGTCCCATTCGCAAAACCGCCAGTTGGGGAATTAGGATTTGCCTGTCCAGAGCCCCCAGTACCTTGGGACTCCTACAGTTATGCAACTAAAGATTCACCCATGTAAGTATGTAATCCAACTCTCTACCAACTCCGTTTGGGTTAATCATTAACAAAAAGTATGTTTTAATTTTCAATATTTTATTGTAGCCTGGATTTGAACATTTTCCAAAACAGCCCTAATATGTGACCAGTCGACCAACATGTCTTGAGAACATATTCATATTTGTGTTCACATGTTTATGTCCTGATGAATTTTCATATCTGGCTATGCCTGTTGTTGTTGGAACTGCATTTCTGAGTTATGCTTAATGTGTATCCCACGCTGTCCAGGTGTTTACAAAACATTTCGATACTGGAACAATTTATGGAGCTTTCCAAGATAAAAATTGAGTTGCCCCCTGTTTCCGAAGACTGTCTATATCTGAACATTTACACTCCAGCAGACAGAGAAAAGAATACTCCATTGCTGGTAAGTACTGATACGTGAATCCAAACTGCAAATAATTCACCTGAATCCCATTGTGGGGTTACTTATTAAAGGGAAACCCCCTTTTTCTATGGGACTGCTTTAACGCCTGGACTCATGACCAGTAAACGTGAAGTTATGATTTTTCTCCGAAATGTAAGCATTAGTTTTTGTGTTTATGTGGACAAAACAGCTCTAAAATCCACAATAACATCTAGCGTGTAGTATGTGGCATATCAGATGTATTATTGGCTAGTGAAGTATATGTGAGAATTGGTGTGCCCTTCAGGGGTTCATCCTCTAGCAGTAGGGCCAAAGCAGCAGATCTGGAAAATCTCATTTGTTTTTAATATTAGATATTAGACTAGTGCATGGTGATAAGATTCAGGTTGGCCAAAACTTTTTCCTGAAATTCAGAAACCTTTTCAGGACACACAAATTTCAGCCAGTATCAGTTTGGCTCCGCAGAATTTCAGAACCAAGGTATAAAAAATTCTGATCACCCAATCAGCCCACATTCGGGCGAACTGCAGTTTAGATCGAACCATATCTCCAATACTAGAGTGTGTGAGTATATGTGTATATATCTATACCTACATAAAAGCAAATTTTTATTTTACATATTCAGTTCATCAGAAAAAAATCACTTTGTTCTCTCAGTGATTTTCCTCTGATTGTATCAAAGGGAACAAAAAATGGCAATTCAGTAGGACAAGCTATTCTTGATTGATTACCATGTATGTATGTTTTTGGTTTTCAGCTTATTGCAAATATATCCGTCTGTGAGCCTGTATCAATGGTGGATTGCTTGAAAGAGAAAACTGAAGAAGAAATTATTACGATATTCGATGAATGATAATCATGTGTTTTACACAAAAGATTCTTGTTTAGAATTGATAACATTTTAAACAGTTACCATCTCTAAATGGGAAATGTTACTTTGCATCTAGTGATAGCTAGCCATTCCTGATCCTAATCTTCACTATGGAAAATGTGCTCTCTGGTTGTAGAGTTGTCAACGTTCCATAACACTCAGCCACTCCTTCCAGCCACACACAAAACACTGGAACTCAAGGTAGTTTGTGTCCTGACAGACTGACATGGAATGTAATTCATAAAAATGAAAACAATTAGGTTCATAAAAATAATAGTAATTAAACCAGAAGTATTATTAAGAATAATCCCACTGGAAGGTGATCCCAACACAGATGTTTTAAATCTGTCGTTTTTTTTCTTTTCATTTTTCTTTTTGGCAAAAACATTCTTCTTGAATGAAACCCAACTTTGATGTTTCATGATCTGGTTGTCCAGGGCCATCCTTGTTTGGTTTCGGAGGGTAGACTGGGACAAAGGAGCAATTTTTTTTACTCTCCCCACAGTTTATTCCAGTGCTTCTTAACATGGCTTCTTAATACCGCAAGGCCATGTATAATTCACAGCACCCCTTATCATAGGAAGTAAAGTGGGAGTCAATTGGTACACACAGACTATCTCCCAGATTTCTATGGTGTGATGGAGCACAGTTTTGATGTCTTGAGCCAATAGTTACTTTTAACGTGTGTGTGTCTCCATTTAAGTGCGTGGAGAGATGAACAGAAAGGGATGTGGGTGTAATGAAGCTGGATATGGCTACTTGAAGATGAACTGGGAGAGGGATGTGAAATGTGGTGTAGGGACACAGAACTAAGTGGGACTTAACCGGTCACATATACCATAATATTATATTTTCTGTCTGTACAGGGATTACTGGCTGTACCTGGATGTGTAGATGGTGTATATCTTCCGAAACCTGCAGAAGAGATCTTGGCCAATAAGAAAGCAACAATGTTCCACTCATAATTGGCAATACTGACCAGGAATTTGGATGGACAATGCCTTTGGTAGGAAATGTCTTCATTATAAATTTCTTCAATACCATAAAGACTCAAACGCAGTTTATGTAACAAATGTCACATATTTATAAAAAAAAACAACCTGAATTAATATAACACAAAGGCTTCATTTGGACAGGCAAAGTATCTCTGAGGTTCAAACAAAGAAGCAACGTGGATCAAAACTTAAGACATATAAAGGGCAGGGTGCATAAACAGTACAGGAAGATATGCTGTTCAAAAAAATTACCAGGATTTCATGGATGGGCTGGAATATTGTAAACATTACTGTGTTCTGGGTTAACAGATAATTGGATAAATTCAATTAAAATAAACAATAAGATGTGCATTCTGGGAATGCAACATGTGAGATAACCAAATATTTCTTGATATCTTCCAATGTAACTAGAGCCTGATCACTAACTTTAATTGTACTTCTGTGACCAGGGGATGAACATCAGTGGTTTAGAAGGAGGAATGGATAAAGACAAAGTTCGGCCACTCTTGAAATCCCTTAGTATCCTGGTAAGTCAAATTTACTGTACTGATGCATTTTTCATTATGTGAATCTAGAAGTGGTAACATCAGATAAGATATCTCCTCCGTACCATTGCTGGTCTCTGTCTGGAATAAACTCTCACCAGCAGGGACAGCAAGACCTTCAACTAACAACCCAATGAGCAACACAAGAGAATATTAATGTTAAATCATTGACAGATACATTTCATCAAAGGTCAATACTATATAACAATATTAAGAAGACACATTATGAGCAACATTTTAATCTTAAACATCACAGGAATTGAATGAAGAATCCATCCCTTTGGTAATGGAGGAATATTTGGGGGACACAAGTGATCCTTTTGAAATCCGAGACAGGTCCCTGGATTTATGTGGTGATAAACTGTTTATGCCAGCTCTCAAGACGGTGAAATATCACAGAGGTAGGTAACAAAGTTTTATCAGGGGACACTGTGAAATTGGATGATTTGCTGCAAGTCTAAAAAAGTTAGCACAAAACGGATAAATTTTCTCAATACAAGAATTTCACTTGGAAAAAGTAAGGAGAGTTTGAAACATTCTGTAGATTTATAACATTCAGAATAGGATCTTATCATTCAGAGGAGACATCTGAAGAGCTATCTGAAACCTTACCTCCAATCATATGATATAAATTATATTATTATACATTTTTTTTTACTTACATCTCACATGATTATTGCTTATGTTTTCTCTCTGAATATGCCCTTTTTATCAACTGCTAGATTCTGGATTTCCAGTCTATTACTATGAATTTCAGCATCGGCCAGCAATCTATAAGGATAGAAAACCAGCATATGTTAAAGGATCACTATAGTGCCAGGAAAACATACTTGTTTTCCTGGCACTATAGTGCCCTGAGGGTGCCCCCACCCTCAGGGTCCCCCTCCCGCCTGGCTCTGGGGAGAGGAAAGGGTTAAAACTTACCTTTTTTTCCAGCACCGGGTGGGGAGCTCTCCTCCTCCTCTCCGCCTCCGATCCTCCCTTTCGGCTGAATGCACACGCGCGGCAAGAGCAAATTTACAATGCTTTCCTATGGATGCTTGCGTCTTCTCACTGTGATTTTCACAGTGAGAAGCACGCAAGCGCCTCTAGCAGCTGTCAATGAGACAGCCACTAGAGGCTTTGGAGGCTGGATTAACCCATTTATAAACCAAGCAGTTTCTCTGAAACTGCTATGTTTATTAAAAAATGGGTTAACCCTAGCTGGACCAGGCACCCAGACCACTTCATTAAGCTGAAGTGGTCTGGGTGCCTAGAGTGGTCCTTTAAAGCAGAACATGGAGATGACGTACCATATATTTTGGGATATGCATTCTTAACTCGTGACGTCCTGTTCAACGGTAAACAATGTATCTTTTCAATACGATGCAGAAAAAAAACTTTTGATTTTTAGTTTTTGAAAGCTACTATGAAGTTAAATACTTAACATTTTTCTTTTTTAATTTTTATTTTTGTAGTCCATGCAACAGAGGAAGAAAAGAGGTTCAGCAAAACCAGGATGAAATATTGGGCAAATTTTGCTCAAAAAGGGTGAGATATGATTGTGTCCTTGTATTTCTTTCAAGATACACTTTCTGAATTTTTCTGAAAAAAGTGCGTAACAATATCTAATGGACTGGAACTCAGAGGGTAAAGAATTAGGAGATTGATAATAATGACAAAAAGAACAAAGTTAGTGTGATTTACTGCTTCCAAAGAGTTGGTTGAGTGAAATAAATCAGTCAACAAAAGTTTACGACAAATCGCAGGCTTAGGTCAGGGATAAAGCTTCAGGCATAGTCAGAATCAAGCGAAAAGGTCAGGCCAGGCAGCAAAGAAGAATCAGAAAAGTCAGAGTATACGTTTGCAACCTACCGCAAGAGACATAAAACAAAATATCACAAAAGGTGCAGAGGAGATTGTGGTACCATTTTATATTTATTACTGCACACAGAATATCATGTTGCTTGAGAATTAGGAGGCTGATATCGGAGAGAGTTACAAGGATGTGAGAACGGAGGCAAGCAGGGTAAGTACGCCATGTGTGTTACACCAAGTGAGATGCAAGGTTTCAGAGTGACAGAAGAGAGCTGGGAAGGAGATCCAATACAGTAAAAATATTTCACTGGAAAGAACAGGAGAAATAGATCGGTGAGAGTCCGTAATGTGGTGGAGTTTGGAAAACGGGGGAACATGGGTGGCTGATAGGAAATTGTCTCCTTTTATTTTATTGTATAGATCTAGTGTATATGTGATGCTAATTACGCCATCCAGGTACCTGTGCATATTCATATATACCCTATTTATGTCATTGGTCCCCAAACAAAATGATGTATAGTTTATTGTGCTTATATTGAATCTAGGTAACTTGGGAGTCTTGGGTTTGTTTAACCTACAGATTTTTAAATCTGTTTAAAGGACCACTGTAGTGCCCTGAGGGTGCCCCCACCCTCAGGGTCCCCTTCCCGCCGGGCTCTAGGGGGAGGAAGGGCTTAAACTTACCTCTTTCTCCAGCGCCGGGCGGGGGACTCTCCTCCTCTCCTCCTCCTCAGCTGAATGCGCATGCGCGTCAAGAGCCGTGCGCACATTCAACCAGTCACATAGGAAAGCATTCACAATGCTTTCCTATGGACGCTGGTGTCTTCTCACTGTGAAAATCACAGTGAGAAGCACAGAAGCGCCTAGCGGCTGTCAATGAGACAGCCACTAGAGGCTGGATTAACCCAAATGTAAACTGCTATGTTTATAGAAAAAAGGGTAAAACCTAGCTGGACCTGGCACCCAGACCACTTCATTAAACTGAAGTGGTCTGGATGCCTATAGTGGTCCTTTAATGTTCCAATAATCGTTAACAGCATTTTTTCAATCATCTACTGTAAGTCATTTGTGTCAAAGAATAGTTGATCAAACTCTTTTGGTCTTCTTATCTACAGAGATCCCAATGGACCAGGTCTCAAAAAATGGCCACAATATCAAGAAAATGAAGCTTATATGCAACTTGACTTGGAGCAGAAACCCACAGACAAGTATAAACTAAATAAAAACATTTTCTGGACCAAAACTTTTCCAGAGACCATTCAAAAAATGTCAGAGGAACAAAGTGATGAACGTGAAGAAATGTAGATTTGGATACTTTACAGCTGTCACCCTTCTTCATGGGAAGTCACAGAAATGCTAAATAGTACACAGAGTTACATAGTTACATAGCTGAAAAGAGACTTGCGTCCATCAAGTTCAGCCTTCCTCACATATGTATTTGCTGTTGATCCAAAAGAAGGCAAAAAACCTATTCTGAAGCGTTTCCAATTTTGCCACAAACTAGGAAAAAAATCCTTCTTAACCCCAAAATAGCAGTCAGATGTCTCCTTGGATCAAGCAGCTATTACCCCACTAATTAGAAATTATATCCCTGACATGTGCAATTCATTTTGTTCAGAATGTAAATTCAGCCAAATTTTGGCAATTCGGATGCTTCCGAATTTCCGAATTTCCGAAGTGCCGAATTTTGGAAGTGCCGAACCGAATTACCGAATTGCCACAGTGCCGAACCGAACTTAATTGCCGAATTTCGGAAGTGCTGAAGTGCTGAGGATTTCTGAAAAGTGGCAAAACAAGAGAGGGAGATAAAATTACATGCATGATGACAGGAATCTCACCCTAACCCTACTCCTAGCCCTAATCCTACCCCTAGCCCTAACCCTAGATGTGTAAGTGGTTGTGGTGGTTAGGGTTAGGGTTAGGGGTAGGGGATAAGTGAGAGGTAGGGGTAGGCAATTGCTGAAGTCCCGAATCGTGCCGAAGTGCTGAATTTCGGAAGAACTACAACTAAAGTGGAGATTCTCATTCAGCTTTAGTTATGTCAAGTTTGTAAAACTATTCACCAATGAGAACTTCCGATTTAGTCACATCATGAAGACTGGAGCAGCGCGAGTGCTTGCGGGGCCCAGAGAGAGGGCTTGGTTATAATCTTGCTGCTCTTTACCGCCTGCAAAAATTCACCAGTGGCAAAAAAGGATTTTCTGGCTGCCAATACTTAAAAGACCATTACTGGCTCCGTAGTAGCTCCATTGCAATTAAATTATTATGATGCTAGCAGGTCCCAAGTGAAAGCTTATAAGAGTGGGTAAAGCCATTAGCAAATGGTTCAACCCCAAAGTTTTTAAGCCGGTACCAGACCACCCAATAGCGTTGTGTGTGTGTGTGTATATATATATATATATATATATATATATATATATATATATATATTTGTGCTCGGAATCTCTATTATGTTAATGGAATGTAGAGGAGAAGCAAAGTTGGTTGAGGTGTGCCGAAACCAACGTATGAGTAGGCCTGTAAAAAGAGGGCCCACAAAGAGAAATGTGTAAAGGAGGGTGTAGGTGGGTGGGGTCAAAACAGCATGAACGGCAAAGGTAAGTAGGGGGATAGGATTTTTAAAGGGTCATAACTCCTCCCACAGATTCAGGCCAAATGACCTTCCAACTTGTGCTCGGAATCTCTATTATGTTAATGGAATGTAGAGGAAAAGCAAAGTTGGTCGAGGTGTGCCGAAACCAACGTACGAGTAGGCCTGTAAAGAGAGGGCAAAAAGGAATTAAAAGTAAACACACTTTATTGCAAGTTTAAACTGCAAGATTTCTAAAAGCATGCCTGAGCTCCCTTTCTGGTCGAGGGATGTAGGAGTTGTATAATGAGGATTTCCAGCGTCCCAGCCTCTTAATGATGTGTACCGGAGTGTTAGTGCTTGAAGCTGATGATGCTGGGTTGTACCCTAACCTAGACAATAGAATTCTGATGTGTGACATAAATTTAGCTGTGGTGAGTGGGTGTCCTTGGAGTAGAAGTAGTGGAGTATCTGGTGAGTGCGTGAGGTGAGGTGAGAAGCCAGGAGCATATCCAGAACATGTACAGGGCACCACAAATTCTCGGTAGGGAAGAGGGGAATGATAGTGGGATAGGCAGAGTTTTGGTAGAAGGCAAAGAGAGTACAAAATGGTCGTCTACTTTCTTTAAGTGAGAAAGTTTGAGGCATCGTACTGTGTCTCCTTGACGTATCATGGTGAACTCTCTAGGTCTGAGGAAACCGTAGAAGGCCAAAAAGATGGCAGATTTCATGACTAAATTAGTATTATGGTCAAACGGGGATTTGTCCAATAGGTCGCTAAGGAGCCGGAATAGTGGACCGTCTATTGGTAGCATAGTCGTGCTAGGAGGGACTGTGACCTTGAAAATACCTTTGAGGATTTTCTTAATGGGGTAGGAAGAAAGAAAAGGAGCGTGGTTAGGGAAGTTATTGAGGATGTGGTGTTGTACTCGGGTAAGGTAGAGTTTGATGGTATTATGTGAAAGTTTTAGGTGTAAATGGCAAAAGGAGGCAAAAGCCACCATGATTTTGATGGAAAGGTCACCTTGTAAGCAAGACTCGGCTGTGAATTTGTTAAATATAGTCAGTGCTCTAGCATAAGTGATAGTGGTGTTGGGAGACAGTGCGTGGTGCGTGAGTGTTTGTGCGTGGAGTAATAGTTTGTTTAAACCAGGGTTAGCCGGAGGAGCGATGGTGTCCTGGCTGAGTGGAGGTGTGCTGGAGGGGGAGCCCGGCCAGAGACCTGATATTTAAGAGCATAAAAGAGTGTTAGCAGCTGAGTAGAGGAGAAGTAGTGAATGAGGTGTAAGATATATCTATCTTGCTTAAGCATGTATCCCGATATGCTGGAATAGTAGAATGTAGGCAAATTACAACAAAATTATACATTGGTATGACAGAAACTACTCCAAGAACTGGAGGGAAAGGAAAAGGATACCAAATGTCAAATAACTTTATTACTTGGAGTGCAAGTAAGCAGCCCCCCGTGACGGGTTAGGTTGCGAAAGGAATGGGTCATGGTCTGGACTTGGTGTCGTCGTATAATTTGATGCGTGATGAACCAGCTTATTTGTTAGGTGTTAGACAGGTCGGGCACATAGTCTTGGTGTGGGCTCTGAAGCATATGGAGCAGATGTGCAACAACCTGCATGCGCTGTAGCTCCACATGCCTGTGTTAAAGTTATTGCACATCTGCACCTTGCCCAAGAATGTGATGGGTCTGCCCAGCTTGTCTCTCTGGACACCCTTCTGTCTAGGGAGTAGGATGAGGGGGTGGTGAGGTGATAAAGTGGAAGGGTCTGGTCCCCATGGCATATATCGGTGGAGTTTGAAGTGGAACCACAAGAGGCACAAGATGGGGGCCTCAAACCAGCAAATGACGGCAGAATAACTCAGTATCTATCTGACAGCAATCGATTCTAATATTGAATTGTGTCAGATGAGTAGCTGCCTTGGCCGAAACTGACTTGATGCCCAAATCAACCACCTTGTGCATATATAAATCAAGTTCTTCTCTCCTATGTGGGTACACCGTGCAGATAACGTTGCGATAAGTGCCAAACGCGATAACAAACTGTGGGATGGTGAGTTTTTTTATTCAAACGTGGGTCTCTAGCTCTTAAGACAACAGAAATGTCCCCGTAGTTATATGCTCTATTTTCTAGGACATCTTGGGTGGCTATGAGGAGGGACATTAAATTGACGTCCTTTTCATCAAGAATATCTTTCTTGTTGGAAGCTGGGACAGAGTGGGCTGGTGAGGCATGGGCAGTGGGAGTGGTAGTGGCTGGTGGGGGAGGGGAGATGAGGGCTATGGCAGTCAGAGCGGTCAAGGTTACCGGTGTAGGGACTGCTAGAGCTGTTAAGTCAGCTGGAGTGGCTATGGCTGATTCCACCTTCAGCAACCTGCTGTTAATGGATTGCAGATTGGCCAGTATAGCCGCCAGTTTCCTGGGTAGAATCAGAGTAGCCAACTTTAGGCCCTTGTGAACTCGTGCCGGGCCTTGGGTCGTTGGCCTGAGTAGTCAGCAGTTTATAAAGTTCTGCTTTTCTGGCGGTGGCTGGAAACGGGATTCCCCTGAGCCTGAGCTCAGCCAATATCTTAGGGATCTGGGAATAGAAGGAGTGAGGGATTCCACCGGAGACCCAGGCCTGGCTGGCGTGCTGGGTATATCGTCTGATGGGAAATCGATGATTGGTTCTTGAGACATCCTGAAAGGAATAATGATATGGATAAGTAGGGTATAGTGTAGGTGGTATGAGACCTCCGGAGAACTGGCCTGCTAGCTAATGCCGAAGCGAAGAATTATAATTAGAACCAAGTGACAGGTGAGGCCCTGCTATTGCCAAGTGGTGGTGAGAGGCCCTACCTATGATTTGGGCTGAGGGGGTTTTGTGGCCACCAGAACGAGGTGGCAGGATGTCGGCCTCTCAGTGACTGTAAGAGATTCAAAAACTTGTGGCCGTGATATGGGAAGCCCTGATTATAGCCCTAAAGAAGAGCGAGCGAGGTGGCTAGCTATGATTTGGTCGTGAGGCTGAACCTCAGTGTATGAGGTAGGGGTGTAGACCTCGTAGACCGCAGTATTATTGGGGGAAGCTAGGGCCAGCGCCTGACCCTGAAAGCCAGTTCTCTACCCTAACGGGGGCATGTCACTTGAAGGAAGTATGTAACATATGTAGATACTGACCTTGAGTGTTTGTTCTGTATATTTGGAGAATTCTCAGGGCGACTTCAATATATATGTCTATATATACTGTGAAGAACAGGTCCAGTCCAGGAACCTAGGGGTAAGAAAGATGCTAGTAGGCCTGAGGCGTGCCATTGGTAAGCCAAGTGTAAAAATGTAGAACGGATGGAATGGTGTGTAACAGTAAAACTGTATCATAAACACCTGTGTAATAAGAGGGACCTGAACGTTGGTTCAAATTTTTTTAAGACAAGCCTCTGGGATCCCACAACTGAGCAGTATTTTGTGACACATATGAAGGCGAATTGAGGCCTTAGAAGGATGTAATTGTAGTTAGTAAGATTTAAGGATACCTACTACTGAAACGTCGGGAACCTGGTAGCCTGATGGTCGTTGAAGGCGTAGTGAATCTGCACAATGGTGCAGGTCTAAGTAATGATATTTAGAAATTAAAACAGAATTAACACGTAATATAATAGTAATATGGAGAGTGAGGCATCTTTATCCTGGCGTGTTTAAAGTTTTGAGCCAACTTTGGGAGGTGGGAGGGTATTGTAAAAAAGGCCATGGAGGCTGAAATAAGGCCTCAGGAGAAACGTAAATTTTTTAATTTATTTTTGTAACTTTTTTTTTTTTTTTTTTTTAAACCTGATACCGTGACACGGGATACTGGAACCACCTCCTGGAGTCTTCTTGAAGAAAGAGTAGTTCAACCTAAAACATTTTCATTAAGTAAGAATAAGGAACCTGAGTATCGTGTTTCAATATAAACAGAGATTTTGAAATAAGAGCTACTGAAAAAAGTGAGCATGGATCTTGATAAATTTAAGAGGTTTGATGGGGCTCAGCCCTTTGAGAGAGGAAAAAACAAACCATAAAGGGGATAACTGTTTCTTTAAGTGAATACCCCTGGAAATATATACATAATTATATGTGACAATGAGTGGCGAATAATGCCATTTAGAGTAAGAGAAAATGTAGGTAGAACCATGAACATATGATATAAAATAATACATAGAGGAACATACTTAAATATAAAAATTTTAATGCATAGAACCTCATGCGTTAAGCTAACGAACGTGCAAAAGGGATATAATAGAACCGTGTGTGTTAGATTTTATGAAACAAAATGCTAGTGACACAGCCGTTCGTACGTGTTTCGTCTAACGAAAGTGAGAAACAGGCGATCGTAAGGTGAGTGTAAGCGTTCGGTAACATTTTTTTAACGAAAGAAAGAACGAAAAGCATGAGTACTCTGCAGTCGGCTTAAACCGCCCGAACACAGAAGTACACAAACGGCGGATTTACATGAACGGCTAAGTAATATATCTAGGGAGCCTATCCCTGCGTTTTTAGGCCCCAACGTGGGAAATAGCCGAACGCTATTTCCCACATTGATGCTTACGTTTGCGTGCTGATCTCGTGACCGGCAGCTCGACAGCTGGGTAATGAGTAGGGAATACCGCGGGGCTGCTCTAGTGAAACTCTCTCTAGTGTAGAATGTCTAGGAACAAAACAGTAAATTTCAAAATAATTAAAATGCTGACTAGGCTTGGGTCACACAGGAATCCCAATTGAGGCCCCGCAGGTCATTTAAGATTGCCCTCTCTCGTTCATTGGACCTGCTTTTCTCCATTTCTGCTTCAAACCCATGCTCCCAGCCCAGGGGAAGGCCTTCATTAATCCGAGCCATATCTTCGCCTGTTGCTTGTGGGGATGCAGGGCAGCCAGAAATTTCGCTAGGTCCTCTGCTGCTGACAAAGTGATTATGGAATCTGCGTGAGGCACCAACAGGGTTCCCAAGGCGTCCCATCTACACTGCTCAAAAAAATAAAGGGAACATTTAAACAACACAAGGTAACTCCAAGTCAATCATACTTCTGGGAAATCAAACTGTCCACTTAGGAAGAAACACTGAGTGACAATCAATTTCACATGCTGTTGTGCAAATGGGATAGACAACAGGAGGAAATTATAGGCAATTAGCAAGACACCACTTCTCAGTTCCTATGCTTCCTGGCTGATGTACAGCCCTCCATGTGTTCGGCAGAGTTAGCCTGACTGCCATTAGGTACCGAGATGAGATCCTCAGACCCCTTGTGAGACCATATGCTGGTGTGGTTGGCCCTGAGTTCCTCCTAATGCAAGACAATGGTAGTCCTCATGTGGCTGGAGTGTGTCAGCAGTTCCTGCAAGACAAAGGCATTGATGCTGTGGACTGGCCCGCCTGTTTCCCAGACCTGAATCCAATTGAGCACATCTGGGACATCATGTCTCGCTCCATCCACCAATGTCACGTTGCACCACAGACTGTCCAGGAGTTGGCAGATGCTTTAGTCCAGGTCTGGGAGGAAATCCCTCAGGAGACCATCCGCCACCTCATCAGGAGCATGCACAGGCGTTGTAGGGAGGTCATACAGGCACGTCTAGGCCACACACACTACTGAGCCTCATTTTGACTTGTTTTAAGGACATTACATCAAAGTTGGATCAGCCTGTAGTTTGTTTTTACACTTTCATTTTGAGTGTGACTCCAAATCCAGACCTCCATGGGTTGAAAAATTTGATTTCCATTTTTTTATTTTTGTGTGATTTTGTTGTCAGCACATTCATTTATGTAAAGAACAAAGTATTTCAGAAGAATATTTAATTCATTCAGATCTAGGATGTGTTATTTTTGTGTTCCCTTTATTTTTTTGAGCAGTGTATATAGAATGTCATTGTCTCTCAACAGCCTAGTGACCGGTAGGAAACTGCGTCTCTCCAACAGGACTGAAACGGGTTAATCGTCAAAGATTTAGATCTGATGACCCTCTACAGGAACAGCTGGACGGTTTCTGGAGCGGGCCAGAATCGCCATATTTATCGTGAGTGACTGCAATTATGTCTCTGGGGGCATCAGCAGGGGCTGGGGCCCATTTCCGAAATTGGAATGTTGTCATAATAGGTAAGGCTCTGCTGTCTCCTTTCACTTCCAGCACTGCTGCCACCTGATTCATCTTCCGGACCTCCCGTAGATCCAATAGCAATTTTTTGATCTCAGCTTTAGTGGAGGGTGAGGCATTGGTATCTCAATTGGCTCTGTTGTATACTCCATCCTCGGCCTGTGGATTCCTCAGACTCACTTGAGCCCTGTGTCCTGCCAAGCCCCATCTTAGGTTGGGCCTGGTGTTGTTGGCAATCAAAGGACCTGCGTATGTCAGGCAGCTCTAAATGCAACAGCTTACAATACTTGCGCCCCATCACTGCGTTGTTTTTTTTTGGTTTTTTTTAGAAGCTCGGTTTTTGTTCTTTGCCTGGCCCTAAAAAGCCCATAATCTAATTTTGGCACCATTTCATTGTTAGTCCTGATTTCTCTTTATTACTGAGAGAGAACTAACACTCCATTCATAACATTTGTGATAGTGCCCAGTTAATGCAAGTTATTCATAGTTAATTATTCAGCACAGTGTGGGAACATTGCTGTGGGTGCAGGGTTTTGTTGCGTTTGGTTAAATAGTTAAAACAGCATAGCTCAGGGTTAAAACAGTAGATTTTTTTTTTTAATACTCTATATGTAATTTATAGAACACATTAGCGTTTAGAGATATATTTACAGCATTGCATAGGGCTGGTTTTAGGGCTGCTCAGGTCAATATATCGGAAGTCTCATACAATTTACTTTTGAACTAAAGCCCCATGTCTTTATCCCATCTGGCATCACCCAGATGTCTGTAAAATGCTCTAATCAGAAAATTCCAAATTGTACATTTTAAGACAGACAGGACATTTCTCCAACTCTGTCCATTTTTGTGATTTAGCTGTCAGTTCACTTCAGGTCACTGTTTAGTAAATACATTTCTTCGGAAGCTAAAACAAGTCTGAAGCCCACAATCCATTTATATTATGAGTATTATTGGTTCTCTGTGGCAGTTGCCTTGGGATTGGGACATTGTGCAAAGAATTTCTTAATCCCTGTGATACAGCATGACTTGCATGTTGCAACGTTTGCCAGTTTAGACTTTGATACAATGGTTTGTTTTGGATCTTGTCCACGATAGAGCTGCCAGGACTTGTCCGGGACCTTTGATTTTAGTTCACGTGTTAGGCGTATTCATCAACTCTAATCAAAGGTGCAAATAGGACTGTTGGACATTTCAGCCACAAAACATGTGCCTGATGCTGAGTTGTATCCTCTGCTGCTCTGTCTGTTTCCAACACGTAGCCATTCCAACCAGTGCACATTCATTGCAAGATATGGTTATTTTCACGTGTGTCATCCAGGGCCTTCAGTGGTGAATTCCTGGTTAAAGCGCGTGACAATTTAATCAACATTAAAACTTACTTTTATTAATTTGTGAGAATTACAGTTCTACAGTCTGGCTATGCATCCTGGGAATTCTAATACACACAGGTTGACAGGACCAGGTGTGCCTGAGATTAATGGAATAAAAAAATGGGATTATTAAAGAACTTTGTGACTTCAACTCTTAGTCAGCCCATAGGCAGTTTTTTTGTTTGTTTGTTTTTTGGGAATGCTAACTTTAAAAGCAAATTCACATTTTCACAGAATTTACAATCCCATGATGCTCAGCAAACCCTTGAACAAGCCAAACATTATGGGAAATGTTCACCACAAATATAGGGCCTTAGCTGTAGAATGTCATCTGAATTATATATCCCAACCATCAGAAGAGTTTTTTTGATATATATTTGTGAGCTACCGTAAGTCTCCCATGGTATGGAATTAATATGAGAATGTTCATTTCCAAATATTCTAATAAAAAGGTTAGTCAAAAAGACTAGTGTAGCCTAAGATGTTACTGTCACCCACACTACCTTAGCCCTAAAAATGCTATCTACCTGATTGGCAACTTTCCACCAACCCAAACGTGCCAGCCTAATGTTAATACTATAGATAAGCTGATATTGCAAAAATAAATGTGTTAACCTACAGTGGGTTCTAGTACTAGCTGCGATGTTTCACATCAACATTTTTTTGCCATACTCGCCACAAAACAGCTGGCACTGTATAAATAATTGTAACTGTATATGTACTTCCAAGAACATTGAATTTCAGAACAGATTACTGGATTCCAGGCGAGGTGAGGACAATGAAGATCTACAGGCTTGATTGTTACAATAAATGCTAGTTTGCACATTTTCTAGGATAGGGTAATTACGTAATGTTTCCCTAAGACTCTGCCAGCTTTCAACCCAACTTTATCTCCAAAAGCCAGTTATAAACTCTGTTCCAGAAACCGACTGATACAATAACTGGCAGACTGACCTCCCCCCCACCTTCCTCATAGGCGTTCCCTGTGTATCCTTAACTAGAGGTCACAGAACGAGCTCTGGGAACATTCTATCTCCCGTACTACTTGATGTTTCATGTTTTCTTCTCAGCAACTGAAATGGGAATCTTCATCCAAACTGTCGCTTTGTGCTGTCTGATGCTGGGTGTGTTTGTAACAGGTAACAAACAATATACAGATTATCTATTGGATGTCACAAAAGGATTGTCAGATAAGATCATATTTTATAGCATGACCGTGAGTGATGTGTGGATTGCAGGCACTAAAAACGCTGAATTGTAGAGAATTTAAGAACTAAAAAAGCAGGTTATTCGATATACAACTGGATCTTGTACTTACTAAGTAAACAATAACGCACTGGAGAAACTAACTAGAAATATCAATATCTTCCTTTTTTAATCTGGTTATGGATTCTTGTAAAAAGTAATGTTATTTAGAATTCAGAAGTATACAAGAATCAACCATATTTTATTACCCGTATAACATGCTAATGATACAATGTATAGCTAGGAATATAATGTAAGTTAGGAATATAATGTGCAGTCAGCAATGTATAAATATTGGATACATGGATTCCAAAGTTCAGAGATCTTGCCGAGACTCTTGTCTTTGATCAAGGCTGTGTATTGTGCCAATAAACAAGTCCTTATAACAGATCCAGGTTTATTTAAGAATTACAGAACACACACTGTACAGCGACTGCACTTACTATACCCAGGGCCAACCCAAAAAATTGACCAGAGCATTTTTTAATCTCAGCGGCCCAGTGGGAAAGGGGCTGGGCCAGACAAGGTGGGGTTATTGTGTTATCACCAATGAAAAGCACCCCCACCGGCCCAAAGTGAGTATGTCTGTCCAATGCTCTTCCAGGGCAGCCCATGGAGAGTGAGAGAGTGAGAGAGAGAAAAAAAACACTCAATAAGGCTTGGGCAGCATCACTGTGACAGAGCGGCTTCTCATATATTTAAAATGAAAGATATATACTAGTGAGCGCATCAGAATAATAAAAATAAAGTTTAATCACAAATCCAAAAGGAGCAATAATCTTACAAAATCTCTAAACCTGAGAATTATTCTCCTATGTCTAGAGCAGCGGTTCCCAAACTGAGTGCCGTGGCATCCTGGGGCGCTGCAACGGGTACACAGGGGAGCTGCAAGTTATTTTCCTGGTGCTGTGATGATAGCACCGGGAACTGTGCTTTCCCCTGAGGGGGAGGTGGAGCTCTAACCTGCAACTACGTCGAGTTCTCCTCTCGAGAGCTCAGAGCGTTGCCGCGGTTACCACGGCAACACTCCGAATCTAGCGAGAGTGAACTCTAGCAGCTCCTGAGGCTGCTAGAGTTCACTGTCACCACCAGGACCACCAGGGATTGCAGGAAATGTCTAAACTCCCAGGCAAAGGTAAGCAGGGAGGAAGGACATCATTTAAATTTTTAATAAAAAAAATAAATATATTTATAAATTTGTTCTACCCCCACAGACCCCACACCACACAATAGCTCCCGAATACACACACACACTGCCCCCCATACATACACACTGCCCCCATACACACACTACCCACCAATAGACACACACTGCCCACCAAAACACACACATTGCACCCCCCTCACACAACATACCCCCCTCACACACACTGTACCCCTCACACAACCTGCCCCCCCACACACTCACACTGTACCCCTCATGCACTAACTGCCCCACATACACACACACACAGCCCCCCTCACACACACACAAACTACATCTTTCACAAACACAGTGCATCCCTGTACACACACACTCTATCCCTCACACACGCACACTGCACCCCTGTACACACATGCACACTGCACCCCTCACACACACTACAGCCCCTATCCAGGCAGACCCCAGGTAAGTTGTCAAACTGTTCTTAAACAGGTTGACTACTTACCCTGGGAGGGCACTATGGCACTACTGGTACCATAACCACTACAACATAATGTCACACATGCTCAGTTACAGAAGACAGTCACACACAGGTACAGACAGACAGTCACAACACACACACAGTTAAAAGCAGTCACACACACAGTTAGAGGTAGATGGTCGCACACACACACACAAACACTCCGTTACAGGCATACAGTCATTATGACACAGACCATTACAGGCAGACAGTCACACAGACACATGCAGGGACAGGCAGACAGTCACACACACAGTTACAGTCACACATGCAGACAGGGACACACACAGTACAGTTACATACAGGCAGACAGTGAGACACCCAGACAATCTGTGACACACACAGGCAGACAGTCACACACACATGCACACACACACAGGCAGACAGTGTCACACACATATAGTTAGTCACATACAAACACCGGCAGACAGTCACACACACACACACAGGCAGACACACACGCAGACAGGCAGAGAGTCATAAACACACACCTCTTTCCATTATGGGCGTGGCAGTGCAGCTCCTAGAGATTAGTTATGTGCAGCAGTTACCACCAGCCATCAAATAATGGAGCTTTTAGCTCCACTCCCACTACAATTGTAGCCCCACCTCTGTATCCCTACAAGCTCCGCCTCCGATGCTCAGTAAGCTTTGCTCCCGCTGCTCAGTAAGCTCCGCCCCCGCTGCCTCGCTATTTTCTTTCATAGACCCGGGAGGAGAATAGTGAAATCCTGCACGCGGGTACCTGCTTTAGCTCCCCCTGCTCACCTGTCACCCGGCCATGTGTGAGCTGTGTCAGGGTCAGCCACATAGCGCCCCCTCCTCTATGGTGCGCTATGCAGCCACACAGCTCGTACACCCCTAAGGCCGGCCATGACTGAAATATAATCTGTAAAGTGCTGAGTACATCTGTTAGTGCTATATAAATAAAATATACATACACTGTATACATACTGCATTTACTGTGCTTGCCTCTGCTGTAATGTAACCTGTAACCTGTAACCTGTAACCTGTTGATACACAGTGCTGTAACTTGTAAAGTCCACCTGTTACAGTTTTATACATGAAATGTACAATCATTTGCTAGTGTTAACAGTGTTTAAGCAAATGAAATGCGATCAGGTAAAGATTAAACTTGTACCTAATTAGTTTATGAGATCAGGTACAGATTAAACTTGTACCTAATTAGTTTTTGGAAGACTTAGTAAAATAAATAAGAAGACTGCAGGTCTTGGAAAAAGTATACTAATGAGTTTAATATTTGATAACTAGTTTTAAAAAAACACAAATGTGTATTCCTGATCCTATTTCGTGTTAAAAAAATGCTAGTGCCCACTTTAAAATATAAGAAAACTCACATTATTGAGCATGTTCACCAGCGCTAGCTCACCCCCTATTCGTCTCCTTGGCTCATCAGAACTGATGATCTCGGCCAATCACAATGCTTTCCCATAGGAGAGCATTGGATTGGCTTAGATTCTCAATGCTGATGATTTCAGCCAAGGGGGCAGAGCCAAACTCATAGAGCTATTTTCAGTGTCTCCATGCTCTAGTGGCCTTCTGAGGAGTGACAACTAGAGGTGTTCCTAGGCTGCAAGCTTTCAGGGACATGGTATAGAATCAGAACAACTACATTAAGCTGTGGTTGTTCTGATAACTAACTACAGTGTCTCTTTAACACAATTTGATGCTATATATCAAACAATGTGGGGTAATTTGTTGAGATAGGTGCGCTTATTTTCAAAAATACATGTAGGAACGAACACGATTTGAAGAACGGCTTTATATATGTTTGAGTGCATGATACAATGGTACAGATAGACTGAATAGCATACAGTTCATCCTGAAGATTGTATACGGATTGATGCAATCAGATGGGTGATGGGCACATTCTGGGTGTGAGTAAAACAGTTGTACTGGCAAATAACAGACTGGAAGAGATTAAAGAAGAGATTAAAGAAAGGCATATACAAGGACTGATTTTCACTGAAGGTGATTCTAGACCCAAGACTTGTTATATATCTATGAGACAAATTAGTCAAAACACCTTAAAGGAACAAGATTGTGTTAGGAATACAAACATGTATTCCTGACACTATAATTCTGAAATACATATTTAGGTGACCCCCACCCTCTGTGGTATAAAAAGGTGGTTTACTTTTCTTTTCACCACTGCAGCGCCGGTATCGCTGCGGCTGGCCCTTCCTCCTAAGATAACCTTGACAATCTCAGCCAATCCAATGCTTTCCCATTGGAAAGCATTGGGAGATTATTGCACATCAATGCATTTCTATGAGGAATGCTCAGCGCCTCCATGCAGAGCATGGAGACTCTGAACTTATGTGCTGCACACATGTGCAGCACTGGACTAGGTAGCACCTCTGCCACTCGCAGCAATTTAAACACTGCCTTTTCTCTATAATGGCCATGTTTACATTGAGAAAACTGCAGGGACAGACAATAGACACCAGAACCACTACAAAAAGCTGTAGTAGTTCTGGTGACTATAATGTTCAGTCAAACAACTAGAAGAAAACAACATATATATTGTGCAGGACTGAAGTAGCCTTAGCGTTGGGAGGGAGGGGGAGATTTTATAAGGTGAGATGGCTGTAGGTGTGACCTGTGGGCCATGTTCAAGCTAAAATTGCTTGCAGCTGATTTAATTTAATCTGGCAATTAAACTGTTGGTTGAACAGATGTAATTTGAGATAGGAGTGACTAACACACGTCTTTTTATGGTCTGATATAAACCCGATCTAGCACAGACATGGTAAACTGCTGGTTGAAACTACTGTTGGACAACTCCCATAACACTCTGCCAGCCAGAGGGCAGAACTGCTTGAGGGTGACACAATTTGAAAGATCTGATCAAAGACATCAAGCCCAGCTTCCATAACAGGACCCCATATTTAATTCAGAACCCTTAAATCCAACTGCACCAGTTACGTTATGGCATTTACCCTACACCCTTTTATAAATCAGAAACATAACTACAAACGTGACTAGCATAGTACATATTATTATTATTTGCATACCTTAGAACAGGGACAGGGAAGGTTGCCTATGCCTGCCTTAGAATATGAATTCAAGGCTTATTTCCTTCTTAAGCACAGCCCTAATCTCTTCATGTGAGCTACTTTGTATCAGCATGTATAGCCAGGTGTTATTAGTCCATTTCCCACTCAGTCAGTTAGACTTCTACAGAAAGAGGGGAGGGATTGTAAAAGCTGCCGATAGCAGTTCTGCAACATTTGCAAGCTGTTTTTTCATAAAAGTTCAAAAAAAGCATGCAGAAAAAAATACAATACAAGCAAAAATAGATTGCGCCAATAATACAGTCCAATATATTTAGAGAATGCTTTTGTGCTTCCTAATAAATGGCTCTCCAGACTTCGACTTGTAATCCAAGATATGAAATAAAACAAAGAGATGACCGATAATAGTGCAATATGTCTAATACTAGGTGTGGACTCACAACACAGATATGAAAACTAGCACTCACATTTGATGGAGCTTTAGACCAGCATTAAGTAAAACGGTATACAGTGGTATAATCCCCACTGGCGAATATGTAGCTTTATAGATCAATATCTCCGCTTGCAGATAAATATACCAAAAAATATATAAAAACAAACAAAAGTGCTCACTGTGGTAAAATATAATGACAGATACAAATAGTAATTTACTCACATTTAGTTGAGCATTGATACTGCTCAATTAATAGCGTCCTGGGTGGTATAATCCTCACCAGAGATATATTGTCAGGTAAATTCTCCAGAGAGTTATCCTCACCAGAGTACAGATGCAGGGTGGATACTCCAAGGAATAGGTGTGTCAGCAACAGAATAAAATTTACAAAAACAATAAAAGCATGAAAAGCAAAATCAAACACACAAATGAGTGGATGCCAAATATACTTTAATGCTAAAAACAGAATAGTAAAACAACACAATGCATCTCGACAGTATAGGGGCTTCTTTAAGTGTAAAAAAATACAAGTTTGGGAGTGTATATATATATATATATATATATATATATATATATATATATTAAAAAAAGTTTTTAAAAAATCAGTGGAGTGTTTCTTTAATTAAGATGCTGGGTGTGATGAATGATATAAAATTAATTAACAATATGTCTTCACTTAATAAAAACTATATTATCTGCAGGAGAAAAGCATGATCAACCATTGGTGACCACAAAATATGGGAAACTACTTGGGGAAAGAGTGACGGTAAAGGGGACAGACAGACCAATAGACACTTTTTATGGAGTCCCATTCGCAAAACCACCAGTTAGGGAATTGAGATTTGCTCGTCCGGAGCCCCCAGTACCTTGGGACTCCTACAGGGATGCAACTAAAGAACCACCCATGTAAGTATGTAATCCAACTATGTTGGGTTAACTAAGTATGTTTTAATTTTCAATATTTTATTGTAGCCTGGATTTGAACATTTCCGAAACAGCAATATGTGACCAGTCGACCAACGAGTCTTGAGAACATATTCATATTTGTGCCCACATGTTTATGTCCTGATGAATTTTCATATCTGGCTATGCCTGCTGATATTGGAACTGCATTTCTGAGTTATGCTTAATGTGTATCCCACGCTGTCCAGGTGTTTACAAAACATTTCGATACTGGAACAATTTATGGAGCTTTCCAAGAAAAAAATTGAGTTCCCCCCTGTTTCTGAAGACTGTCTATATCTGAACATTTACACTCCAGCAGACAGAGAAAAGAATACTCCATTGCCAGTAAGTACTGATACGTGAATCCAAACTGCAAATAATTCACCTGAATTCCATTGTGGGGTTACTTATTAAAGGGAATCTATAGTGTTAGGAATACAAATCTGTATTCCTAACACTATAGTAACCTCTGGTCCCCCTTCCGACATATAACGGGTTAAAAACCACTTTGGTCACTTACACAGTACCAACGCCGATGTCCGCCTCCTCCGACATCATCCGTCAGGGACACCTAATGCACATTCACTGCGAGCACCACAGGGGCATTAGGCCTACCCAAAGGAAAGTATTGACTCAATGATCTCCTGTGGAGTTTTACTGACACAGGATGTCCTCATGCAGAGCGTAAGGATATGCAGCATGGCTTAAGGGGCTCAGAGTTCATTAGAATCCTGGAAGTGCCTCTGCTGGCTGTATGATAGATAGTCTTAGTCCTGCAAGGTAATTATTGCAGTTTCTCAAAAATTGCAATGGTTCACATTGCAGGACTAAGTGAGAAAGGGACATTGCACCAAGATCACTTCAATGAGATGAAGAAGTCTGGATGCCTATAGTCAGCTGAGCTGCCATTTTTCTTTAATATATTTTTAAGGTGATTTGTGGTTTAAAAGTTAACAACTTCACCCTGTTTTTAAATACATTATTCTATATTTTCTATCCAGGTTATGGTGTTTATACATGGCGGAGCTTTGGCACTAGGTGGAGCAAATCTATTTAATGGAGCTGCACTGAGTGCTTACGAAGATGTAGTGGTTGTAGTTATACAGTACAGACTGGGAATTACAGGATTCTTTTGGTAAGTCGTAATGCATGAAACCAATATGGATGGATGTTTTCCAATGTGCAGATTAAATATTATTTTATAATCTGCTGTTTATCTCTTTTTTTTACATTAGATTCAAGGCCTCTTCTGTTTAATTAACCTCCGCTACCTCTCCTGAGCTCATCTCTGCGGTGTATGGCTTAGTTCATTGGTTTCATTTGTGAGCTGCTCATTGTTAGCCAATGAGCTAAGACCAGCACTGCAGAGCTGAGCTCAGGAGAGCTAGTGAAAGTTACTCCTAGGACTTGACGGTTTTAGTAATGATGGAAAGCGATGCATTGGGAAAAAGTCACAGTGTTCAAAATAGACTGCGTAAAATTGGAGAGCTTTTAGAGTACTACTGGCACCATAACCACTATAGTGAGCTGTAGACGTTATGGTGCTTGAAGTGTTCCTTTAAATTCGGGACGTCTTGTGAACACAGTCTTCCTCAAGTATCCTTTTTATCATGAATATACTTAATACTTATGTTATTTACGTGCGCCGTAATTATATTTTTTTCACTTGTGTCGTATTTGTCTACTATCTTTACTTTTAGATCTAAAGTGGTTATATTTCTGATTATTCCGATGAATCTCATCCAGCAAACTGTTGGAGATTTTGAATAGTACCTTTGAGTAGAAGGCTTTAGTTCATAGCAGAGGCTTTGAGTGAGCAAAATGGGATACATTTAAATTTAATATCTCACTAAACTAAACTCAACTCAATTCATTATGTCACTTTGCTCTGCAGTGTTAAGTATGCTATATATAATTCCAATGTAATAATTGTGTACCTTCGTGGCTTCAAAATTGATGCGACTACGATTCAAGGAGGAACAGAAAGCCACGGGTAACCTTACGATAAATAGTAGATTATCTATATAATGCAATAAAACTGGAGGATTATTTTTCTCATTGTTGTATTATCCCAATTGGGTGCCCAAGATGATAAGCCCATAGTCCGATGATCCTTTTTTTTTTATTGAATACCACTTTCCTATGTACACAGCACTGGAAACATTTTAGTAAAGCTGATACAATGTATCCTGGCTTAGACTCAGCCCTTGGTGTAATCACACTGATCTCACTCTCCCTGTTTCCTTCTTATTCTCAGTTCTGGGGACAATGAAGCACCTGGAAACTTTGGGTTTTTGGATCAAATAGCAGCTCTTCAATGGGTCCAGGGAAACATTAAGGATTTTGGAGGGAACCCACAATCTGTCACCATATTTGGGATATCTGCTGGTGGTATTAGTGTTTCTGCTTTGGTGAGTGTTCTCTGATTACTGGTATCCAGCACCACATCCAGAGGTAAAACAATAATCTTCTAATAATTTGTGATCATTCTTCTCTCCCTGTCTGTGTTCTATTTCCAGGTGTTATCTCCATTATCCAAAGGCCTATTCCATAGAGCCATTGCAGAGAGTGGTACTGCCTTAATGCCTGGACTCATGACCAGTAAACATGAAGTTGTCATTTTTCTCCGAAATGTGAGCATTACTTTTTGTGTTCATGTGGACAACACCGCTCTAAAATCCAACATAACATCTAGCATGTAGTATGTGGCATTCAGTTGTTATGGGAAATCAATTAACAAAATAATTTTCTTTGGAATCCTTTCATTAAATTGACTTCCCTCCTTGAAAACATAATTAACCTAAAGAAGTGACTAGAGTTCATAGTGGAGCTGGCGATCCTGTGTAGAGATTGGTGGCCAAGACAATCTGATGTATTACTGGCTAGTGGAGTTGGATTTTTTCCTTAAACAACTGATATCTGAGAATCTATTTGTGCCCTCCACCTCCCAAAAAAATCTCTAATGTCATATTAAAGGGTTTATCCACTAGCAGGAAGGCCAAAGCAGCCGATCTGAAAAATCTTGTCTGTTTTTGATATTAGATATTGAACTAGAGCATGGTGAGAAGATTTAGATTGGCCAAATTTTTTTTCCTGAAAATAGAAAACTTTTCATGACACACAAATATCAGTCAGTGTTCTTAAGGCTCGGCAGAAATTCAGTACCGAGGTTCTGATTCGGGAACCGAATCAGAAGACTAAAAAATCCTGACTGACCACCCAATCGTTCCCGATTCGGGCGACTTGTAGTTTTGACCGAACCAAATCTCCAAGACAAGAGTGTGTGTGTGTGTATATATGTCTGTCTATCTCTAGATCTATCTATCGATCTATCTATCGATCTATCTATATATATATATATATATATATATTACATTTGTACTTCAGACAAATGCAACTTGTATTTCAGAAAGTTGATCTTGAGCCTTTTGAAACAGACATTTTAAACAAAAATACTCATTATAAAAGCACATTTTTGTTTGTGTTTATATATTCAGTTGATTAGAAAAAATGACTTTGTTCTTTCAGTGATATTCCTCTAATTGCATCAAAGTGAACTAAAAAAATGGCAATTCAGTAGGACAAGCTATTCTTGATTGATTACCAGTTATGTACGTTTTTGGTTTTCAGCTTATTGCCAATATATCCGGCTGTGATCCTGTATCAGTGGTGGCTTGCTTGAAAGAGAAAACTGAAAAAGAAATTATTACGATATTCGATGCCATGGTAAATGATAATCATGTGTTTTCCACAAAAGATTCTTGTTTAGAATTTACCAAATTTGAAACAGACACAATCTCTCAATGGGAACATGTTACTTTGCTTGTAGCGATAGCTCCCCTTTCCTGAATCCAAAAGAACACTATGGAAAATGTACCGCTGTGTGGGAGCACATTTGTCCACATTCCATAACACTCAGTCATTCCTTTCATTCACACACAAAACATTGGAACTCAAGGTAGTTTGTGTCTTGACAGTCCGACATGGAATGTAACTCAAAGATTAATGATAATTAAACCAGAAGTATTATTTTAAAAAAATGCCACAGGAAGGTGATCCTGCCCCGGCACAGATGTCTTACAGATTTTATTTTCCTTTTTGGCAAAATAAATTCATCTTGAATGAAACCCAGATTTGATGTTTCAGGATCTGGATGTCCATGGCCATCCATGTTTGGTGTCTGAGGGTAGACTGATGAAGATGAAATGTGAGAGGGGTTTGAAATCTGGTGTAGGGGCACAGAACTAAGTGGGACATAACCGGCCACATTTTGATACAAATACCATAATATCATATTTTCTGTCTGTACAGAGACTACTGGGGTTACCTGGATGTGTAGATGGTTTATTTCTTCCAAAACCTGCAGAAGAAATGTTGGCAAATAAAGAAAGCAACAATGTTCCACTCATAATTGGCAATACTAACCAGGAGTTTGGATGGACAATGCTTCTGGTAGGAAATTTCTACATCATAAATTTCTTAAATACCATAAAGACTCAAATGCAGTTTATGTAACAAATGTCACACATTTATAAAAAAAAATCAAAACAAACTTAATTAATATAACACAAAGGCTTCTTCAGTAAAAGTGACGGTAATCATAGATGGAGGATTTGGATGGGCAAAGTATCTCCAAGGTTCAAACAAAGAAGCCACGTGGATCAAAACTCAAGATAAATAAAGAGCAGGGTGCATGAACAGTACAGGAAGAGGAAGATATGCTGTTAAAATAAGTGATCATGTTTTCATGGATGGGCTGGAGTTAAACGAATACCCTTGTAAATATTACAATATTGAGTTAACAGATTATGGGATAAATCCAATAAAAAAAATAAACCAATCAGGGATCAGCATTCAGGGCATGCTACACACGAGATAAACAAAATATTGCTTGATATTTTCCAAGGTAACTAGAGCCTGAAAACTAACTTTAATTGTACTTCTGTGACCAGGGGATGAACATCAGTGGTTTAGAAGAAGGATTGGAAAAAGACAAAGTTCAGTCACTCCTGAAATCCATTTCTATGCTGGTAAGTCAAATTTACTGTACTGATACATTTTCCATTCTGTTGTGAGGACATTTATGGGGTGATAAATATCCAAAATAATAATTTTTATAAAAATTATCAAAAAATTTATTTCATAACTTTTATCATATCAAAAATTTATATCGTGGCACTGTTCCCCGATTAATTATTTAAAGCTGAGAATAACCCACTATTTTAATTCTGTTAGATCCTAGAGCAGTGATAGCGAACCTATGGCACGGGTGCCACAGGTGGCACGCCGGGCCCTCTCTATGGGCACGCGGCCATAGGGTCGCCATCAATGCAGAGTAGGCACCTGCCTGCCCAAAACGGCAGGCACCTACTCTGCTTCATTGTCGGCAGGACCGGAAGCAGGGGGGAGGCATCGAGGAAGCAGCTCTCCTGTCCTCCCTCGAGCTGTGTGGAGCGTTGCCGTGTGTTAGCATGGCAACGACCCACACAGCATCGCGCGGGAGGACAGGAGAGCTGCAGGCTCCTATCCTACATACTTACCACCACCGGACCACCAAGGATGGCTGTGTTCCCCCCCCCTCCCCTTCACTAAAGGTAAGATGAAGGAGGGGGGATACTGATTCATAATGCTTTTTTTTTTTTAAAACAAAAACGTTTTTAATGTATCTTAAACCCCCCCCAACAGTGCACCTCTACTAACCCCCCAACAGAGCACCACTACCCCCCAAAAGAGCACCCCTACCCCCCAACCCTACCCCGCCCACAGCACCCCCTGCCCCCACTGGCACCCCTACCCCCCCACACACACAGCATCCCTACCCCCCACACACACAGCACCCCTATCCCCCACACACACAGCAGCCACACACAGCACCCCTACCCCCCAGACAGGCATCCCCCCACACATAACATCCCTACCCCCCACACCAGGCCCGGACTGGCCATCGGGCTTACCGGGCAAATGCCCGGTGGGCCGCGATGGCCAGGGGCCGAGGCCGGCAGGGAGATCACAGGATCTCCCCGGTGGGCCCCTGCAGGGCGGACACTATCAGTGTGCCGGCCCTGCTGTGTGCCTCCATGGGCCAGTGGGGAGATCAGAGATCTCCCTCACCGGCCCAGAGGCACTGTAACACTGCTATGCTGGCTGGGGAGTGAGGGAGGCAGGAGAGGACCGGCGGAGCTCTAGCCAGCAGCTCCGCCGGGTCCTCTCGCGAGGTCTGAGCGTTGCCGCGGTTACCACGGCAACGCTCAGATCTCGCGAGAGTGAACTCTACCTCAGGAACTGCAGGGTAGAGTTCACTCACCACTAGGACCACCAGGGACTGCAGCATGGGACAGCAACTCCAGGGACTCCTCCATGGAAGCACGGCTACCCTCCCTTCTTACCTTTAGTTTGGGAGGGGGGGTAGCCGTGCTTCCATGGAGGAGTCCCTGGAGTTGTTGTCCCATGGGAAATTACGTTTATTCTTTTTAATATTTTTTATTAATTCCCCTATTTCTTAAATCTGATTTTATCCCACATTATTTTTAATTAAAACAATAATTTAAAAAAAAATAAAAAATCATAAATTTACACCTTGCCCCCCCCCCCCACACAAACCCAGACATATACACACAGCACCCTCACCCACTCGGCAACCCTCAGACACACACAGCACCGTTAGACACATACACAGAACACTAACAGCACCCTCAGACACACACACACTGCACCCTCACACACAGCACCCTCAGACACACATATCACCCTCAAACACAGCACACTCACACTAACAGCACACTTACCCACACAGCACTCACGCACACACAGCACGCTCAAACAGACAGCACGCTCACACACACAGCACACTCACAAACACAGCACATTTAGATACACACACAGCATCCTCACACAGCACACTTACCCACACAGCGCCCTCAAACACACAGCACCCTCAGACACACACACACACACATACATATATATATATATATATATATATATATATATATATCATAAAATAACCCTCAGTGAATTAACAAAGATAATTAGACACATAGAATGTGATAGTAAGAACATCCTTACACACATGCTGCACCCTTCACACACACAACACACTGCACCCTCACACACACATGCTGCACACAGCACACCCAACACGCTGCACCCCTCACACACACATGCTGCACACAACACACCCAACACGCTGTGACCCTCACACACACATGCTGCACACAGCACACCTAACACACTGTGACCCTCACATATACATATATATTTGGATGTATATAGAATATATATATATATATATATATATATATATATATATATACTATAGCACCCCTCACACTGCACCACTACACACATTACACTCCAGGTACACGCTAGATCCCTTACCCAACTCTGGATCATATAATCTACACATACACACAGTAGATCCCTATATACACTCTAAATCCTCTACACACACACACACACACACACACACAATCTCCTATACACACTCTGTGTCCTTTACATACTAGATCCCCTACACACACACACACACACACACACACTGCATCACCTACACACACTACATTCCTGACATACAAACTCTGGATCCCCTATGCATACACTACATTCCTTGTTAACAAACACATGCTACATTCTCTAAACACACACTCTCTACAACCCTTACACACACTACAGCCGGTATGCACACACTCGCTACATCCCCAATACACACTATACACACACTCTCTACAGGCCCTAGCACAATACGTTTTCCTGGCCCTTTTGTCCTCTGGTATCCCACTTACTGAGACACCAGAGACAAGTTAAAAGCAAACACAACGCAAGAATGCTATTACATTTGCTTGCGTTGCGCAGAACAAATACAGGGCCTTTTTCTCATGCTAGAGCTCTTCAGCAGGGCTCTGCGCATTGAACTAACATATCAGTTTGAGAGGGGGTGTGCTTGTCCTTAGTGATGACAAAACACCCTTCTCACACACAGCACCCTTCTCACACACAGCACCCTTCTCACACACGGCACCCTTCTCACACACAGCACCCCTCACACACACACCCTTACATCCTTACACACAAACACATACACTACACACCTCAATGCAGTATATATGTGTGTATTCAGCAGTCTTTATGTGTTCAGCAGTGTGTGTGTGCGTGTGTATTCAGCCGACTGCGTATGTATTCAGCCGACTGCGTGTGTATTCATCCAACTGCGTGTGTATGTATTTACCAGTGTGTGTGTGTATTCAGCGGACTGTGTGTATGTTTGTGTTTGTGTGTATTTCACGGACTGTGTGTGTATTTAGCAGTCTGTGTGTTTATGTATTAAGCAGTGGGTGTGTGAATGTGTTCAGCTGTGTATATGCATTGCATTTGTTGGAGATGCTAATAAATATAAGCTTAATTTTATCTATTAATATCATTATTTAAAATTTGTATAATTGAACTTTCTGTTGTGTCTTTTAAAACAAAAGATGTTAACTAGTTCAGACAACTGTACGAGTTGTTTTTTCAAAACTTAAATCTCAGTATTCAGGTTTTATTGCCGTGTTGGCACTTTGAGGGAAAAAAAGTTGGCATGTATTGCGGTTTGGGCACTCTGGCTCACTTCGCCATCACTGTCCTAGAGGAAGTTTCACTAGAAGATTTTATCTCACACAGTAATCACAAATTAATTATAAAAATATAATTTTTTGTGACAATAATAATAAAAATAATATATGTAACATGCGTGACAATCAGTGAATATTTAGGTATAACATAAGTATATAACATGGCAGTGGTTTTAACACAATATAGACAGCTGAAAGAAACAGTTATGTATGCAACAGTTGTCAACAAAATTAGGATTTACGACAGGACACTTAACTTAGACATCACTTCACAGAACACAACAGCACAACATAAAGCAATAAACACTTTGGCTGACAGTCAAATCTCACTGAATTAACTCTTTTACTGCTAGCTACAATCCTCATAGGCAAGATATCCTATTATATTGCAATATTTATGGCAACAATAATTCTCATATCAGGTCATTCACCATTCCTAAATCCATCCAACAAGAATAATTCTAACCAGATTTTACGTTTGCAGAAATGTAACTTTCCTAATTAAAACTCACTATTTCTAAATTACATAAGCTAATATATTTGTATAATTGCCTTGTATTCTATTTTTAAAGTTAAAGTAATATAGAGTTCATTGGTCCACCTGCAGGAATGGAATTATAAATTCTATATAGTATTAATGAATCATGACTCCTTAATTGTTGGATGCACCAGCTTTTATTCAAGTATATTCTGCCTTTTAGTAAGAGCAATTAATTTAATTTAATGAAATCAAATAAAACTAGTATAATTACCAATTAGGTTGTAAATCAGATGTGTAGGTATGTCCCAGGAATTTTGAATGCAAGTATGATGAGAGAATTGTATGAAAATGTATAAAAGTTTTCAGTTCTGAAGTTGTGTTAGTTGAAAAGTATAAAGAATTAGGTGTGTCCAGCTTTGGATCCAGATGTCAGATCTTAGCTGTTAGATGTGAGTCCAAGAGAGTGTTTAGAGTGTCCCAGAGTCAGAATGTGTCCTCTTTTCCCTTTGTCCTTATTTTTTAAAGGGGGAAAATGCTCTGCACGTCACTAGTTGATAGGACCAATAGGGAACTGTGGGTGTGTCTTCCCTAAAGACTATCATCTAGATTTTGGTCAGTAGATGGTGCAATTACATCACCAAAAATTCTTGTCAGGGGTTCCATTTACCTTTTTGTATAATGTGTTAACTGAATTTGGTGATGCTTTGACATAATTTTGTTATCTTTTTATGGCTACTATTCGTCACAGAAGCTGTCATCTTCAAAGCGTTTTCCCAGTCTGAGTGTCTGGCACATACCTTTTAAATTTAGCTTTCTGACATGTCTAAACTCTTCTTCGCCTCTTCTTTACAATGGAACTACAAATGCTCTGTTACATATTTTTTTTAGAAAGTAAAATTAATTGCTTAGTGTTTTCTGTCATTTGGTGTCTGGTTTTCTTGTGTGAAACTGTAATTAAGATTACACATATTCCACTAACATTAGTACATAATATGATATTTTTTCATTAAAATTATATTCATGAATATTCTATATTATTAACTTAGTACTAATTATATATGATTAATATACTTATAGTAAGTTATAAGTGGATAGTGTGTATATATAGCATTCAACCCCCCTTTTGCTTTAGACATCATTCCTTAGCTTTGGCTTTATCTCTAATATTTACATCAGTCGCATTCCTTAGCTCAGACTTAAATGCATTGAGTTACTGAAAGAGAAATTTGTGTCTATCTTAGCATTCTGTTACAAAATTGAGTCACCTCTGTTCTGAGGGTGACTGGCAATATACATTTGTAATTTCTATCTTAAAACAAAATGTCTGCCAGTATAAATATACTGACAGTGTATCTAGGAGCAGACACATCAGACAAGACATATCCTCCTTACCATTGCTGGTCTCTGTTTGGAATAAACTCCCACCAGCAAGGACAGCAAGATCTCCAACTCGAAACCCAACGAGCAACACAAGAGAATATTATTGTTAAATCACTGACAGATACATTTCAGGAAAGGTCAATATTAAGAAGACACATTATGAGCTACATTTTAATCTTAAACAGGAATTGAATGAAGAATCCATCCCTTTGGTAATGGAGGAATATTTGGGGGACACAAGTGATCCTTTTGAAATCCGAGACAGGTTCCTGGATTTATGTGGTGATATAGTGTTTGTTATGCCAGCTCTCAAGACAGCGAAATATCACAGAGGTAGGTAACAAAGTATCCTGGAGACACTGTGAAATTGATAAAACAGATAAATGTTCTCAAACCAAGAATTTCCCTTGGCAATCCGCATACAGAATGCATACAAAGAATGCTTCCATTTCTTCTCAATTTTTCCAAGTGCAAAGGACAGCAATGATTGACAGGGAGCTAAGATGACGGCTCCTAGTTGTAGGATACAGGTGATGATTTCTACATTTATTTCTATTTTTTACAACTTAGAAAGCCTGAGCAGTGACAGTTCCCCTTTAATAAAAGTAGAAGGGAAATAGAGCACAATTAGAGGCTACAGATTGATCAAAGTCAGAATAGGATCTTATTCACAGGAGACATCTGAAGAGCTGTCTGAAACCTTACCTCCAATCATATGATATAAACTATATTATTATGCATTTTTTTTACTTACATTTCACATGATTATTGCTTTTGTTTTCTCTCTGAATATGCCCTTTTTGTCAACTGCTAGATTCTGGATTTCCAGTCTATTACTATGAATTTCAGCATCGGCCAGCAGTCTATAAGGATAGAAAACCAGCATATGTTAAATCAGATCATGGAGATGACGCATCGTATGTTATGGGAGGCGCGTTCTTAACTCGTGACAGCCTGTTCAACGGTAAATAATGCATCTTTTCAAAATGATGCAGAACATTTTTTGTTGTTGTTCTTGAAAGCTACTATGAAATTAAACATTTTTTAAAAAATATTTTTGTAGTCAATGCAACAGAGGAAGAAGAAAGGTTCAGCAAAACCATTATGAAATATTGGGCCAATTTTGCTCGAAATGGGTAAGATTTGACTGTGTCCTTGTATTTCCTTCAATATACAGTTTCAGAATTTTTCTGAATAAAGTATGTAACAATATGTTATGGAGTGGGCCTAAGAGGGTAAAGAGTTGGGAGATTGATAATAAGGATGAAAAGAGCAAAGTTAGTGTGATTTACTGCTCCCAAAGAGTTATTTGACTGAAATAAATCAGTCATGAAAATTTCACAACAAATAGCAGGCTTAGGTCAGGGATATAGCTACAAGCATAGTCAGAATTAAGCGAAAAGGCCAGGCCAGGCAGCAAAGAAGAATCAGAAAAGGCAGGTCACAACAGAGAATCAGAGAGCAACCTATCACAAGAGACCTAAAACAAAATATCTCAAAAAGGTGCAAAGGAGATTGTGGTACCATTTTATATTTATTACTGCACACAGAATATCGTGTTGCTTTAGAATTAGGAGGCTGATATCGGAGAGAGTTACAAGGATGTGGGAACGGAGGCAAGCAGAGTAAGGACACCATGTATGCCAACTGAGATGCAGGGTGACAGAAGAGAGGTGGGAAGGGGATCCAATACAGTAAAAATATTTGAAGAGTGCGTAAAACAGGAGAAATAATAATAATAATCGTTAACAGCATTTTTTTCAATCATCTACTGTATGTCATTTGTGTCAAAGAATAGTTATTGATCAAACTGTTTTGGTCTTCTTACCTACAGAGATCCCAATGGACCAGGTCTCAAAAAATGGCCACGATATCACGAAAACGAAGCTTACATGCAACTTGCGTTGGAGCAGAAACCTACAGAAAAGTATAAACCAGACAGGTTTGTTTTCTGGACCAAAACTCTTCCAGAGACCATTCGAAAAATGTCAAAGGAACAAAATGAAGACCGTGAAGAACTGTAGATTTGTCTATCAGCTGTCACCCTTCTCCATGGGAAATTACAGAAATCATCAAGAGAGTCACTGCTAAGTAATTCGATTTCCATTCATCTTGCATTTAACTCTACCACTGGCTCCCAATTCAGTCCTTGAAGATTCAGGATTTAGGGATTTGCCAGCTTTGTTGCCGTGGGGCCACTGACAAAACTTTGACCACTTCTATCTTAGGTCTTGAGACAAGGTTGGACAAAAGTTGGTCTATAACACACATTCCTAAGCTTCCAAATCTCTATATAACGACCATCCACCATAAACCGGCCAGGTACTCAGCTATGGACTTGATATCATCTCATTGTTAAGAAAAATAGAGAAGGTTGGAGGACTTCTCTCCAACTGGACAATCTGAAGGAAACCAACACAACATTGCACTGAATTGGATTATTACACACATTGCATTGGGCAAGGAGAAAGAGAAATATGGTTACATTTTCTCCCTTTCCACATTCTATTTTCTAAGACAGAGCGTATAACTGTGATTAACAGGAAGACAAGATGGAGGCACCCAGTTCCAGAATAGATGGATGGATTCCGACCTTTCATTTAATCTTTAAGGCCTCACAAGCACATATTTGTTACATATAGGGTGTAAGTAAATATAATGTAAAAAATAATGCTAAGTGACTGTTCCCATGTCAAAGAGTCATTAAAGTTTGAAATACTGGTCTATAACTTTTGTTATAAACTTTACTCTATTTTTAATTAATGCTTTACATCCTTTATGCCTCAAAAATGTGAATTTAGTAGCAGTAATGTTTTTTTGAACTTTACTGTGCCTTCAACAAAAAGTACTTTAAAGGAATGGTCTAAGCACCATAACAACAACAGCTCGTTCACTCTCTGAGAGTGCCAGCTGAGAACTCTCAGCCAATGGAATTGCTCCTATATTTGCCTGTTTGAATAGTGTTGAATAGGGTCATTCATCTTCTGCAGGAGCAGACTGGATGCTGGGTAGGCACTTGGGGAACCCAGGCAAGTTGGGAAAAAAAAGTCCTAAAGCCGTTTGACAAGTTACACTGGGAAGGCACAAGTGCACTTTAACTAAAGTGACAGGGGCACATTAAATGTCTGATACTTTTTTGCATAATTGTTCCATTGTCTACTTCCTGACAAGATCCATTCATTTAGCCAGGAATTGACTTGAAAATTGCACATACATGTGAGAATGCTAAGACATATTTTAAGTTCAGTTATTTTGACATACAAATTGCAATTCTCCACAATTTCTTGGTTTAATGAATTACACTGATTTGTTGAAGAATTTTACCTGTGTCAACAAACTGTGAGATGTACCAATGCCTCTTCTTCATTTTCGGAACTTTTCATGTTACCTACCAGTTTGATGTATGATGTACTTTATTGGTCAGCAAGCATTGCTTCCAACACCCACTGCCTCTGGGCGCTAACACGGTTTCTATAGACGTGTTCTGTGTAAATGTTTTAACAAACAAGAAGTCTACAGCAATAAAGTTTTTTGTATTATTAAAGCAGTGCTGACACTTTAGGGGTCTTTGCATAAAGACCAGCTCCACCATCCAAGGTGACCAGGGCGGTGCAAGGTTTTTGCCACCCTAGGCAAAAAGTAAGTTTAGCCCCCTCCTCCCCATTGACAAATGCCCCACCCATATGATCTGCCATGTTAACTAGCGCCAGTGCTGCAGTGCCGCCATGTTTACATTAAAAGGCCTGCAGGGACAGGCTATGGACACCAGAACCACTACATTAAGCTGCAGTGGTTCTGGGGACTATAGTGTTTCTTTAATGTGAGGTAAATTAGAGATTAGTGCCACGAATAATATACTAGATTACCTACTTACAAGCAGATGAGGATGATGATGGGCTCTAGCTGCAGTCTGGCTCCACTGGTCTGGTGTATAACAGGATCTCTGGAGGCTGTTTGTAACTGTGGTCACACAAATCAATGTTCTGGGAGAGAGAAGCAGCTCCATTTTTTGGGGCCCTTTACACAGCTCAAGGTCTGGGTCCCAGGGTCCACCTTCATTTTCCACCAATGAGTTTGTTCACAGGGGATGGAGTGTGTAGGGAATGTCCTGATTTGTGTGTAAGGAATGCATTTTGTGAATCTTTGTATGTGTAAGGGCTGCAAGGTGTGTTTCTGTGTATGTAAGGGATGAAGTGTGTGAGTCTGTAAGGGGTGCATTGAGTGTGTGTAAGGAATGCATTGTGTGTTTCTGTGTGTGTAAGGGATGCATTGTGTGTAAGGGTTGCATTGCGTGTGTGTGTAATGCATTGTGTGTTTTTCTGTGTGCAAGGGTTCATTGTCTTTGTGTGTAAGGGGTGCATTGTGTGTGATTGTGTGTGTGTGTGTGTGTGATGGATGTCAATCTCTCCCCCCTCCCTTGTCACTCTCTTCTCCCCCCCTCCCTTGTTACTCTCATTTCCCCTCCCTCCCCTGTCACTCCCCCCTCCCTGTCAATTTCTCTCTCCCCGTCAATTCCCCTCCCTGTCAATGTCTCCCCCCGTTAGTTTCTTTCCCCCCCCACCTCCCTGTTAGTTTCTTTCTCCCCCCTCCCCTGTCAGTTTCTTTCTTCCCCCCTCCCCTCCCCTCCCTGTTTCTTTCTTCCCCCTCCCTGTTTCTTTCTTCCCCCTCCTTCCCTGTTTCCTTCTCCCCCTCCCTCCCTGTTTCCTTCTCCCCCCTCCCTCCCTCTTTTTCCCCCTCCCTCCGTTTCTTTCTTCCCCCTCCCTCCGTTTCCTTCTCCCCCCTCCCTCCTTCCCTGTTTCCTTCTCCCCCTCCCTCCCTGTTTCCTTCTCCCCCTCACTCCCTCTTTCTTCCCCCTCCCTCCCTGTTTCTTTCCCCTCCCTCCCTCCCTGTTTCTTTCTCCCCCCTCCCTCCCTGTTTCTTTCTCCCCCTCCCTCCCTGTTTCTTTCTCCCCCTCTCTCCCTCCCTGTTTCTTTCTCCTCCTCTCTCCCTCCCTGTTTCTTTCTCCTCCTCTCTCCCTCCCTGTTTCTTTCTCCTCCTCTCTCCCTCCCTGTTTCTTTCTCCCCCTCTCTCCCTCCCTGTTTCTTTCTCCTCCTCTCTCCCTCCCTCTGTTTCTTTCTTCTACCCCTCCCTCTTTTTTTTCTTCTCCCCCTCCCTCTCTCTCTGTTTCTTTCTTCTCCCCTCCCTCCTTCTCTGTTTTTTTCTTCTCTCCCACCCTCCCTCTCTGTTTCTTTCTTCTCCCCTCCCCTCCTGTTTCTTTCTTCTCCCCCCTCCCTCCCTCTCTTTTTCTTCTCCCCTCCCTCCCTCCCCTGTTTCTTTCTTCTCCCCCCTCCCTCCCTCTCTTTTTCTTCTCCCCCCTCCTCCCTCCCTGTTTCTTTCTTCTCCCCTCCCTCCCTCTCTTTTTTCTTCTCCCCTCCCTCCCTCTCTTTTTTATTTCTTCTCCCCCCTTCCTCCCTCTTTCCTCCCCCTCCCTCCCCTACCTGTGTGGTAGTGTGGCCGAGCCCTCTATTGGTCCGACCGGTACAGGGAGCTGTTGTTTCCTGTACCCGGCCGGACTAACAGGAAGTGAACACTCAGTGTTCACTTCCTGTTAGTCCGGCCGGGTACAGGAGACAGCTGCTCTCTGTACCGGTCGGACCAATAGAGGGCTCGGCCACGCTACAGAGAGGGAGCTGTCAGGAGAGAGCGCTGAGCGCTTCCCTCCTGTCAGCCTCTCCTCAGGCTGCGCCCGGGCGGTGCGGTCCGCCCTCATGGACGCACCGCCCGGGCAAAGCTGCAGCCGCCTGAGGCTCTCTACAGAGGGCTCGGGCGGCTGCAGCATGAGCGGGGCCGGCGCTCCTGGCGGCGCCCCCTCCCAAGGGGCGCCCTAGGCGGCTGCCTAGTCCGCCTTACAGGTAGCGCCGGCCCTGAAGGTGACATATCTGCTCAATCAGCAACGGCCTCGGGCAGAAGCTAAAGTGAGATATACTTACATACTTACATAATTACATAGCTGAAAAGAGACTTGCGTCCATCAAGTCCAGCCTTCCTCACATTTGTTTTCTGCTGTTGATCCAAAAGAAGGCAAAAAACCCAGGTTGAAGCACTTCCAATTTTGCAACAAGCTAGGAAAAAAATTCCTTCTTGACCCCAGAATGGCAGTCAGATCTATCCTTGGATCAAGCAGTTATTACCCTACATTGAAAGTCTCTGATAAAGCCACTTCTTCAGGCAGAGAATTCCACATCCATATTGTTTTTACAGTAAAAAAAAAATTTCCTTTGAAACTTACCAGTGATTTATAAAGAGGCAAAATGATATTCTCGTCCCGAGAATGAATGCCTTTTTTCATGCATGACAATTCCTTACTGGCCTTGGCCACTGCGGATTGACATTGCACATTGTTGCATAGTTTGTTGTCTATAACAATTCCCAAGTCCTTTTCGTGTGTTGTTATCCCTAATTCGCTTCCATTAAGGGTATACGTTGCTTGTGTATTCTTTACGCCGAAGTGCATAACTTTGCATTTTTCAACATTAAATTTCATCTGCAATCTAGTCCCCCAGTGTATCTAAATCCCTCTGCAGCAAAGTAATATCTTGCTCACATTGTATTATTTTACAGAGTTTTGTGTCATCTGCAAACACTGAAACATGACTTTCTATGCTGTCTTCGAGATCATTTATAAACATGGTAAATAGAAGGGGTCCCAGAACAGACCCTTGAGGGACGCCACTTGCCACCTCTGTCCAGCTTGAAAATTTACCATTAATGACAACTCTTTGTACTCTGTTTTTAAGCCAATGTTCTACCCAAGAATAAGCATTTATATCTAGACCGATTTCCTTGAGTTTGAACACTAATCTATTGCGTGGAACTGTATCAAATGCTTTGGCAAAATCCAAATAGATCACATCCACTTCAACACCCTGATCTATACTTCTACTTACTTCTTCGTAGAACGCAATCAAGTTAGTTTGACATGACCTGTGCTTCATAAAACCGTGCTGATTTTTGCTGATAACCATGTTCTTCTCAAGGAATTCTTGAATATTATCCCTTAATAACCTTTCAAATATTTTACCAGCCACAGAAGTTAAGCTCACAGGTATATAATTTCCAGGCAAGGATTTTGAACCCTTTTTGAATATAGGAACCACATCTGCCTTCCTCCAATCCTCCGGAAAACACTGCCTGAAAGAAAAGAATCTTGAAAGATTAAAAACAGAGGTTCACTTATTACTACACTTAGTTCCTTAAGTACTCGTGGATGAATACCATCAGGCCCTGGAGCTTTGTTACCCTGAAGCTCTAACTCGTACGCACCACCATCTCGTTTTTCTGTCCTTATCTCCTGGAGCTTCATTTGCCAGGAACCCACATCAACTTCAGAATGAGGGTTCCATAATAGAATTTCTTGAGAATCAAGATAGACGGCATAACCTCAGCCTTTTTGTCAAGTTTTGTCTACCTTGAAAATCTTCAAAGAACAAAGTGGTGGTTACTTTGTCTTCCAATATCTTGTGATTGTGTTGGAATTTCAGTGAAGAACCAGCACAATCAATATGAGTATTTGAAATAAATGCTAAAAACAAATGAAAGAGTTGATTTAAAAACAAGCTGCAGCCTTTATAGGACTCCTTACTCCTAGGTGGCAGCAGTACACTAAATGCATCACTTTTGTCCGTGGAAAATGTATATAAAGCCCGTAACCCCACTTTCTTAGAGAATGAGAGTTTAGTGACTCTTCTAACCCTCGCGGGCATCTTCTGCACTTATAGGAATACTCCAAACCTCTTAATCAGTATGGTCCCCTGTAGTGGTTATGCTGTCAGAAGTGCCCCAGTGCTGAGAATTTACCTGTGTCCCGCTAGACAAGATACTTATTGATATATGTCCTCCGACCTCAAGTCCTCAAAGATTGTAAGGTTGTTTTGAGCAGGGCCCTTTTTACCTCTAAATATCTCCATTCTATAATTTTAAAACACTGTTGAATATGTGCTATACAATTAATAGTAATAATAGTGAAGTAGTCTTGGTGCAGTGGTGCTGTAGTTTTAACCCTGCAATGAAAAGCGTTGCAAATTTGAACTTCCTCAATTGATTGAAATTCAGTCCTGAAATAAAATGCTGCTCAAGTCTTTGGAGGCACTGCAAACAAGGTGATATGTTTAATTGAACTTTAATTTTCAGGTGTGTGGTCAGTGCTCACAGTGATAGCATGCAACCTGTAGTCCCATAAAAATATTATTTTTATAGGTCCCCTTTAACTCTCCAACTGGAGGATTTGTAAAAGGGATTCCCAGGAACCATCTAATCTGTCCCTTTAAAGGGACACTATAGCCACCTGAACAACTTTAGCTTAATTAAGCAGTTTTGGTGTATAGAACATGCCCCTGCAGCCTCACTGCTCAATCCTCTGCCATTTAGAAGTTAAATCCCTTTGTTTATGAACCCTATTCACACCTCCCTGCATGTGACTTGCACAGCCTTCCATAAACACTTCCTGTAAAGAGAGCCCTATTTAGGCTTTCTTAATTGCAAGTTCTGTTTAATTTAGATTTTCTTATCCCCTGCTATGTTAATAGCTTGCTGTACCCATGCAAGAGCCTCCTGTATATGATTAAAGTTCAATTTAAAGATTGATATACAATTATATAAGGTAAATTTCATCTGTTTGAAAGTAAAACCAGTTTTTTTTTTTCATGCAGGCTCTGTCAATCATAGCCAGGGGAGGTGTGGCTAGGGCTGCATAAACAGAAACAAAGTGATTTAACACATAAATGACAGTGAATTGAGCAGTGAAATTGCAGGGGAATGATGTATACACTAAAACTGCTTTATTTAGCTAAAGTAATTTAGGTGACTATAGTGTTCCTTTAACATTTGTTTTGCCAGAAGTTTTCCATAATTTGTTACATGACGATATCAAATATTAAAATTAAGCCAAGACTTTGAGTAAAGGGATCATTTTCTTAAAATATTGCAATATTTTATTGATGGCATGGAATTAGGACGGGTGGAAGAGCCTTCAGGAGGTCGTTGATAATCAAGCAACTTGCGTCACTGACGGCGCTCATAATAGAGAGCACTGCCTCCGCCCAGAAACTGGGTGGGCACGTCCACTGGATCAAGCATTCCATTCTGACAGACAGCTTCCTGGCCGGCCCTCGCCAGAAAGAACATTGCAGCACAGTGTGTGTGTGTCTAATGATGAGCTTGCGCTGTGCTGGCCGAGGACAGTTCCCTGTTGTACCTGGATGCTGGACACTAGGAAACTAGACCCGGACAGTGGAAAATCACCCTAAAGCAGGGCCTGTACCACAATAGCTGGACAGTTGGGAGGCCTTCTGATGGACCTCCAAGCGGAAATGCTGACTATATATAGCAGAAGGAGAACACTGACATTACATTGCACAAAAAACAGGTAACAATCTGGGGCAAACCTCTAAATAAGGAGAAATTACCATGGAAACCAAAAGAATGTCTAAAAAGGGACACTACAGTCACCCAGAGGGAGGGAAGTCACCAGCGCAGAGGGAAGCCGGCACTGGATTAAGGTAAGTGGCTGAAGGGGTTTTAACCCCTTCAGCCCAGTGGGAGGGGGACCCTGAGAGTGGGCGGGACCTATGGGTTATATAGTGTCAGGAAAATAAGTTTGTTTTCCTGACACTATAGTGATCCTTTAATATATAATACTTTGCCCCAAAACAGCACTGGATTTGCTCTAATAAAGTCCCCCCTTTCCAAAAGCAAATATAAACGTAACATAAATAAATCCTACTGAAATAAGTCCCAGATATCTTTGCATGACATTTCATTTTGACCCCAAGTTTAGATCAATACGTAACAAAGAATGAAGATCTAGGGGAAAGCTCGCTGGTATACATAACTCTCTGTGTGCAAAGCATAGTAACACGCACCATTCCTTATAAATAATACAAGTTGTGTTCAGTTTTAGTCCCCACATTAAATCGTTCTTCTTTTTTTTGTTGTTGACTGTTTAGTAGATACCCCAAAGAAAGCATGCGTGTATTTTTTTTCTTTGTCATTGACAGACTGCTGTGCAGCCGCTGCAGAGCTCTAGCATTCTTCTCAAAGAACTACCTATCTGTAACAATATACCTACATTATTCCATTCACCTTAGAAAGCTGTACATTCTGAAAACAGGAAGGACAGGTCTTGAAACGCCAAAAAGACAAATAAATCAATTTGTTCTTTTTATGGTATTGCCAGGGCCGGACTTGGAATACAAAGCTGTTCTGGAAAAATTATTAATAAGGCCGAAACATCATATGCATTAAAGTTGTGTTGGTGCCGGGACAGACACTGACAGATTTATACAAAATACCCAACAGATGGAAAATTTTACCAAATAAAGTGAGAGGTGACTATGCGTTGACCTGTATTCTCAGGACTGTTTATACCTAAATATTTTCAAGAAGAGAAGCTGTTTTTACCCCTCCAGGTGAGCAAAGAAATACCCGTTAGAAGAATTACAACTAAAGTGGAGATTCTCATTCAGCTTTAGTTATGTCAAGTTTGTAAAACTATTCAGCCAATGAGAACTTCTGATTTAGTCACATCATGAAGACTGGAGCAGCGCGAGTGCCTGCGGGGCCCAGAGAGAGGGCTTGGTTATAATCTTGCCGTTACTTTTTACCAACCAGTCACCAGCTTTTACTCAAAAGTGCCTGTCGCTACTGTTACCAAGTAACAACTGTTTACCGACGGCAAAAATTTCCCAGTGGCAAAAAAGGGATTTACCAGCTGTGGCGGACCACCAGAGTATCGCCGCCGCAGATTCCCTTTCCCAGTGTGAAGAAGCTCTGTCCAACCGCTGAAGTGATTATAACTGGTATAGCCTCCCCCCCATACATTAGTTGAGACTTAATGTTGGGAGTTGTTCTGGCTTATTTGGCCAAAGCATACAGTATTTATACACAGACCCTCAGTATGGGGCCTCCATATAGAATAACATAAATTCCTCCCAGGCATCTCTGTGTTTGGGAGATAATTGAGTCAAAAGCCTTGTGATTTATTTATCTCCCAATTACAGGGATACATACAGATTTTACACAAAACACTCCAAAGCCCGATTACATCCACACAGGAACCCCACATATCCTATATCCCTGGATAGACTGGATCCGAGCACCCAAGTTGTCCAAATTGCGTTCAGATCCGTTTGGTGTAGTGGAATAGCCACCGGTCAATGTTCGGGAGCTCCTGTGCGAAACGACCAAATGTCTCCCCTGCGTCTTAGGTAGAGGATGTTCCTCGTAGGTCACCAAATCTTTTTCCCGCTCTCCTGGCTTGCCTGTAAGTGAAGCAGGCAGCGGTACAAGTTCGCCGGGATTCGTGAGTTGTAAAGTCCGAATCTAGCTCCATGCGCTCAACGACAAAGTACCACTGCAAGTGTTCGGCAGGCAAGATGGAGAGCACCTGAGTTAACGACCTTCTTTGAAGTTAATGAGCCAGGGGGTGTCTGGAGCTCGGGAGTATAAAAGGAGAACATGAATATCCGTTCGGGAAACGAACAGGGGGTATGGATACGAATGAACAAGGGAACTAATACAAGTAATGGGGTATTAGGTCACACCAGCTGCCAATAATTAAAGGACCACTACAGGCACTATTACCCCTTCTTGGGACTGAAAATGTTATGTTGCTAGGAGGTCCCAGGTGCCAGTTTATCTAAAGTGGTAAAGCCATTAGCAAATGGTTTAACTCCAAAGTCTTCAAGCCGGCACTCTCACGCCCGTTTGCATTGTAGGGCGAATATGGACGTTCAGGGAGTGTGTAGCAGGGCTCAAAAGCGGCTCTCTAATTAGGCAGTTTAGGTGGCCACCTAAGGCCTTGCACTGGCTGGGGCCTCGCGGCCGTCTAAACTGCCTGAGGGCAGACTGTGTTGGGTCCTCGGTCAGTGACTGAGGACCCGACACCAGGAGGGGGACCGGCAGCTTGCCCAATATGCCGCCGGATGCGAGGCCCCTCCTGTCTGCCCAGCCACCAGTGAGCAGAGCTGCAGACAATGTGTCTCGCGGAAACTGGCCAATCAGAGCGCTGCCGCGGGTTACCACGGCAACGCTTTGACAGGTCTTGCGAGATACATAGTCTGACCGGAAGTAATGGCCACCGGACCACCAGGGAGCCCACCGGACCACAAGGGTTAAATTAAGGTATGTGGTACCCCCTCCCTCTAACATTACACCAACACCTCCCCTCCCTCAGCATCACCCCCTCACTCAGCATCACCCTCCCTCACCATAACCCCCCTTAGCATCACCCCCACCATCAATCCCCCTCCCTCACCTTCACCACCCCTCACCATCAACATCAACCCCCCTCCCTCACCATCACCATCAACCCCCCCTCCCTCAGCATCACCCCCCTCACCATCACCCCCCACCATCAACCCCCCCTCCCTCAGCATCAGCCCCCTTCCTCACCATCAACCTCCCTCCCTCATCATCACCACCGACCCCCCCTCCACTCCATCACCCCTCCCCCCCACCCATCACCTTCCTTTCTCACCATCACCTCCCCTCTCCCTGTCACCATCACCCCAATCCCTGTCAAGATCACCCCCTCTACTCTCACCATCACCCCCTCTCAGCATCACCCCCTCCCTCTCAGCCCCCTCTTGCCATCACCCCTCTCTCCCCATGACCTCCCTCTCATCATCCTACTCTCCCTCCCTCTCACCATCACCCCCTCACACACACAGCTTCCCCAGACACACTGTCACCTCCCCACACATTGTCACCCCCCACACTGTCAGCCTCTTCATGCATCCACACTCAATTAACCACTCCTAATCCTGTTAATCTCACCCCTCCAAACTCACCTGCCTTCAATCTGCTACACTCACCCTGTCACATTAACCCACCTTAATCCTGTCACACTCGTCCCTCCTACCATGCCACAATTGTCCTGACACACTTACCTTCACTCGCCCTGCCACACTCCCTCATCACCTGTCCCTCGTTCCCTTTCACACCCCCCTGTCCATTTACCCCCTTCGCCCTGTCACGCTCTCCCTGTCACTGGTACCCCTTTACTTACCTTGTCACAGTCACCAGCTGAAGACATTCATCATACACACACAGTAAAGAAACATAGTTTTGCCATAAACAAAATGCACAAAGGCTACTGGCTAATTTTTTCAAAGAATCTCATCCAGCAAACCATTTTAGAATAGGTGTTTCAGATCATGGCCCTCATCTCATAGAGACTATCCGCGAGCAAAATGGATACATTTAAATAAGATATGTCACTAAACTCCACAATCTGTATCATTCATTATGTCCCTTTGTTTTCCAGTGTTAACTTAACTATATACAGGGAGTGCAGAATTATTAGGCAAGTTGTATTTTTGAGGATTAATTTTATTATTGAACAACAACCATGTTCTCAATGAACCCAAAAACTCATTAATATCAAAGCTGAATATTTTTGGAAGTAGTTTTTAGTTTGTTTTTAGTTTTAGCTATGTTAGGAGGATATCTGTGTGTGCAGGTGACTATTACTGTGCATAATTATTAGGCAACTTAACAAAAAACAAATATATACCCATTTCAATAATTTATTATTACCAGTGAAACCAATATAACATCTCAACATTCACAAATATACATTTCTGACATTCAAAAACAAAACAAAAACAAATCAGTGACCAATATAGCCACCTTTCTTTGCAAGGACACTCAAAAGCCTGCCATCCATGGATTCTGTCAGTGTTTTGATCTGTTCACCATCAACATTGCGTGCAGCAGCAACCACAGCCTCCCAGACACTGTTCAGAGAGGTGTACTGTTTTCCCTCCTTGTAAATCTCACATTTGATGATGGACCACAGGTTCTCAATGGGGTTCAGATCAGGTGAACAAGGAGGCCATGTCATTAGATTTTCTTCTTCTATACCCTTTCTTGCCAGCCACGCTGTGGAGTACTTGGACGCGTGTGATGGAGCATTGTCCTGCATGAAAATCATGTTTTCTTGAAGGATGCAGACTTCTTCCTGTACCACTGCTTGAAGAAGGTGTCTTCCAGGAACTGGCAGTAGGACTGGGAGTTGAGCTTGACTCCATCCTCGACCCGAAAAGGCCCCACAAGCTCATCTTTGATGATACCAGCCCAAACCAGTACTCCACCTCCACCTTGCTGGCGTCTGAGTCGGACTGGAGCTCTCTGCCCTTTACCAATCCAGCCACGGGCCCATCCATCTGGCCCATCAAGACTCACTCATTTCATCAGTCCATAAAACCTTAGAAAAATCAGTCTTGAGATATTTCTTGGCCCAGTCTTGACGTTTCAGCTTGTGTGTCTTGTTCAGTGGTGGTCGTCTTTCAGCCTTTCTTACCTTGGCCATGTCTCTGAGTATTGCACACCTTGTGCTTTTGGGCACTCAGTGATGTTGCAGCTCTGAAATATGGCCAAACTGGTGGCAAGTGGCATCGTGGCAGCTGCACGCTTGACTTTTCTCAGTTCATGGGCAGTTATTTTGCGCCTTGGTTTTTCCACACGCTTCTTGCGACCCTGTTGACTATTTTGAATGAAACGCTTGATTGTTCGATGATCACGCTTCAGAAGCTTTGCAATTTTAAGAGTGCTGCATCCCTCTGCAAGATATCTCACTATTTTTGACTTTTCTGAGCCTGTCAAGTCCTTCTTTTGACCCATTTTGCCAAAGGAAAGGAAGTTGCCTAATAATTATGCACACCTGATATAGGGTGTTGATGTCATTAGACCACACCCCTTCTCATTACAGAGATGCACATCACCTAATATGCTTAATTGGTAGTAGGCTTTCGAGCCTATACAGCTTGGAGTAAGACAACATGCATAAAGAGGATGATGTGGTCAAAATACTCATTTGCCTAATAATTCTGCACTCCCTGTATAATTGCATTGTATTGTCTACCTACAAACAATAAAAATGTTGTTCTGGTAAAATATTTTACAACTTTTTATCTATATAATGCAATAAGAATTGAGGATCACTTTTATCCCATTTTTTTAAATTATCCCAATTGGGTGCACAACATGATGAAAACAGCTGGGTCCTCCATCTTTTAATTAAATACCCCTTGACTGCTGAGCCAGTGATAAGATATCCAATGTTCACAACCCCCTTTTGTTAACCACACAGTCTCTTTTATGGTTAAGGACATTGGCCACAACTTTATTGAGTGCCATAGACCATACAATTAACCAATAACTTTATTACAAAATGTCATCCTGCCTCAGGCCTTTCCAATTTGTCCAGGAGTTATCTTTCCTATATACGCAGCATTACAAATGTTGGAAATGAACCCTGGATGTTCTTATGTGTTGTATGATCACACTGATCTTTCACTCTCCCTGTTTCCTTCTTCTTTCTCAGTTCTGGGGACAATGAAGCACCAGGGAATTATGGGTTTTTGGATCAAATAGCAGTTCTTCAATGGGTACAAGGAAACATTGAGGATTTTGGAGGGAACCCACAGTCTGTCACCATATTTGGGCAATCATCCGCCGGTGGTATTAGTGTTTCTGCTCTGGTGAGTGTTCTCTGATTACTGGTATCCAGCCGCACACCCACAGGTAAAACAATGATCTTGTAATGGTATGTGATCATTCTTCTCTCCCTGTCTGTATGCTATTTGGTGACTTATGGTGTGAGGAGGTCCCCGGGTGCCAGCTTACCTCATTGGGTTAAACCACTTGGGGTATGCTCTAATCCTATCAGTATTTATCCATTCACAAAACCGCTAGTTAAAAATAAGCACGTTTCTCAAGCCGTTTTGTGAATTATAAGCTACAAATGGGTTGACAGTGTCAGCTGATGCTCTCAACCTATCCAAAGTTCCCAGTCTGAGGCTTCCTATTTTCAAGCCTTGGACAGCGGTGGATATTTGTGGGCAAAGCGTTTGGGGTTCCAGATTCAAGAGTTGGAGGTTCTACGCTTCATTAACATATAATCCGGTGTATTACTACTGGCTATATGTGGGAATTGATATGTGCCTTCCACTTGCAAAATAAAACTCTAACTTCATGCCATAGGATTTATCCAGTAGCAGCAGGGCCAAAACAAGAGATCTGTTATAACTCTGCTGTTGGATCAATATATTTCTTTTTTTCTTATGTATACAGCAGATCAGGCAAATCTCCCTTTGTTCTATCAGGAATATAACTTAAACCCTTAAGGACACATGACATGTGTGACATGTCATGATTCCCTTTTATTCCAGAAGTTTGGTCCTTAAGGGGTTAAAGAGCATGAAATCCTCCAGAGAAATGTCTCTGATTGTATCAAAGTGAACAAAAAAAATGACAATTCAGTAGGAAGAGGTATCCTTGATTGATTACCACGTAGGTATGGTTTTTGTTTTTCAGCTTATTGGCAATATTTCCGGCTGTGGTCCTGTATCAGTAGTGGCTTGCTTGAGAAGGAAAAGTGAAGAAGACATTCTTATGATATCCGCAGTATGACAAAGGATAATCGTGTTCTCCACAAAGAATGCTTGTCAAGAATTTATCATGGTTGAGCCAGTTGGACATCCCTTAATGGGGATATGTCATTTTACTTTTATGTACACTCTCCTTTCTCCAACACAATGAATGCTGTGCAAAATTTACTGCAGTGTCTCTGGGGGCAGATTTGTCCACATTCCATAACACACAGTCATTCCTTCCATTCACACACAAAACATTGGAACCCAAGGTAATTTGTGTCTTGACAGTCAGACGTGGATGTAATTTCAAAAAACCTAAACTTGTTTTATAAAAAATACTAGACGTATTACTAAAAATAGGTATTTAGAAAAATTTGACATTAGCTTAAGGTTTTTTAAAAGCTAATCCAGACACGGACACCTTGCTCATTATATCTAGAGGGGTATTAGCCACATATCTCTGAAGCCCAGTGAATTGTGGAACAAGTATCTGCGTTGGGGTCATTAGCCCAATTGAAGGTGAACCCATTCAGCCACAGGTGTCTTACAGACCAAAAATATTCAGTTATTTTATTACTTTTTTTAAATTAATTTTATTGCCCTGTAACTACAATCCTGACTAGTATCCAACTCCCTGCTCATGAAAAACATCCCTGTGACATGACTTGATCACCACCTTGGTTAGTGATTCTGTTTTAAGGGAGATGAGAAGTTTGGACTTTTCAGACCAAATAAGGTTTGCTCTGTCTCCAGAATGCTTTTATTTTTTTGCAAACTCCAATGGGATTTGATATGGGATTGTGTTTTGGATAATGACACTCAGATTTGAGGTTTCTAGACCTGGTTGTGCAGTGACACTCCTGTTGGTTTCTGAGGGTAGATAAGAGAACTATCTCTATCTTGTGTCTTCTTCTTAATACCGCAGGACCACCCATTATTCACAACAGGGGAGGGAGGGGGGTATGAATGGGAAGGAATGTGGCTGTATGCAGATGAAGTTGGATATGGGTATATGAAAATGAGCTGGGAGAGGGATGTAAAATGTGGTATATGAACACTGGATTAAGTGGGGCTTGACTGGCTACAATTTGATACAAATGCCATAATAATTTCTGTCTGTACAGGGAATAATGGCTGTACCTGCATGTGTTGATGGTGTATTTCTTCCTAAATTTGTCAATTTGTCAATTATTTAATATTCTTGGATGAACTTTTTAAATGGTTTAAAAATTTGGAAAAATATCTTCAAACTTTTTTTTATATATATATATTGGGGGAAAAAAGCATATTTTATATACAATATTAAATCAAAAGCTTATCCGAAAAAAAAAAATGAATCTAGGCCATAATTCAGTTAAAATACCACAAATAATCCAAGGCAGCCTATGTAATAAATGTCTGAAGTTCATTGAGTAAATCCAAACAAACTATTATAAAATAAAGATTTATTCAGGAAAAAAAGGGACAGAAATCATGGATGAAGGACTTGGACAGGTAAAGTATCTCTGAGGTTCAAACAAACCAGATGGATCAAACCTTGAGGCAAATAAAGGGCAGGTTTTGTAAAATACAGTGTAGGTCTAGAAATGGGACAGAAATAGAAATCTGTTAAAAAATGATTTGTTTGTCACGGATGGACTGTATAATATTATAAATATTAGACCAGTAATAGTATATTTGTCTGAAATTTGGTTTATTTTTCTTAAATTGATTTTGGTTTAGTACATGTGGAATTTTGGTTTGTATTAATTTTATCCACACAATAATTCCGGGGGGAAAATTATTCAGACAAAATGGAATATAAATTGGCCAATTAGTGAATTGCAAAATATATACATAATAGAAATATTATTTCAAAATAACTAAACTATTATAATATGTAATAATGGCCTTTTTATTGTACGAACATAATATATAAATTACAAACTTTAGAGCGGTATCTTCCCTTCCTCAGGCCTGAAGCAAATAAAGGAGGTGCTTTACTAAAATGAGCTTTAATATACATAAATCATTTATGTATTTATTGTACTGCTTCTCCTTGTTTCTGCCCTAATGGTAACTTACCAACTGACTTGATCTATTAACCAAATGGTGCAAAAATTCATTTGTTTTTTATTATTGAATCTGTAAATAAAATTAACATTTAGTTCCTGTCCCCTAACCATCTCTCATCTATCTATCTATATGTATGGGAAGCAAAATCTAAATAGGTTATGGTGGGGAAAAATTGTGATTGAAAACCCCTTCCACCTGAAGTATGTGGATAGTTAATACAATGCTAAACAAAAATCTGCACACCAGTCAAGCCATAAGACTTGCTTTTCCCACAGAAATCCCAAATCAGCAGTGATGTTACAACCGCAAAGGATTCTGGGTGGGCATATGCAAATTAGTTTAACAAAGAATCACATTTTTGCCTCATTCCATTTTAAACATGGATTCCTTTTAATTTGTGTTTGCAATATACAACTGCTTGGAACACAATTTAGGATAAGATGCAAAACCAGTGAACCACTCATGGACAGCTGTTTCGTTGTTAATGCAACTCTTCAGCATGAGGTTGGTTACTGGTTTGCTAATTGAGGCTTGGTAGTGCTTGGGAAGCAAAATCTAAATAGGTTATGGTGGGGAAAAATTGTGATTTCTGTGGGAAAAGCAAGTCTTATGGCTTGACTGGTGTGCAGATTTTTGTTTAGCATTGTATTAACTATCTATATGTATGTATGTATGTACTTATTTATTTTGTGCCACAGACAGAACTCAACAAACGGTGTGTCCAACGGCCAATTAGTTTGTTTCAAGATTTGGCCATATCGTGATTCAGAGATCAGATTTTCAGACAAATTGATGGCCAAATTCAAACAAACTGCTATTTCTTTGAAAATGAATGTGCAGGCGTAATACATATTAGAATTGTCAGGGTTAATAGAAGACATGGGGTAAATCAAACAAAAATAAACTACAATTAGAGATCCGCATTCTGGCCATACAACACAAGAGATAAACAGAATGTTGTTTTATACCTTCCAAGGCAACTAGAGCCTGATCATTAATTGTTATTGTACTATTACCAGGGGATGAACATCAGTGGTTTAGTCGAAGGAATGGATAAAGACGCAGTTCAGTCATTCCTGAAATCCTTTCCCATCCTGGTAAGTTAAATTTTCTGTATTGATACACTTTCCAATATGTTTATCTAGGAGTGGTAACATTGCACGAGACCTCTCCTCCTTACCATTGCTGTTTTCTGTCTGAAATAAAGGGACACACAAGAGACACTCCAGGCACCCAGACCACTTCTGCCCATTTGAGTGGTCTGGGTGCCAACTCCCACTACCCTTAACCCTGCAAGTGTAATTATTGCAGTTTTTATAAACTGCAATAATTACCTTGCAGAGTTAACTTCTCCACTAGCGGGCACTCCCGGGTTTATAGCACAGATTTTCAGTGCTATAGCGTCGCTGGATGTCCTCTCGCTATGTGAGGACCTCCAGCGTCTCTAAAATCCCCATAGGAAAGCATTGAAAGAAGGGGTTTTAACCCATTCAGCAACCTGGGATGGGGGGTGGGAGGGAGAGGGGACCTGCAGTGCCAGGAAAACGGTTTGTTTTCCTGGCACTGGAGAGTCCCTTTAACAAGGAACACGAGAAAATATTATTGTTAAAGAGACACTCCACTACCCAAATACAATAAAAATCGCTGTTTAGTAGATAAACCACAAATGTAAACATGCATGTATTTAGCAATGCATTTTTAATTGGGGTTATAGCTAAAAGCAACTTGCAGAAGCCGCAGTTCTCTTGTCTGCAGCCTTTGCAAGTCCTCCCATTTTAACCCCACCCATACTTTCTGTGGCTGTACAATCACAGACTTCCCAATGCAGCTCAATGAGAAGTCTTTGCAAGGCAGGTGATCTGGACAATAGCTGTGTTACAGTTGCCTCCAGGCAAGCTGAGAGTTGGACCGTAGAAAGAATGCTCCTAGCACTCACCAAAGGACCATCCGCACGATGGAAATTGGCTTCACACTCCACTTGTGTGTGGTCCGCCTGTTTGGTAATTTGTTTGGTAAGCCTAAATTACCAAACCATATAGGAAAAGGACACGAATAAAGTATTTTCAGTCTGGGGACACAGTTTTAAAGGGGCACTGTCCCTAAAAGTCTCAATATGCCCATATAATGTTTTTAAAAGGCCATATACCCCAGGGCCATAGTCATAAGGCTGGCAATCAGGCTCCTCCAAAAGTCAGGGGCAAAGGGCAGTTTGTCACATAAAAAGCCAGTGACAAAGGGCAGTTTGTCACAAGCTGCCTCTTGATTTTGCTCCACTTAGTTAACCAAACCAGGAAGAAACAGAAATGGTTTTCTGAAGGCCAGGGGGCTATAACCAGGTTTATTTATAAAAGTGTCCAATTTTGTAGAAGAGGACACACTCAGCACACATAAAGCATTTCAGCAAGTTAAAGATCTGGAGTGTCCATTTAAATCAATGACATACATTTCAGCAATGGTCAATATAAAGAAGACTAGTGATGTCCCGAACGGTTCGCCGAACGGTTAGCTGAACGGTTCACCAAACGGTTTGCGAACGGTTCGCCATGAACGGTTCGCCACGGACTCATCATTGAGTAAACATTGACCTTGTACCTCACAGTCAGCAGACACATTCCAGCCAATAAGCAGCAGATCCTCCCTCCCAGACCCTCCCACCTCCTGGACAGCTCACTAAGAATGCAGCTTCACAATGAATGTAAAATGGATGCTGTCCAGGAGGTGGGAGGGTCTGGGAGGGAGGGTCTGCTGCTGATTGACTGGAATGTGTCTGCTGACTCTGAGGTACAGGGTCAAAGTTTACTCAATGACGAGTCACCGGCGAACCGTTCGGGACATCACTAAAGAAGACCCATTACGTGTGTCATTTTAATCTTAAATTTCCCAGGGATTGACTGAAAAATCCATCCCTTTGGTAATGGAGGAATATTTTGGGGACACAAATGATCCTCTCAAAATCCGAGATACGTTTCTGGATTTGTGCGGTGATATACTGTTTGCTATGCCTGCTCTCAAGACTGCAAAATATCACAAAGGTAGGTAACAACAAGTTGTTTTTTTTCAGGGAACATGATGAAATTTTAATAATCATATGATAAAAATGATATTATCTTTACACATTTCTACATGCATCTTACACTCTCATTGTGGTTGTGTTATTTTGCTTTGTTTGTGTTTGTTTTTTTTGTTTTTTCCCCCCTCTTATTATGCCTTTTTTCTTTTTTTTTTTTTTAAATCAACTGCTAGATTCTGGGGTTCCAGTCTATTACTATGAATTTCAGCATCGGCCAGCGATCTACAAGGATAAAAAACCTGCGTTTGTTAAAGCAGATCATGGAGATAAAGTATCGTACATAATGGGAGGCACATTCATAAACCGGGATGTCCTGTTCAGAGGTAAGCAATGTATCTTTTCAAAATGATGCTAAAAAACCTGTTTTGAAGTTGAATGGGCAATTTTTTTTTTATTTTTTTTACAGTCAATGCAACAGAGGAAGAAAAGAACCTCAGCAAAACCATGATGAAATATTGGGCAAACTTTGCTCGAAATGGGTGAGATATGATTGCATCCTTCAAATCACTTTTTTGTAATGTATGTTCCAAAGTAATGCAACCTCAGAGAGTAGTAGAATTATACTAATAAGGAAAAGAGCATGGCAGTGAGATACTTGGGTCCTTAAGAGTTGGCTGACTTTTTTTTTTTTTTTAACATGAAACTCTGAAAGATAAGACAATTTCACAACAAACAGGATTAGGTCAGGGATACAGCTACATGAAGGTAAAATTTTTATTTATTTATAAAATATTTTACCAGGAAAGATACATTGAGATTTCTCTCGTTTTCAAGTATGTCTTGGATCAACAAAACATTGCATTGTTACATTAGGGTACAATAAAATACAAAAACAATATTAATACACAATATATATACAAAAATGAACATGGAACAGGTAGTAAATATATAATCAACCATGACAGGTGCATTCTGTTTTGAGGTATGTAGAGAGGGATCTCTTAAAGGACTTTAGGCTTGGGGGAGATTTTAAAGTGTGCAGGAGGTTGTTCCATAATTGCGGTGTTCTGTAGGAAAAGGATAATCTGGCTGCTTTCTTTTTGTATTGAGGTAGACTAAATAAAGTGCTGGTACTGGATCGTAGGTTATAGGAGGTGGGAACAGCTGAGGAGAGCCTTTTACTCAGGTAGGGTCAGAGTTTCCCAGAAAAGCTCTTAAACACAAAGCTGGAAAGATGAAGGATGCGTCTGGATTCCAGCGACAGCCAGTTTAGTTCTTTTAGCATGTCAAAATGGTGGGTCCTGTAATTACATTGTAGCACAAATCGGCAGAACGAGTTATACAATGTATTGAGTTTATTAATGTGGGATTGCGGTCCAGATGCATATACTACATCCCCATGATCAAAAATCAAGCACAAATGTCAGTGCAGTAAGTAAAGAAGCATATACTGTTAACTGGCCAACTTGTAATCAAAGGTGAATGGTAGTTAGGTCACAATACAGCGTGGGTAGGCAACTATCGGCAGTCCATACGTTGTTGACTACATTTCCCATAATGCTGGAAACTCATCAGGTGAGATGCAGTCCACAACAACTACAGCTTCCACTTTGTTTGCTGGTGACATTACATGCAACCAACCCATCATGTGCAACCATACAAGTAGTCTCCACAAGGTTGCATGTATTGGATGCTGTTTGTGATGTTGTTGTGTCGCTGTATGTCAACATGTTGTGTTAGAATTACTCTTTGTGATTGAAGAGGGCTGGTTGTGCTGTAGAGTGTGTGGATGGGGCTGTTGTATGTGTGTGGGATAGAGGCTATAGTAAGTGTCTGAGGGATACTGGGGCTGTAGTGTGTGTGTGTGTGTTTGTATGCATGTATAATTATGGCTCTACTGTGTGGGGGAGTAAAGAGGCTGCAGTGTGTGTGTGTAAGTAGGATAGTGGCTGCAGTGTGTGTGTGTGTCTGAGGGGATAGGGGGCATACTGAAAAAGGTCAGTAATGAGAGGGATAGATGCCGAGGTGGTTGTGGGAAGGCATAAGGGCTGTGGTTAGCATAGGGGCTCTAGTGGACGTAGCAAGGGATAGAAGCTGTAGTGGGTGCAAAAGGGCATAGGGGCTGTAGTGGGTAAGGTGGGTACAGGGAGGGATTGGGGCTGTGGTGGGTGCAGGGGGTTTAGGGCTGTATTGGGTGAGGTGGGTACAGGGAGGGATGGGGGTTGTGGTGGGTGCAGGGGGAGCATAGTGGTGGAGTTGTGTGCAGGAGGTTTAGGGCTGTAGAGGGTGAGGTGGGTACAGGGAGTGATGGGGGCTGTGGTGGGTACAGGGAGGGATGGGGGTTGTGGTGGGTGCAGGGGGAGCATAGTGGTGGAGGTGGGTGCAGGAGGTTTAGGGCTGTAGACGGTGAGGTGGGTACAGGGAGGGATAGGGGCTGTGGTGGGTGCAGGGGAGCATAGTGGGGGGGAGGGTGCAGGGGGTTTAGGGCTGTAGAGGGTGAGGTGGGTACATGGAGTGATGGGGGCTGTGGTGGGTACAGGGGGAGCATAGTGGTGGAGTTGAGTGCATGGGGAGCATAGTGGTGGAAGTGGGTGCAGGGGGAGCATAGTGGTGGAAGTGGGTGCAGGGGGAGCATAGTGGTGGAGGTGAGTGCAGGGGGTTTAGGGCTGTAGAGGGTGAGGTGGGTACAGGGAGGGATGGGGATGTAGAGGTTGCAGGAGGGCATAGAGGCTGAATTTGGTGCAGGGAGACATAGAGTCTGCAAAGGGTACAGGGAGGATGAAATGGGTGGATAGGGAATGTAGAAAATATTTCCGAGGAGCATACCTGGTGTCTCTGCCAGACTGCCCCTTATCGTTACAGCGCTCACAGGTAAGCAGCACTCTGCAGGGCAGTAGAGAACACAGGAAGTGATGTCACTTCCCCTCTCCCAAGCCCCGCCTCTTCACCTCACACACACAGTACCACATAGGAGAGCATGGAGGACATCAAGCAAGAATAGCAGGATGGCTGCCAGGTCTCACTCAGAAGGGGTGGGGGGTCACTTTTGGGCCCTCAAGTCATGACTGACCTGCCCAAATGGCTAGTCTGCGCTATTTTACTTGGTATTTTGCTTCCATGGACAAAAGAGATTGTGCCGCCACTTTATATTTATTGCCGCACACAGAATATGTTGGTGCTTTAGAAATAAGAGGCTGTAATTGGAGATAGTTACAAAGATGTGAGAATGGAGGCAAGTGGGGTAAGGACCATCATGTACAGTGAGGGGGAAAAGTATTTGATCCCCTACTGATTTTGAACGTTTGCCCACTGACAAAGAAATGATCAGTCTATAATTTTTTTTTTTTTTTTGAAAGAGGTTATGTTGCAAGACTTGGAAACTTATGGAGTGAACATGCTAGGCATATTTATCTTTAAAGGTTTGCTAAGAAATGAGAGAGCTTGGCATGTGGGTATGTATAGATGTCGCATAACAAAACAGAGATATCAATAGGGTACCTGGCTTATTCCACCTGGAGGTATCCTCAGTACTAAGCACCTCATGCTCACTCCTCTCCCGTGCTTGATTAGACAAAGGTCAACTGTTAAATATGTGGCATAGTCACCACTCTCCCACCCATGTAGTGCCCTCCTCAACATTGACATTAGATCTACATTTCTCCAGTGCTTTATTAGTTAAGAGGCAGCTCCTATTTATATCACAGGGCCTCCCCTGTCCCACTTATAGTATAGTTGTCAAAAGTGATGCTATACTAACAGATAGGAAAAAGAATTAAAAAAAATAAAAAATTTAAAAACTTGAGCTATATGAGTGTGTCTGGCCCGCATCCCCTTATAGGGCTATGTAGTGGGACATAACTAGGTAAGTGAGTGGGTGTAGGTGCATCTCTGAGTGTCCAGCAATTTTAACCTGTGTCGGCACGGGCGTATTAGCCGCGAGGCAAACAAGGCATTTGCCTTGGGCGGCATTTTTCAGGGGGCGGCAAAAAAGCCGCCCCCAAATGCCCAGGGCAAATGCCTTGTTAGCCTCGCGGCTAACAGACATGCCGAGATGCCGAGATGCCGAGCTGGCGCGCTGGGCTGGCGGCGCGCGAGGGAGCTCAGGGGAAGAGCTCCCTCGCCGCCCGCCCGCCCTGCAGCCACAGGACCCCAGGACCCCAGGGAGAGGAAGAACCCCCCCCAGCAAAAGTAAGGAGGCTGGGGGGGAGGGTTAAATAAAAAAATAAAAAAACACATGTTAGTGTGTGTGGATGTTAGTGTGTGTGTCTGTTAGTGTGTGTATGTTAGTGTTAGTGTGTGTGTCTGTTAGTGTGTGTGTGTGTGTGTATGTTAGTGTTAGTGTGTGTGTCTGTTAGTGTGTGTCTGTTAGTGTGTGTGTGTTTGCCTGTTTGTGTGTGTCTGTTAGTGTGTGTGTGTTTGCCTATGAGTGTGTGTGTGTGTGTGTTTGCCAGTGAGTGTGTGTGTGTGTGTCTGTTAGTGAGTGTGTGTCTGTTAGTGAGTGTGTGTGTGTCTGTTAGTGTGTGTCAGTGTGTCTGTTAGTGAGTGTGTGTTTGCCTGTTAGTGTGTGTGTGTTTGCCTGTGAGTGTGTGTGTTTGCCTGTGAGTGTGTGTGTCTGTTAGTGAGTGAGTGTGTGTGTGTCTGTTAGTGAGTGTGTGTTTCTGTTAGCTAGTGAATGCGTGTCTGTCAGTGAATGTGTGTGTGTGTGTGTGTATTTAGAAGGCGGAGCAGGGGGGAAGGGTTGGGTGGCGGTTGCGTGGGTGGGGGTAGCGCGGGGGGGGGTGCCTGAGTTTTGTCCTGCCTAGGGCAGCACAAAACCAGGATACACCACTGTGTGTCGGGTGTAGTAGTCCGGGAGGCAGTGAGCATGCCCTAATCAGGGGGAGCTTGTAATGATGGCATTCCCGCTGTGCACCACACCCGCTCAGCCCACACCGGTAATCGGCAAGCCTTCATTGCGCAGCGATAGTTCCTGGGGGCCAAGTGTCCCGTGTGCAGGTTCGTGCCGCTTAGGGTGGGGGTCTGTCATGTAGCTTGGGAGGATCGGGTGCCTGGCTGCGGTTCCACTCTTGGGTACGGTTCCCCCCCGGCTCCCGACCCGTGGGAGGTCTTGTGCTGGTCGAGGAGTTGGGCCCTGCAGGTGGACGGGATGTGGTGTAGGTGTGTTGCGGATGCCAGCAGCGCTGAGCCTCCGTGGTTTAGGTGTTCGTCGCGTCTTCCTCCTCCTCCTGCTGCTTGCTGCCGGAGTGGTGTCACGGCCATATATAGCAGGCTTAGAGTTGAGGCCTCTTCTGCGTTTCGGTGGGCTTCCTCTTCCGACCTGCCGCCATGTTTGGGCCTTCTGCACAGGGAGCTCTGATGGCTGCCGACTCACTTGTGCTGCTGGCTGGAGTTGTGGGAGACCACTAGGCTGTATCCAGGCATTTTGGTGCATTCTTCGTTCCAGCTTCTGCCAGAAAGCTTCAAAGAGTCTGTCCAGCCTGTTTTCTATGTCGCTTGAGGTAGGGCAACATGTGTCCTCCGCCATATTTGGTAAGTTGCTGTGGACCCCGCCAGTGTGTAGAGTTTCGCTCCACACTACTACTGGGTCTTGATTGCCCTCCTGGGGCAGACCGGGATTACCCCTACCGGTCCAAAGGGGGGGGGGGTAACGGGGCTCGTGATCTGTGGTGGTTCCGTCCTTGCATTTCCGAGCCGGGAGAGCGGCCGCCTCTCTCGCTCGGTGCGCTGTAGGCCCCATGTGTTCTGGAGGGTTATGTGAGCCTCCTATGAGCCACACACTGACTCCCGGAGTGTCAATAAGATCGGGGGATATAAATCTCTCCAAGGGTCGTTGAAGTACGGACCAGGGAGGTCACATTAAGCTATGTATAGCAGGCTCATGGAGGAGCTCAGTAGAGATGCGACCTTCCTCCATTATAGTCAGGCCCCGCCCCCCAGTCTATAATTTTAACCCCTTAAGGACTGAGCCAAATGTACCAGTTGTGAACAAAGCGTAAACAAAACCTGGAATTTGCGCTATATGTCTATTCAGGCGTAATTCACCTCTTTCATATTATGTGCACCCACACTTGTTATATATCATTTTATTCAAGGAAACAGGGCTTTCATTTAATATCAAATATTTAGGTATGAAACATAATTTAATATATATAAAAAAATGGGAGAAAATACGCATTTAAAAAAAATGTTTAGTTCTACGTGACATTCTAACTGTCATTGTCATAATACTGTTTACTTTTACTGCAATAAAATACACATATTTGTATTCAGCGAGGTCTAACATGTAAAACAGTACCCCCTATGTACAGGTTTTATGGTGTTTTGGGAAGTTACAGGGTCAGTTTTTCAGGTTTTTAACATTGAAATTCTCCAGATTGGTTACGTTGCCTTTGAGACCGTATGGTAGCCCAGGAATGAGAATTACCCCCATGATAGCATACCATTTGCAAAAGATCGCCCAAGGTATTGCAAATGGGGTATGTCCAGTCTTTTTTAGTAGCTACTTGGTCACAAACACTAGCCAAAGTTAGTTTTCATATTTGTTTGTGTGGAAAATGCAAAAAAACGAATTTGAACGCCAATTGTGGCCAGTGTTTGTGACTAAGTGGCTACTAAAAAAGACTGGACATACCCCATTTGCAATACCTTGGGTTGTCTACTTTTGCAAATGGTATGCCATTATGGGGGTAATTCTCATTCCTGGGCTACCATAGGGTCTCAAAGGCAACGTAACCAATCTGGCGAATTTCAATGTGAAAAAACTGAAACGCAAGCCTTATATTTGACTCTGTAACTTTTAGAACCACCATAAAACCTGTACATGAGGGGTACTGTTATACTCAGGAGACTTTGCTGAACACAAAAATTAGTGTTTCAAAACAGTAAAACGAATCACAACAATTATATAGTCCGTTTAAGTGCCATTTGTGTGTGGAAAAATGCAAAATATTTCACTTTCACTGACGATATCATCATTGTAATACATCTTACTGTTTTGAAACACTAACATTTGTGTTCAGTGAAGTCTTCTGAGTAAAACAGTACCCCCCATGTACAGGTTTTAGGGTGTCTTGGAAAGTTACAGGGTTAAATATAGTCCCTGGACTTTCGGGCCGGGTTGTCAGGCAGGTCCCGCAAATTGTAATTAATAAAATGACCTAATTATGTAAAATTATTACATAAATATATACGTAGAATTTTATTTGTATATATATATTTTTTTTATTTATTTTTTTATTTCAATTATGACATTACCATTAAAATTATAGACTGATCATTTATTTGTCAGTGGGCAAACATTCAAAATTAGCAGTGGATCAAATAGTTTTTTTCCCTCACTGTATGTTACCGTAGTTGAGATACAAGGTTACAAAGAGACAGAGCGGTGAGAAGGGGGTCCAATCCAGTCAAAAATTGTCAGGATAGAAGGAAAGCGAGAATAGGGAGCATGAGTGGCTGGTAGGAGATTTTCATTTTATTTCACTGTATAGAACTATCGTGCATATACTGAATCTGGATAACGGGCGTCTTGGGTGTGTTTAACCTACACATTTTAAGGTTCCAATAAACGTTAAAGGGACCCAGGCCACTTAATCACACTGAAGTGGTCTGGGTGCAATGTCCCTGTCCCCTTAAACCTGTAATATCAAACATCACAGTTTTAGAGAAACAACTCTGTTTACATTGCAGGGTTAAGACTGCTTCTAGCGGCTGTCTACCAGACATCCACTAAAGGTGCTTGTTGACTTCAGGACGTTTTGGAGCCAGCACCAAAAAGATTTTTAAACCTTTGATTGCCATGGAGACAGGACACTATAGTGTTGGGAAAACAGCTTTGTATTCCTAACACTTTTGTGTTCCTTTTTTAATAGCTTTTTTAAAAAATCATCTATGTCATTCCTGTCACAGAACAACTGTTGATCAATCAGTTTTTGTCTTCTTATCTATAGAGATCCCAATGGACCGAGTCTCGTAAAATGGCCAAGATATCAAGAAAATGAAGCCTACATGCAACTTGACTTGGAACAGAAACTCTTAGAAAAGTATAAAGCAGACAGGTTTGTTTTCTGGACCAAGACTCTTCCAGAGACTATTCTAAAAATGTCAGAGGAACAAAGTGAAGAACGTGAAGAACTGTAGATTTTGATACAATACAGCTGTCACCCTTCATGGGAAGTCACATAAATCATCAAGGTAGTCAAGGTTATTTGTGCAGATCTCGTGTATTCAGCTTTTTTTTTTTTTTTTTTATAAATAAAGTGGGACCACAAAAAAACCTTGTGCATTTTAGTTAATGAAAATTTCAGTCAGTTTTGATTTGACCTGATAATTATACAATATGTTAGATTAACTTCAAAGAGGGACAGTTGTTTCCAGTGACCTTTCCTTGTTTTTACCCCATACCATGGCACGGTTTACTGGGGTAAAAAACACAGTGGATGTAAGGAAAAACATAATTACTTACCTGAACTGCACCTCCCCATTGCAGTGACTTCAATGTCCCATAAAGCCTCTAACAATTGTGTGAGCTCGAGGATCTAAGAAATTAAATTGCAATATCACTGCAACAGTTAACTAATTTAAATCATTTTACATGGCAAAACATGTCAATGAAAACATACTAGAAAGGATTATAAATAAATATATAAAACTAGCCGCTATTAAAAGGGTTACTTCAAGCACCATAACCACATCACTGATTTGAAGTGTTCATGGTGCCTGGAGTCAGAGTTTAACCCCTCTGCTGCCTCCCCTTAGTCCGCCCTCCCTCACCGGCGAGGGTAAGTGACATCTGCGGTGGATAGACGTGAGCTTTTATTCTTGGGGGGAGGGGGAGAGCACCACCACAGCAAGGGTTACTCTAACCAAAACCATTATATTACGAAAACATTGACTTTTGGTTGGAGTCAATTTTATTTTAGTTAGCCATTATGTGCTAAAACTTGGGAAATTAATCATTAATAACTTGTATGAAACTGTATTTTTTGAGATTGCAGAAGAATACGATGCAAAATCTCCCGTAGATCAGAAACAAGACTACCTGCATCTCCATATACCTTTACCCAAACTTACAAAATATGGTGGACTTTATCTTCCCTCTAAAGACATGCCAATTACAAACTTTAGCTACAATACAGGCCCAACTTTATCATAGCTCACAAAGTAAAAATGCTCATCAGCAAGAGATTTTCCATATGTTTAGATACAGGCCACTCATTTAGGCCCTGTGGAGACAAGGGCACATGTAGGAGTGTGGGGATAGATGCAGGGGAGTGGTTGGGAAAGAATGTGTGGGTGGGATTATGTTCTGGGAAAGTTAGTGTGGGGGAGGTCTTACCTCAGTGCCACTTGGGATTCGGGCCAGCAAACAGCTTCCTGTCCTCCTGCTCCTGTTTGCCTGGGCCTGTAAATTTACACAGCTTGAGGGATGGAGGTTGAGGCCTACTGGCTTCCCTCAGAGCTGCTGCAGCGTGGATGGTGGCCCGCGACTCCTGATTCAGGTGCTATCCTCTCCTGGATCCTCTCCCCTGGGTGGCTGCTGGTGTGGGTGCTCCACCCCCGCAGCCTGTCTCCATCTGGGTCCTTCACTGTGGCCCCTGCTCCCCTCTCCCATGGTGGCTGCTGGTGTAGGTGCTCCCCCCAGCGGCCTGTCTCCTTATGGGTCCTTCCCTGAGGCCCCTGCTCCTGGGGGCCGTGATGGTGCCGGCCGGCATTCCCGCCCGCTGGCTCCGCTACCCCCCCTGATGCTGCTCCTCGAGCCCGGTTGAGGAAGTGGAGCCCGGGCCCGAGGCATCACCTGGGCCGCATGTCTGAGGCTCCTGACACGCGGCCTGCAACTGCTGCGGAGAATGCGCAGCCTACTGCGGCCGCATGGGACTCGCGTCCTCTCCCTCCTGCGCCTCCGGCGGTGGGGATCGAGCCGGAGGTTGTAGGAGGCGGGCGGCACATCCCGCGAAGTTTGTGGCTGGTCAGAGGTCTTCCCGACCGCCGCATAGCTGGCGCAGCGGCGGGGCTGTGAATAAGACCCCGGCGGTGAGTGGGGCCGCACGGGGCTCTAAGGTACTGCTGGGGGGTGGAGGGGGACCTCTCCTGGGCTGGGGGCCTCCTATGCTGGTGAGGATGGCTCCCGGGGGGGGGTCTCCCTCACACACACCCTTTTTTCAGTCTCTTTAATTCCCCCCCCTTTTTCTGTTTCTTCCCTCCCCTCCCCCTTCGGTTTCTCTCCTCCCCTCTCCTTTCCCTGGTCAGAGGAGCCCTCCTTTTGCCCTCCCCCCGGTGCCCCCCTCCTGGTTTCCTATTTCTGTTTCCCCCTGGTCTCTCCCCCTCTCTCGGTTCTTTCTTCCTCTCTCTGTTCCTCTTCTCTGTGTCCTCCCTCCTCCCTCTGTCATTTCACCCCCCCGCTCTTACCTGTTCCTGTCCCTTCTGTTCTTCTCTCTGTTGGTTACACACCTCGGCTGCCTCCTGGTGGAGCATGGGCTCACATCCTCTCCGTGCCCTTCTCACAGGTCCTGGCTGCAGTTCATTGCTATGCCCAGCAGGTGGCACCTGGAACACCTTGGAAACACACAGTGGTAGCTGAATTACGTGTCTTCTGCATTGACCTTCTACACTGATTATGCCGCGGGTGGTACGCCGGGCTTTGGCTGGTAAGTACGTTGTTCCTTCTTTTATTCTGTCGGGTCCTCTTAAACAAGCAAAAAAAAAAGGGAACAAAAATTTACCAAATTAAATAAATTTTAACAAATATAAGTAGATAATTACCCCCCAAAAAATAAAATATATATAATATATAATATATATATATGTATGTAAATAAAGTGAAAAATATGAAAGGAAATAATATTTAAAAAAAAAAAAAAAAGGGGTGCGTGGTCTCCACCACCCCTCTCCCCCCTCATTTTCAGTATGGATGTATCATGTGTTATAGACTTTCTACTTTTATATGTTTTACACTTTTCTGCAGCTTCCGACGCGGCTTATAGCACTGGCGATGCCTCCCAGGAAGCGGGCATTTCATGTGACTCTGGGTGCTGCTGTGCTTGCGCGACATACTGGGGAGCAGATTGGAGAAGGGGGTTTTATTGGAGGTATGTTTCCTCCTGCCACTGGGGGTCCTTTGACTAAGTGGGACTTTAGGGACTCCGGGAGGGTCGTGGGGCACATACAGTAATCAGATACACCCCATGACGCGTAATCGAATACAGCTGCCTGAGAATGGTCCACGTGGTTCTGCTGTCAGGACACTCTCTGGGACACGTGTCGTCCCTAGGATGAGCTGGGTTGGGGGTGGTACGTCTTGCACTTTCGTCAACGGTTGACGGTGCGACCCTTCTTGGCCTGGGACCAGATGGACTTAGGCCTCTGGTTTTACTTATAGCTCGTCCGGCACCTTAGCACAGTGCATTTTCATCTTTTCTTGGGGGAATCGGTGGGGGGACACCCAGCTCCTCACTGGCCCCCAGTCAGAGGGTAGACGGTGGTTGGACATTCACTTTGTCAGGGTATTTATATAGGCAGACATCTTGTGTATGATAGAAATTAAAAGTGTATATGCTGAGTCACTTTTGAACAGAGCAGACTCCATTTTGTTATTTTCAAGCTAACAAAAGACACAAGATTTCTATCTGTAAGACTAACCACTTTCCCAGAGCTAAAGGAATGCATAGTATATACAAACCAAGTGATAAGGAGAATGGGGGTTGGACAGACTGTCTAAATGCTAATGGAATATAATCAATTCTAAACCCAGACATTTGTGACAGAGAAGATTAAATAATTTAATTTTACTTTTTATATTGTATAACCTCCCATTGTAGTTTAAGGTGAAACTTGGTTTACGAACTGTCATATCAGAAATTATAGCAGGAATTGCGGACACTAAGTCTGGACAAAACTAAGAGAAAACCCTTTGAAGTGAAAGGAAATCTAAGTTATGGCAACTATAAAGATAACGCAAAATGACGTCAAAATAGCCACCAAGAAAAGTTAACTCTTTCCTGGATAGGTATGTTTAGTGGGACAAGACTGCCCTCTATAGACCAAATACTAAATGGCTATCTGGAAGGTAACCACACCTCCAGTGTCCCTATTGGTCTACCAATTAGTGAATTTTCCCTTTAAAAAGTTAAGACAGAGGGAAGGGAGAAAAGAAAAGGAAAGGAGAAAGAAGAAAGAGGTAGGCGAGGAATACAAGGGTATACAACGGAAGCAATGCAGAGAAGCCTATGACAGATATCCACTCTAGGACACTCAGAAATTCCTACACACCTCCATGCAGAGAGACATCCAAACAAGTTCCTGAGACTACCAATCTGAGGAAATATCTATTAAACTTATAATTATACTGGTTTCATTTAATTAAATAAATTAATTAAAATTTACTAATAGCATGCTATATGACTGGATAAATCACGGTCAGATTTCCATATTAAGAAATCTTAGTTAATTAAAGAATATATAGTTATAAACATTCCATTCTGCAGGTGGAATTAAGAATAATTATATATTAATGTGATATTATCACATGTTAGCATATCGTGATATTTATCCAGCTGTATTGATTTGCTCTATATAATATAAGATATCTTTTAGACAAATTAAATTCGGCTTTTGTAAAAAGATTATTCTTATTGGATGGTCCCAGGAAATGACTAATGAACTGGTTTCAATGTTATTTTATTTAAAATTACATAAGAATAGATCTTAATTACCTAGGAGATCTAGCCAGCATTGAAAGGGTTATTCAGTTGCTCTAACTGTTAGCCAGGGTTTTATGGCCCTTCGCTGTGAAAAGCTTCACTTTCAGTCTGTAAGGATACCACATAAATTGTGTAAGTCTTGACAGAAAATTCTGTTTAGCCATTGAAACGTGTATACCCATTCCATTGTATTGCATATCATTTTATACTGGATATTCATTGATGATTGTCACGCATGTTACATAATATTATTTGTTAATTATTGGTCATAATAAATAAATCTATTTTTATAACAAATTGTGATTTTATTTATATGAAATACCTTGCACTTATCACGATTGTAATGGTATTTATTAATTAATGACTTTACATCATAAAGAAAGCATATTTAGTGTAATGCTTTGGGGGCACCACTAGGGGGAGTGTGTAGGAAGACATGTGCTTCTGGCAGTGACATCACAGGCCAGCTTACTTACACTGAATAAAAACCAGATGGAGGAAAAACTCTGTGTCTTTTTGCCTGTACCTGACTGATCATGTAGTACCAGCTCTGACTTAGCCCCAGCCCTTTGGGTGGGGCCTTGTAAGTAATATGAATCCATTGTAACAGTTAGCAATTGTAATAGCCTTTTGTATAATATTTAGCAACCAATAGCGTTTTGTGTAGTATTGTATTGTATAATTATTGTGGTAAATTGACATTCCGCTAGCATCTGTTTATTTATTATAGTTATATTAAATATACATTTAATATTACAACATTTTGTGTATTTTCTATCCACATATTCGACCATAATACCATGAATTATAAAAATATTAATGTTGTTCCGTATTGCTTAATTATTATGTATTAAGAGATTAATATTCATATTTAAGTCACGACCACAACAACGATAACGATCTTTGGGATCTGAGAATTGAATTAGTGGGCAATTCTCACTGTTTACTATTATTATCCCATAAATATCCCCACAACTGACGGTTACGGTAAGTGGGTCCTCGTGCCGTTCCAGCGGGAGGGCTCCGGTGATGGGGGGCCCATCCAATCTTCCACGGTTCATGCGGGCAATCTGTCGGGATAGGGGACATGGGTGCACTCTGTGCAGGACCCTCAGTCCATATGAGAACTCCATCGGGTGGTGCGGGACCAGTTTAACAAGAAGCTTGATAAGCTTACCTCCCGATCTTTTTAGTGTGCCCCTGAAGTCTGCTCCGCGGGTCCCCCCCTTTGGGATATGGTGCCCATGGAGGAGCGGGGTCGATATCGTGGATTCCTTATTTAGTCAGTTGTCGTTTCCTGCCAGGGGCTGGGTTTGTGATGGTGGCATGACGCAGCCGTCTGAGTGGGTGGGACTGCGGGGCCCTGAGGCCTCGCTGATGAAGGCAGCTGTGGAATCAGTTTTCCGGTTTCATACCTGGTGTCCCGCGCCGTCCCGGTCCCGCCATCCGTCCTCTCCTGTCGGGCAGTGTGGATCGCTGGCGGGCGTTGTGCGCGCACATCTGGGAAAGCGTCCGAGGACGTGTGCGCGCACAAGGTAACCGGCAGGGGTGACGTGAAATCAGATTTTAAAGAGATAGTAGCCTATTGCTACTATCTATTTAATACCCCCCTCAATTCTGTCCCTGCCTATCAGTATTCACCTTGCCCTATATTAACCTCCTTCTGACATCGCTTCCTTGCCCTGTCGTGGTTTTTTATAGCCCGAGAGTGCGTTCTGAGTAGTTGTCTTTTCTCTGGTTCCTGACTTCAGCTTGTTTATTGGTTATTCTCATTTCTGGCTCCCTGACCTTGGCTCTGTCTATTTCGCTTTCCCGTATCTCTGTATTCCTGACCTTGGTGTGTTTGACTATTTTTATCTCTTATTCCTACGTTAAGTCCGGCCACTTTAAGGTCCAGTAATACGTCTAACTGTGTTCACCTTTATTGTTCTCTGGTTTGCGTGTTGGGGAGTATTAACCTTGACATCCGGCTGCTGCCGGCGCACCCGGCGGGTTATTGATTCTGGGCTGTGTTTCTGACGGTCAGGATTAGGTGGCTTTGTGCCTCCACAAGAGTGGCTCCCAATGTTGCTTATGTGTGGGGCCGTCAGTGTCGCATGTCCGCACTCTGCTGCTGCGGTGTTTTCTTGGGGTAGTGTTTCAGCATTTCGGAGTTCCGTGGCCCAGGACATATCCATAGTCTCATGTAGTCTCCTGGATAGTATGCTGTAGTCTCCTGGATAGTGGGATCGATTCCGTCAGGGGGAACGTCGGTTGCCCCTGGCTGCGGTTAAAGGCAGGAGGCGTAGGTGGTTTTGGGGGGCGTTGTGGGTTTCCCGCTGCGCTACCCGTGGGCTCTCCTGGGTTAGCTGGGCTTTGCCTGTTGGTGTTGCCCATGGGGCTGTATGGGGTTCCTTCTGGGCCTCCATGGGTGGTGGCTTGTGCAATCAGGCCCCCTAAGTCCCTTTCACTGACTTCCACCTGTTTGCCGCTGCAGCAGGTTTGGGGGTTTTGGGGCCGTTTTAGGCTCTCAATGGTGCTGACTCTTGCCCATTAAGCTGGCAAGCATCGGGGCTGTGGCAGACTCTGGCTATCTTGGAGCTTCCCCATTCTGGTGGCAGGTTAGGCATGGGGTATGCAACTCGCGAACAGATGGGTAGTTCGTCCTTTGGGACAATCGTGAGGTGGTGCAGGCTCTCTGTTATGTGACAGTACCCTCTACACCGGTGGGACTCTGGTTGTGGCGCCTGGCTTGGCGCTGTTTGAGTCTGGAGGTGTCTGATCAGGCGGGGTTTGCCCGGGTATTCAGATTGTTATGGCCGATGCTATATGTTGTTCACTATGGGACGTACTTCGGGCGGAGGCTCCAAGGGGCCAAATTATAGGGCAGTGGAGATGTGGTCGATTGATCAAACGGACTGATGAAGCTGGTCCATGGATCGATCTCTGAGGCGGCGTGGAGCCCGCTACAGTAAGGTGGGGTGATCGGGACGGATGGGAAAACTTTCTTGGGGGGTTCCAGGAATAGACTGCTCATCTACATGTTTTGTTCCCTCTATTGAGGGCGTTAGGGGCTGGGGGTAGTCCTCCTTAGTGATTTCTCCGATTAGCGGGGCTCGGCTTCCCATTCTTGTTACGGTCATCTGCAAGTGGGAGGGTGCTTTGGTGGAGTTGAGTGAGCGTTGGAACGGACTTCCTTTAGGTTTCGCCACTCGACGGCTGTTGTCTTTGGGAAGGGTAAATTGGTTGCGGTTGGCCAATTCCTCAATAGAATCTGTTCAATTTAGTTGGTTTCACTTGGGGCTCGACTTTCCGGGTGAGGATGGTGAGGAGTTCAGGGAGCATTCATTCCGGTTAGGGGCGGCCACAGACGCCGCCAGGCTTGGCATGCCTGCGCCAATAGTTCAAAGGCGCTAATGGTGGGAGTCAGGGTTGCAGGTTCAATAGGTTCAACCTTCTGGTCTCCGGAGTTGTTTTCGCTCTGCTGTTACGGTACCCCGGCCCCGGAATAGGGACGGTGTGGGCCAGGAGGCAGGGGCGAGTGGTTGGGTCTTACGCCTTCTTAAGCGGAGGTTCAGTGGTCTGGCACCAGATACATGAGGGTAGTGTGGCTCCTCCCTGTCCTGAGTCAGCTATCCTGCCTCCTGGGGGTACCGGGTTTTTTTTGTCATCCATCTGGCTGGAATGACCTGGGTTTGGTGATTGTTTGGGGTTTGGGTTGATCTTAAATCTGGACATGTTACGCAGTCTGTTTTCTTCCCAAAGGTTCTCAGGGGCTGGGCTGAGGCTATCGCCCGTTCCAGTTGGCAGTGCGCTCAGCAATGTGAGTGCCCTGGTGCGCTGCCGTCAGAAATTGGGCGAGATGGGTTTCTAAGTTGGTCTTGGGGGATTCCAGTTCACCTTAGGGTTTTGAGCGGGACGTGGCCTGGTTATCTCGAGGGGATGGGTGCGCTTGATGGAGGTCGGACTAGGCCTATGTTAATCTAGCGCTGCAGGAAGTGGTGGAACAGGCCATAGCAGGTTGTGGTGGGGTCCCCCGCTGATTTTAGGCATAAAACAGCGGGGTTGTGGCGGGGGTATGTCCTTGCCAATTGAGTTTGAGGGGTTACGTTTAAGTATATGGAATGAGATGAACAAGTTTTTAAGGTCTCAACCTCCCCTGCTTCAAGGGCTAAACTTAGGTTACCTGGGGTGTCGTGCCCATCGAACGTGGATAAGGTCGGCTGATGGCGGGCATTGGAAGGAAATGATTTTTATGACGAGGGGGGAGGTGAGAGGAAGTCGCACATAGGCGCATGGTCAGTTTATTGGCAAGGACGGTTGGGTTCACTGTATGACACTATGTGTTAGGTTATATACATATATATGTTCATTTATGGTTATTCATGATTAATGTTTGGTTACAGAAATGAATAGAAATGTATTAAATTATGGAGGTGTTATGCAGTATTTGTCATATGGTATAATAAATGCTGTGGCCTGTTTCATCCATACTACGTTGTCTGTCTTTATTTTGGAAGGGGGAGGATTTGGGTTGGTTTATGCATTATACTGCATTGCAATTCCCCACTTCGTACATACAAGACTGCAAATCTGTTCATAAAGTAATAATCTTGTTTAATTCTACCATTTAGAAATCACCTCATGATGTGGTGGTAGTAAATGAATTGGTGGTTCTGTTTCAGTGGCGGGCCTAACACGGTTGCAACAGTTGCAAAATTGACTGGGCCCTGAAGTTCTGCCCATCCGGTAGGCCCAAAGAGCATGGGTGGCATGGAACGATGGCCACAGCCATGGGCGTCCGCGATGGGAGGGGGACCAAGATGGGGCACTCCCCCCCTGTATTTTCCAGCTCGTTTCAGTGTGGGAATACACTGCAATAACGGCGCTGGCGAATGGAGAAAGGCAGGAAGCTACAGCTTATCCCTACTTCTCTCTAATGACTGAAACTGCAGGGGAGCAGCACAGAGGCAGCCTACAGATCAGGTAAGTGAGGGATGGGGGAGAGGTAAACAGCATAGAGGAAGGTTAAGTAAAAGGAGCAGAAATGAGCAGAAAGGTTCGCAAGGGGCAAGAGGGGTCAGCAAGGAGTAGAAAGGGTCTGCAAGGGGCAGGAGGGGTCAGCAAGGAGTAGAAAGGGTCTGCAAGGGGCAGGAGGGGTCAGCAAGGAGTAGGAAGAGGCATCAAGGAGCAGAAGGGGTCTGAGCAGGAGGGGTCTGCAAGGAGCAAGAAGAGGCTACAAGGAGCAGGAAGGGTCTGCAAGGAGCAGGAAGGGATCAGAAAGAGAAAGGAGCAGAAGGGCGCAAAATAAGCAGAAAGTAGCAGAAAGGTAAAGGAGCAGAAGGAGCCTCAGAAGAAAAAGAAGACTGTCAACGGAAGGAGAAGACAATGAGATTGGAGCACTTCATTCTGGACACCACATCATGAGGCGTTGGTACCTGGGCCTGACAGGGAAACTTTGGACCTTCTCATCTCCCCAGGTAAAAAAAAAATCAGTGTTAATGTGTTCACTTTTATTTACTGAGTGACATGAAACACAGAGTGCTGTTGGGTAGGGGTGTGTCGCTGATTGGCAAGAGGGTCAGCTGGCACTCTAAGCCAATCAGTAGCTCCCCACTCATAAAAACGTAAAACATTTTTATGAATCGTGAACTAGCGATTGGCTTAGAGCGTCAGCTGACCCCTCTAGCCAATCAGCGGCATCCATGTCTGACGTCAATTTGCACTTCCTGACACTCTGTTTAAGAAGCCGAATACCACCGAGCGACCTGGAGGAAGCCTTTGGGGGTAAACCATTTGAGAGCAGTTTCACCCCTTAAAGGAAAGCGAGCACCCAGGGGCTTCCTGGCATCATGGCATTTTAATTTAGATGAAGTTGTTATGGCGACCAGAATGTTCCTTTAATTTGATTGAAGGAACACGATAGTGTCAGGAATACAAACATATATTCCTGACACCATAGTTGTGAAAACGCTATTCACCCTGGCTTTATGTGAAAATGACTATGCTCCTCCCCTTTTATGACACTGTCAAAAAGAGGCCAAGCATGGATGTCATTACAATTATGCCCCGCTCTGGAAAAATTCCTGCGGACACCCATGGCCGCAACATCCACACATGGGCTGAGTTAGGTCTCTCAAGGGATGTTCTGTGGTTTTTAGTTACACTACTATTCTGTTTTATTTACAGAAGTCAGCTGGGTATCACCAGACTGTGCCTCTATGCTACCAAATCGAACAGCCTTAAAGCAGTTTGAGTGTTACATAATCTCTCAATTGCACCATTATTTAGTAGTATATGTGTAATGCCCAGAGGGCAGTAATGCATTGAAGCATCGGATTAGCACAGAAGTATCAATTAATGTGTCTGTCTGATTCAACTAGGTTATGAGAGTCATATGTAGCCACCTCCAGAGCACCCATTAGAAACCATGAACTGCATAACCTGTATTAAAATGTATGTTTTTATTGAATAGGAAATTGTTTATAACTCTGTATGATCTCCTGCTGATAACTGTTGGATTTTTTCAGGAAGTGTCTTGGTCCAAAACTCAAATCTTTCATGTTTTAGCTTCTTTGATGGTTTTTGTTCAAGGTTAATTTGCAGATAATATTCATCTTCGTCATATTTTGGCCACGTGGCCAGACCTGGTCCATTTGGATCACTGTAGGAATATAAATCAAGAGTAAGCAGTGAGCATTAGTTGACAGTGATTTACACACCTCATATTTGGATTTAATAACTAGCCAAAAGAGAGGGCCAGATATAGCCTTTGTAATAGATTCATTGCTATTGGGGCTTTGAGTTATGGAGCATCAGGCAATATTTGCCTTCTGACTTCTAAACCCTCACTGATAAATCTGCATTTAGCCTCATCCCATGAATTGGGCTAAGATGGGGCAACACACCCACTACATTAATCACCCCTCACTTGGTAAATGACTGAAAGGGGGCGACATTGGGCAAGCTCCTGTAGCCATAAGGTCCTTGTGGTCTTCTATTTTTATACACGCAATCACACAGCCAGTGGATGTCACGTGGAGAGTAAAAGAGTAAAACACACAATGAAAAAAGGGGTGCTCCAGAAAGTGAGGGCCAATCCCTGAAGACATCAATTGGGGAAAAATAAATATTCAGGCGCACTTGAGGTTTCTTCTAATAGGCAGTCTTTATTTAAAACAAGGAAGAGGAAACAACGTTTCGGCTCCTATAAGAGCCTTGATAAAGTCTCAGAGAGGAGCCGAAACGTGGTCTCCTTATGAAATCTTGCCTCAGTACCTTGAAATGCCTCAACTGCCTTCCTTCAAATTATCCATTGCATGTATGTATTACTTCTGTGAGAAGCATAGTGCTTTATAAAAATTATATTCTTTAAATCGAGTAGTCAACACTGGTCTTACCCATTTCGAGCAAAGTTGGCCCAATATTTCATGAGATTTTTACTGAGGGTCTCTTCTTCGTCTGTCATATCACCTTTGGAAGGAAGCAGATAGACTTACTGTATGTTTACACAATGTAACATGAATATAGAAACTACTAAACTAAAGTTCAATTTACAGAGCAGGAGACAAAAACTTTTAAAGTAAGTTAACTTCTGATTGAAAATGAAACAATTTTTTTCCATGCTGACTGTGTGAGTCACAACCAGAGGAGGTGTGGCTAATGTTCCATAGACAGAAACTAAAGTGATTTAGCTCCTAAATGACAGAGAATTGAGCAGTGAAACTGTTGGGGCATGGTCTATACACCAAAATGGCTTAATTTAGTTGTTTTGATGACTATTGTGTCCCTTTTAAGGGCAATGTAGGCTCTATTAGCTATTCATCTCACTGAATTGGTTATATTGCCTGGAGTCCCTCCATTCAGCGTAAAATCATTTTCAAACATTTTAACACTGAATGAATGTTTCTGACTACCCACCACTTGGTCCATACTGGAGGCATGGATAAGATTAAGATTACACACCTCATTTTACCCATATCAACAATGGGTGCTGTGGCAGGTTAAAAGCAGTCAGCTGACACTCTGTCAGCTCCCAATACAGCTCACGCTAATGCGTCCTCACTAGTTTGAGCAGCAGAGAGGTGATGGGTGGCTGGGAACTCTCGTTTAGCATTAAAAATTAAATTGAATAAAAGGACAGCACCAGGGGACTCCAGACTCTAAAACCATTTCAATTAAATGAATGTGTCCCTTTAAGTACCCCCATTGCCAAAAATCCCTCTCTGCATACAAAAAAGTGGTAAAACCGAAAACAAGAAGTACAGGGTGTGCCAAGAACAAAGTGAATAAATAACAGAAAAAAATACCAGGGAAACAGGCAAATTAAAGTCTCTAATTCGCAGGTATATTCTTCAGAAATTCTCAAGACGTCTTGGGTCAAATCCTCATCAGCATATATGAAATAAAAAAACACACAGAGCGGACCAATGGTGCAGTTAATTAAAGGAGTATGGCAACAGACAACACTGAGGTTAAGAAATGCCAACTCACATTTATGGGAGCTATAACCAACTCGAGTTAAAACAGCATACAGTGTTATTTAAACTCCCCACATGTAGGATATTCCTCTAACAATATTATCAGTGCAGGTCATATTAAATAAAAACACAAGAGAAGGCCTATAGTGCTCTCTATATTAAAGTGCTGGCTAAAGTACACTTGAAGAAGCCCCTTGTGGTGAAACGCGTTGTTTTAATTTAAATAAAGGTATTTTTTCTGACTACCTAATATTTTGGTTAGTCTCTTTAATTTTAAATACTTTCATATTTATCCTTATTTTTTTACCTGGTATATCTTAACATCTGAAGCTTTTATACCACCCAGGCGCTTTACACAGAGCGGTTTGTCTGCTCTGTAAATTGTAGGTACATCTCCTGTTTTATCCAGCACTTTTTTAAATATAGAGAGCACTATGGGCCTTCTCTTGTGTTTTTATTTCATATGACCTGCACTGAAAATATCGTCAGAGGAAGATCCTACGTGTGGGGAGTTTAAATACCACTGTATGCTGTTTTAACTCGAGCTGGTTATAGCTCCTATAAAAGTGAGTTGGCATTTCTTAACCTCCGTGTTGTCTGTGGCAATACTCCTTTAAAGGACCACTATAGTGCCAGGAAAACAAAATAGTTCTCCTGGCACTATAGTGTTAATAGGTCCCCCCCACCCTCATGGCCCCCCTCCCGCCGGGCTGAAGGGGTTAAAATCTTACCTTTCTCCAGCGCCGGGCTCCCTCAGCTCTGGGGACTCTCCTCCTCCTTCCGTCGTCATTGGCTGAATGCGCATGCGCAGCAAGAGCCGCGCGCACATTCAGTCTGTCCAAAGGAAAGCATTTTTCAATGCTTTTCTATGGACGCTGGCGTCTTCTCACTGTGAAAATCACAGTGAGAAGCGCGGAAGCGCCTCTAGCGCTGTCAATGAGACATCCACTAGAGGCTGGATTAACCCATATGTAAACATAGCAGTTTCTCTGAAACTGCTATGTTTACAGCAGGCAGGGCTAACCCTAGATGGACCTGGCACCCAGACCACTTCATTAGGCTGAAGTGGTCTGGGTGCCTATAGTGGTCCTTTAAGTTACTGCACCATTGGTCCCCTCTGTGTGTTTTATTTTCTTTCATATATGCTGATGAGGATTTGACCCAAGACGTCTTGAGAATTTCTGAAGAATATACCTGCGAATTAAAGACTTTAATTTTATAACATGACAGGAGGCTTCGTATTTGCTTAAGTCTCTCTTTACTAGAACTCCACAGCAGCACAGAAAACAACCAATTAGAAAAAAGTTAGGTACTATAAAACTCCCCTCCCCATGCATAATTTCCTCTTTCTTTGCTGCTCCGCATCAGTACAGGTCAGAGTACCACTGCCTCCTGCTTATAGTTGGTGGCTTTGGGATTTAGTATGACTGACTTATTTAGGATTTATATTTATTATTTATATATTTTATATGTTATGTTTTCTAGTATTTAGTTCTATCTATTATAGTTTGCTTCAGATTATTTATCTTTTTATTAGTTATATATTATATATATGTTGTATTTAATTAGATTTATATTATTTGATATCGTTTTATATTTCTCATATTTTTTTATG